GCCCAAGGTTTCGCCCTGCCGGAAATCGAACCCAGGTCTCTCGCTTGAGAGGCGAGTGCTCTAACCACTGAGCTACAGGACTCCACAGCTATAGGGGTTCTAGATGGAAGACAAACAATATTTGACAAAAATAGGCAGTCTTCCTTCTACAGATCACACAAAACTGATTCTATCACAGGCTCCCTATTCCCCCATCCTATCTCCAGGTAGACATTCTGCAAAAATACATCCTTAATCCCAAGGTAATCAAACAAAAACTCCACAATATTCATATCTGCAGGATTCCCTACTTACAAACTTTTTTGTGAATCTCACCAATTAGACCGAGCATGTTTATTAAGTGTTAAATGTGCGCATTTACACCTGACAGTTAAACCCAGCACAAACCTGCGAGCACTATGGATTGTCACTGTCACTCAAATGGGACATGAAGGTGACTGTGTGGAAAATACTGCACTGCTGCAGGTGGCGGTGCTGTTCTGCACCTCCTTTCGTGCCACGGAACATCATGGATTCCATGTTTTGTTTGTACGGCAGCAGTGTCTTTGGCAGAAGCCATGTGCTTGCCCATAGAAAAGGAGGGGAAATCAGAGGAAATCCTCCCACTGGACCTGCTGGTGTGATTTGCACACAGTAGGAACTGGATGGAGACTTCCCAAAACTCATTTCTAAGCATATGTACACTGGCAGCCTATCAGGTGGACTAAATTCCAATCCAGGTGTTTTTGTAATCAACATCTGGCACCAATAACACACTACTTGGGGGTAGTTCATTATAAACCATTCATGACTCAAACCTGAAATTGACTTGAGAATTTAGCAGCGTCCATTAATAAGCTATTGCCTCCTAACATGAGGTGTTGTGACCTAGGTTTTGTTGGTGTATTGGTGACAGTGCTCTTCATCGCCGCAAATCGCAGTGATAGATGTGTGACCACCAGTGCCTCACCCCTCATGATATGCTGCTCACAATTCTCTCTCCAGATACAAGATTAGAAATCTATATTTTATACCGGTAAAGATAGGTGTATTTCACATTTGAGTTGAGTAGAGTAGAAAATGTTAAATGCAGAACCCTTCCCTTTTCTACTGGTAAGACTGACATCTATTATAATCCTTTAGCAGCAAAGGATATGACAGATATCCAGCATCTTACATCAATGTATCTGGTTTCTGCAGTATACTTGTACACTGTACTCTCCTTATCTCTGGTGAATAATGTAAAACATCTGTCTCACTGCTATCGGCTATGTCACAGAGGTTTTGTGATAGAAAACGTGATGCTCGCTTTCAATTGCAAAACCAGCAACTACTGATATACTATATATAACTAAATAGTACAATAGCATTAAGGGAATTATAGATTTTAATATAAATCATATATTACAAGTCAAGGGGATAGGTTGCAACGAGAATCTCGCTTCTGGTTTATAATTCTGTTTGAACCTCTTGCAGGTTCCTGTGCCACTCTAAGCCAGGTATTATCTATTCATATAGCAGTCAGTGGAGAATAAAGAATGTTCTGTCATGAGATATATAGAGGAGCCCACACAGAGAGAACACAGGAAGGTATTACTTTTATCTGACACTGTGTGATGCTGACATCATAACTCATGAGCAACGAAGGCATGAGTGTGCAATCAGGGTCTCTCTTTACATAACAATGTGAGAGCTTTTATATCTTGAAGCTTTTTTAAAAATATGAATTAATTTGAGATTTTGAAATAGCTTGGAGCAAGAATTGTTCCTGTGCCAATGAGGCAAAGATGCTCTCTTAAGAAATGTCCTACTGGTAAAGCATAACCATTCATGATCTTAGTCAGAATTGCTGAGGACATTTTATACTCAGTCTCACACTGAGTTAAAGACCAAAACACATTGTAAATATTACAGATTACCAAAGTAAAATACTGAAACTTTCGCAATATGTTTGTCGTACGGTTGTATGACACCTATTCTAGTTCAGTCTAGAGCAGTCCCTTCACTATTTTGTCACTTGTGAGTTATGGCCTGGAGTAATTCTCAGCAGCAAAATAGGAGCAATGCTAACTGGCACCACATACCATGTACAATATCCTTCCGAAATGACTGGGTTGCCTTCTGTCATCTCTAGCTACTAAAATGGAAAGAGAAAATATCTCTTTTCATCTGACTGGCTAAAAATTCTGAAAAAGAAGGAAGCCACCTGAGAAACAGGGGAGGAGGAAGCAGTGGACCAAGGACCTGGAGCTATTAGCACGTCAGCATACACTGTTGAGAAGCATTTAAGGATTAAGTAATATGTCATCATTCTGTTCACTTAAAGAAAGGAATTCTAAAGGACGACGGAATTTTTACAGTGGAAATCTCCTGTCACATTTAATCAGCAGCCATCGGGAGATTTTAAACATTTAGAAGATTGTATTGCAATAGATATATTCAATGCAGATTGGTATAGATACCAGACACATAACTATTGGAGATAAGAATTTAAATATCCAGATAGATATTACACAGATATCTGAATGGTAAACATTTCCATTTTAACAGCTTGCTAACGTTATATCTGGAAAGATACTTAATTCGTAGAAACACAGATATCAGATATAGATTTCTTCACCCTTCACTGATTCCACATAATACAGCCTGATATTAGGCTGCAATCTACAGTGAAATGCTGATTCAGATCTGCGTTGAAGAAGACTTCTTCGTGATTGACAACATGAATTGAAGGATTTTCAGTTCATTTCATCCATAAAATACTCAGTCAATTCACTTTACAGTATATTCTGTGAAGCGCTTTGAGACGTCTCAACGACATGACAGGGCTCTATGTCAATTGCAAGGATTATTATTATTATCTTTACAGTCTCTTTAATCCCTTGCATTTTGTAACACATTCATTAAATGTTTTTCTAATTCTTTTTGTGAGACCCTAGCCCTTTATTCCCCCGCCGCTTTACTATATAATCTGAATTTGGAGCTCGCTGTCTGTCAGGCCATTCACATTCCACACTTTATACTGCAATAACTGCACTGATTATTTTCTTCCCATCATTTCCACACTTGTTTATTTGAATTTCAAAATCTAGTTTTTTTTTTTCCATTTTGTCCCCCTAATCTACTCATCCACAGTGTTTTATATGTCACCCACTCCCAGGTGGCTCTCAGTGGCATCCTGAAAGAGATGGCGGAGTAAGTCTGGGGATGCTAGCTTTATTCCACTTCCTAAGGGGAGGCATCTCAGCCCCTCAACACCTCATTCCAGAAATATGGTTGAGATTGGAACTTCAATGAGTGAAAGTCTGCACATCCTGCTCCATTTCAACCTAATACTTCAAAGAAATTTCAAAGAAAAATGTTCTCCCAGTTACCTTGCTTCATATTCTCGCTTCATCCAAAATTCACCTGCAAAACTCCAATGAATCGGCTTCTCATCTCGTTGTTTATAGGGCATTGCTGGAACAATGTCGTGTTTGCCTTCATAACACTGCTCCCTATATTTCTGATTAATCTCATTCAGTAAAGCGCTTTGAGATGTTTATTTTATGGGCAAGGCAATTTATAAATGCAAATTGTTGTTGTACTTACTTTTTTCCAAATTTACCCTTCACTGGGTCCGTAATTTATTCTATTTGTACGGCGGGTTTAATTTTAAACCCATTCTAACAGTAAATTATAATAAAATATGATCCCGGTCTCTCAAGCAGTGGTTCAGAAATGAGAATCAGTGAAGGGTGAACAAATACACAATGCCACAAAGCCTGCATGCTCTCGCATTTCTAACAGTTCCTAAAGCAATATGAGGGTCTCTCTGCATAATACATGGAAAAAGTATTGTCATGGATTATTTATAAATTGGCACCAAGGATATGATTTCATATTTCATTGCTTATGGCATAAAATAGATATATGGATGTAGCTGTTAGATACATAGATTAATACCAGCTACAGTGGACAGGTTTCTGCTTCACTGAGTCAATCAATCTTCTATTTTTATTTTCTTAACCCCCCAAATAATTTATTTATCAAACATCAGCTCTGCGATGTTATTACGTCGTTGTTGTGGCATTGTTGATTATTAAATTAATTAGTCAGAAACGTAACAAATCACTTTTGTTTCCAGGAGGCGTTTGAGTTGTTTTCGTGTCAGATATCTAACCTGATTGCAACTCAATCATTGCTTCGCATTAGTTTACTTAATTAGATTTTATCAACTGCCAATAAACAATGCAGCTAATTCACAGCGACCACGATCCCCAACAACAGAATATTTGCTGATTAATATTATTAAACATTATTGTCAGCCCCAATGAGAATTCCATTTCAAACCCCAGGCAAACAGGATATTGCTTTTTCATTCATTTGATTACTATTCTCACTTTAATGCATCAAATGGATTCACACTCAGATCCTTTAATTGCTTTTTTTTTCTCTCTCTCCTCAGACAAACACTTATTTAGTAAACTGACCAGAGCAAAGTGTCTCACCAAGTTTAAAGCCACATACTTGGCACTGGACGGATGATCTCGTTTCTCCAGGTAGCAAATCACAACACAACACCCTCTATATAATAAAATAATAATAATAATAATCCTTGCATTTGATTAAATATCATTAAACTGTGCCCCATTCCCCGGAAGGTTTCTCATCCACAACGCAGTTTAAAATCCTTCATCTGCTTTTCTCCCTCTTCGACTGTAAACACAGTGTGTGAGTTCTCTCTCTCCTTTTCTTTCCTCTCTCTACATTTTCGGTACATCTTCTCTCTCAGTTGTCCTCACAACTTTGGACCCCTTTTTTCCCCCCACCCCGATTTCTCTTGAAAGCAGTTCGTCTTCTTCCTTTGCTCTCACTATTTACAATCCTTATTAACCTCTTACCTGCAACACCACATCCAATATGGTCCCCCCCCCCCCCCACCTTCGCTTCCTCCCCCAACTCAAGCACTCCTTTCCACAGTTGTCCTTTATTTTATTTTTCCTCTCTTTTCTTTTTGTTCGTCTGCAAACTTCACTCACCGTTTGCACGACCCAGTGGAGGAGAATCAGAGCCAAACAGGGAAACTCCATCCTCTCCTTCTCCAGTTCAGCTCAACCTTCTCAGCTCAGCTCTCAGCTCAGCTCTCAGCTCAGCTCAACCTTCTCAGCTCTCAGCTCAGCTCTCAGCTCAGCTCAACCTTCTCAGTTCTCAGCTCTCAGTTCTCAGCTCTGTTCTCAGTTCTCAGCTCAGCTCTCAGTTCAGTTCAACCTTCTCAGCTCTCAGCTCTCAGCTCTCAGTAACTGAATCTGCTTCTCACCTGTGTCATAAAACAACACAGAGCCTCCACGTTCAAAACCGAGAAGGGAAAGCCACGGGACAGGTACAGCAGCGCACTCACTGCGAAAAACACAGAGAAGGGAAGTCAATAAAGTCTTCGCAAAACGTCCAGAGCAGAAAGAGAGAGAGAGAGACAGAGACAGACAGAGACAGACAGAGACAGACAGAGACAGACAGACAGACAGCCGCAGTACTTCAGATTCTCTGCGAAAGGTCTGAGCTTCAGCCACTCTCCAATTATTTATGGACCGCTTCACTGTCTAATGCGCAAACTCCGAGCAATCTTTAAGTCTCCCACAAACACACACACACACAAACACAAACATACAACACATACACAAACATACAACACATACACAAACACACACACAACACAAACACACACACAACACATACACAAACACACACAACACATACACAAATACACACACAACACATACACACACACAAACACACAACATACACAAACACACACACACACATACACAAACAAACAACATACACAAACACACACACCCCCACACACACAAGAAGAAGAAGAAAATTAATACGTTTGGGTTTTTTTCAGTGTTGCAAATCTGCGTTTGGCACTTCATACCGTTGAGTCTTATTGACGATGTGAGAGTTGGCGGATCAGTGCCCTTTCCATATTAAGGCGAATTATGGAGATATCAGTTCACATCCACATCTCACACTGTCATCGTTACACTAGTTTTTAAATCGTATTGTTTCCCCCCCTCCTCCCTCTCCCCCCCTCCCCCCACCCCCCTCCCCCTCCCCCACCCCACCCCCGCCCCTCCCCCCTCCCCCCACCCCACCCCCTCCCCCCTCCCTCCCCCCCAAAAAAAGTTCATTTCAGCGAACACTGTGAACATATTCTTTATTATTCGCACTTTCCTATACTTTTGCGCTCCTCTCTTGAGATCTCCGCAAAGCTTTCGGGAGACGGTGAAGTTGATGGCGTTTTAAAGGTGTGACTGTTGTTGGAAGATGGTCAGTCGGTAAACGAAGGGGTTAACTTCCAGGTTAAACTGCCTTTAACTTTATAATGTTATCGCTGTCCCCCCTTTTATATACACCCCCCACCCCCCCCCCCCACACCCCACCCCCCCACCCCCCCCACACCCCCACACCCCCTCTCTCTCTCTCTCTCTCACACCCACCAACAATCCTCACCTGAGAGAGAATGATTCCATTCAGCTGGTGCTGGGATCTGGACGGGACCCCTTTCCTCTCCCCCCTCCCCTCCCCTCTCACCCCCCTCTCCCCTCTCCCCCCTCCTCCCCTCCCCTCTCCCCCCCTCTCCCTCTCACCCCTCTCTCCTCCCCTCTCCCCCTCCCCTCCCTCTCTCCCCCCCCTCTCCCCTCCCTTCTCACCCCCCCCTCCCCTCTCCCTCTCCCCCCCCTCCCCTCTCCGCCTCTCCCCTCCCTCTCCCCCCCCCCCCCCTCTCCCCCCCTCCTCTCCCCCTTCCCCTCTCACCCCTCTCCCTCTCACCCCTCTCTCCCTCCCCCTCTCACCCTCTCCCCCCCCCCCCTCTCTCCCCCTCCCCCCTCTCCCCCCCTCCCCCCCTCCCCCTCTCCCCCTCCCCCTCTCCCCCCCCCTCTCTCCCCTCCCCTCTCCCCCCTTCCCTCTCCCCCCTCCCCCCTCCCCCCCCCTCCCCTCCCCCTGTGGGAAGGTGGGATCTGGATCTGTTCAGCGCATTCCCTTCATTATGAGCCGAGGTTACAAACCGGGGCCGGAGAGGGGGGAGAGTGCACCGGGAGCACTGCGAGGCTGTCAGTTCAATCAGAGCTTCGCAGCACTGATGATGAAAAGGAGCCATAATTTCACGGTTAAAAGAAAGAAAAGCAGCGTCTGCTTCATCAGCACAGACTGGGGACACAGCGGGAGATCAGTGACAGCCCTGAGGGTGAGGGGCATTGCCAGTCAAGGATGAAAGGCATAGGTCAGAAACAGTCATAGGTTGAGATTGCCCACAGGCAGATTTAATATAATTACAGGAGAGTACTTGCAAGATACCACAGTGGAAATAGTGCATATAAATAGATATGTTTTTCTTAGAAGGTGGATTTCTGGTCATGTTATAGTACGAAGTCTACTGTGGGAGTACAGTGGATAAAATGTTTGCTGATGATTTTAATTACTGCTTTGCAACTCACTGCGAAGCCTCTGAATCCCACATAATACGATGATCATATTAACTTGTGCTAAATAGGCTCCATAATTGCTCAGAGAGCTGATTCAGTGAATAGCTCGAGCATCTCAGGTGGATTTAATCCACACTCTGTGCTGAGTTCGCCGATCTCAGTTGGGCAACAGCAAAAATAAGGCTGAGGTCCTGCTGTGGAGCTATCAGTGGTCGTGCCCCTTTGGCACATGATAACCAGGGGGTGTCCCTCAAGGGAGAAGCCGCACATTTCATTCCAGACAAAAGGAAATTTCCATTTGTAAGTGTCTACATATCTGGAACTCTCTGGTTTGCATATTCTTAAGCAGGCGATGTGTTTCCGCATGTGCGCAGCTGACCCCAAATGAATCGTGAGGGGTTAGATGTGTGATGGGAAAAGCTAAGTTTCACCCACAAAAACATAGTCAATTTCACTTTACAGTATATTCCGTGAAGCGCTTTGAGACGTGTCAACAATGTAATAAAGTGCTGTATCAAATGCAAGGATTATTATATTATAGGAACAAGGGATGGTTATAAACTGCCTAAAAAATTTAATAAAGCAAACAAAGGAATAGATAATATGCTGCGTTTCAAAACAAAACAAACCTAATTGTGCACTGCAAAGCTTCATATCATCTTCAGATTCACTAATATCTATCAGGGTTCATGGAGTTCTGAACTAAACCACAACACGCACTGGTCTTCATATAATAGAATTTCAGAAATCTCTATCCATCATCAAATATATTTTATGTATATTAAGAGCCAAATAAAACTCCCAGAGACCTGGGAATTAATGCATCTATTACATTAAGAGTAAGAAATAATGCATGACATTTATCTAGAAAATTTTTCATAAGCGTCTTACAACCAATTTTTCAAACTGCATTGAACAGCCAAATTAATAATCTCGGGGTGAGACATTGCCTTTCTAATTCTTGTCTACATACTACAGAGTGTTTTTCTTTTAAAAGCTGCAATTAAACTAAGTCAAATGGGGAAAGTCAGAAAGAATAAGAGTGAGGACAGATCCTGGCTTACTTCAAGAATATTACTTTAGTATCGATGTTTAGGAACAACAGAAGGTATGGACTTAACTATTGTGATACCGTATATTGTGTCCATGTAACTTGGCAACGGGTAGACAGATGTTCTGGGTGTCTATCAGAAGCAATAAACAATGCACTTTTGCAGGGGAATGAGAAGGCTGTACAGATCCATCACCTTAACCTTCAGTGGAATACACCAATAATAAATTTAAGGAAATATTTGCACACTTTAGCTGCCACAGCGAGTTACTGCGTTACATCACGTGTGCAGCACAAGAGAAAGTAATTTTTTTTGGGTCAGCCGAGTGTCTGACACGTGCGGGAACCTGTCACCGTTGCTTAAGAGTCTCCAAACCAAACTGGGAATTCCGGGCATTCCACCTACACATGGAAATCCCAGAGATGGATTGTTGGGATTGGAATGCTCTCTCTCTCCCTGGACCCACACTAATCGAATGTATATTTTATTGGGTGATTAGCTTTGAATTATTTTCACGTTTTGAGTCTTTATGAAAACAATCCCAAAAAAAATCAGATATTGAAGAAGTAAAAGTTCGTACTCAGTTCTCAGGACAGATGCATTCGAGATCAATGAAGAGGTTGGGCTAAAGAAGGCCCTTTGGCCATTTTAATCTCATTTCCAAAAAGCTTTTACAGAGGCAACACAAAAGCAATGGGCGGAATTGCTTTCTGTGCTGAAAAATACAAATATTTACAATTCTTCCAGAATTCTCAACCCATCGTGAAGTCACACTGCGGCTTAAACGCATATAGTAACCTCAACCCCCCCCCCCCCCCCACCCACCCTTTCTGGTCACCTGTTCCAGCTGCGTAAAGAAATACTCCCCACTATCTACCCTAATATTACGCTTGCGCTGCCTGAAGCAATGCCTTGAGACTTTTCTATTTAAGCCCATGTCCTCCAGTTCTGCTATGCTTACACAAATCATCTTCTCAGAGTAGCTAATTACGTGGAGTCCTGTAGCTCAGTGGTTAGAGCACTCGCTTTGTAAGCGAGAGACCTGAGTTCAATCCCAGGCAGAGGGCGAAACCTTGGGCAAGTTTCCTTACTCCACACAGAGCCTAATAATAATCCCTCCAAAACCAAACACAATAATAAATTGGTCACTTCAACCCACGACTGTTTGTATGACGCTGCTGCGCGCAATTGGCTGCTGTGTTTCGCCCACAAATATACAGTCAATTCACTTGACAGTATATTCTGTAAAGCACTTTGAGACATCGAGAAGACATGAAAAGCACTATATCAAATGCAAGGATTATTATTATTAAGACTTGGATCATTTCCCACCCCATCTTTCTGAGGACAAGTACACCTTGTGAGCATTTAATTGGCTGCCGCGTTTTGCCCAGAAAATACAATTCACTTTACAGCATATTCTGTTAAGCGCTTTGAGACATCTCGACGACGTGATAAGGCGCTGTATCAAATGCAAGGATTATTATTTATTATTATTATAACCTCTTCTGATAACTTAAGACTCTTTAAGTCCTGGGATCATCCTTGGGAGTTTTTCTCATAACTCTTCAATGTTCTTTTGAAGGGAGCCAAGCAGTGAACATAATATTCTTAATGTTCCTTCAGTAGCGATCAATACAAACTTCTTTCGATTTATAGTCAATTACCCTCGGGTAACAGTCTGGAATTTAATTAGCTTCATTAAACTAGTTAAGGGTCTAAGAGCAGTGACTAAAGAATTGAGCAAGATGGAACTGTAGAGATTCACCATTTTTTTAATGCCAGAGTCACTGAATAACTGAATTCTTTCCAGTCCTTGTTTGTACATTATCAAGTCATTTGTTTCTCGCTGCTCCATTAACAGCTGACTCCTGGTTGAAGTCTCTGCAGTTACTGAATTGTCTTTAGTCCATTAAGTTGCTTACCTGTGAGGGACCAGATGGAGGATCTCTCATTGAGTAAGTGACAGATTTCGAGAGTACAGCGGCCCAGAGGAATTAGTGCAATTGGTCTGATTTTTCTACAACAATTAGAAATAGGTGTCAATTTAGAGCACTGCAATAAATGTATGGCACAGAGTTCCTGATATATATATATATACACACACACATACACAGACTCGCGCAGGAATGACAGAGTAAACAAATTATGGCTTTACACATTGAATTGAAAAACCCCACTTTCATTTAATCATATGTGTTGCTTGTGAATCAAAGCTGCTGCAGTAATATAACCCAAACATAGGTATCCGCATCTTCTCTTGGCTTTGCATTGTTTCTTTTTTGGGCCAATTCTTTGCTCTCCTGAACGCATCGAGTCGCTTTTCGGTGCTTTTCCGGGGTGCCAGTCACCCTCCCACGTCCTCACCCAAGTTCCTGCTCTTCACGTGTGATTCTAGACAGCGAGTGTCAGGAAGTTATATAAATCGTAGGCGAATAGAACTGAACCTCGGTCCACACAAGTGCATTTCGCACAAAGGTCGCTGGGTAAGGACTAAAAGCAGTAACCGGACTGGGGGAAGACTATGCTGCACCAAGTAGGATGATTTAACTGAGTATTGCTATATTGGGCAGTACGTTTACTCACCAGGTTATTGGAGGAAACCCGGCTTTACACTATCTGCAATGATTTTGAATGGTGCTTTTGTTCATGTCCCTTGAAGGTAAAAATGTTAACCACTGAAACAATGGTTCCGAGATCCACCTCTGATCGATCCAAAAATAAATTCAGACATTGTATCTTATACAGTTTGGCTCCACTTCAGGTTCAGACTTTGCTGACACCTGCTGGAATCTGGCAAGTCCTATCCAACCTGAACATCAACTCTCTAAGATGGATTTTGTGTTTAATACAGTTAATTAATATCAAGATAAATGAGTGTGAAGTTTAACACCATAGCATTTTAGGAACACGGGAAAAAGAGCTTTATAGATCTTTCAATCTAATTTCTCCACTTTTATAAGTTCGCTTCCCAATTATCCATTCATCTTCCATTTAAATACTCAAATTGATTCTACCTAAACGGCCTTTTTGGTCAATGCGTTCAATGTTCTCGCCTTTGTGTGAAGCAATTATTTCAGATCTCATTTCTAAGAATCACAGGTCTAATTGTATGATTACCTTCCTCGCTTTGCATCCCTTTACCAAACGAAAGTGGTCAGCCATCCAGCATGTTATTATTTTAAATGCTTCAATCAGATTATTCCTGAATCTTAGCTCTGAGGAATATAGGAATATAACCCACACTCTCATAACTAAACTCATTCATCCCAGGCATTAGGTCAGATTGGTGCAGCAGGTGGCACTGGACACAGTTGGTTAAACCATTACCTTCATAACTGAATACTCGTAATTGAAAATAAGATTTACTTTGCGATCCAAGATGAATGTTTTTAAAATTTGTACTAAATGGAAGTTTGAATTGGAGCGATGCTGTGTCTGCTGCCACCTTGGGTACTGAGGTGAACAGTACAGGGAAGCAAGTGAAGGTCGTGGACGAGCCGTGGAGTTTGAATGAAAGAGGAAACAAAAAATGTTTGTTTTTACCAAATTCAAATGAAATGGCATTTACTTTAGAGTCGAGGAAACCAAAATAGTTGCCACAAAATTACTCCAAATGACAAGTTAGGTACATTTTTTATTTATAACAATATCTGTGTTATTTAGTGGTAGAATATTCCAGCAAAAATTATTAAACATTTTTTTCCAAAAAGGACTGAGCACATGCATTTTTCTACTCAAAAACAAAAAAAGCTAATTTAAAACTTTTTTCAAAAAATGCATGTTTACAGGTTTGACAGATTTAACTCAAGTAGGAATGATTGTACGTTCTTCTGATACAAAGACAGTTCTATGAATGCTGTAGTTAACAGAGGGTACGAAGTGTTTTTCGAAGTTGTACTAGTTACATGCATTACATATGGCTGATTACGTCAAACACAGTAGTAGCAGCAGCTCAGCTGTAGTAATTAATAACAAGCCGAGTTCGATAATGTTCCAACAAAGCTGGCTTAGCAGCAAAGGCCCTAAGAATTAAAGAAAAACAAAAAAGAGGGAAGAATCCGCTCTGGAATGGTTCACAAGCACTAAAAATTTAAACAAAAAAAAAAACCAAATTAGAAGTACAAGTTCCAGCTTTAACATCACCAACGGGGAAAAAAAGAATAAAAACTGAAAATACATTGAAAGACTAAAAAGCAAATGAAGACATATTAGCAAACAGCCCTTGCTTTGAATTCAAGAATTTAAAATAATTTTTATATTTGTATAAGTCTATGATGCTTAACATGAAAACATGATTATGCCCTTAAAAATGTTTATTTTAGAAAATGCATTATGAAAAGCCTTGATTTTAACCTGCATTGGGCAAGCTTTAACACATGTACTCTGCAGTCTCTTTTTTCGCTTTTTGATTTACATATCAAAATTCAGGACATACGTTATAGTCCCTACAAATACTGACATTAATTCTCTACAGGAATCTTTGCATGGAATGGCCTGATGTTTCTCTTCTGATACTGGGACAATCGAGCTCTGTCCTCAAAGTAAAAACAATCTCCATTACTTTCTCGTTTTTTAAAAAAAGCAATACACGAACACACAATCCAAGACACTTCTTAAAAACAGAAGATGATTTCTTCATTTCATAAAATTTGTTCAGAACAAGGAAAAGAAATTCCTCAAACATTTATGCTTTAAAATTCTGACCGCCTCTTTAAAGTGTTAAAATTCTGTATAGTACAGGTGTCTGCAAACTCAGGTTTAGGGTTCAGTTCATTCTGGGGTCTCAAACCTCCTCTCTGTACACATTTAACAAAAGTAAAATCATAACAGTCTTGTTTTTTTTCAACACCCAGTCCTTATCCACAAACCCTTGTCTCCCGTCTGCATGTGTGATCATAATTTGAGCTTCTTTTTCGCTACAAAACACCAGAGTGCGTCTGTACAAATTCTGACAAGACCACTGATACGTTACACAGAGGTAGCGGTAATGAAAGAAAAACAAAAAAAATATAATACTGTAGTCACATACAAAAGTAGTCCTTCATTTTGTACATTTATACAGTGTTCCTAAAAAAAATTATTGGGATGTCTTCTGAGTCTATGCCAGTGGGTCACCAAGGTCTTCGTCCCTGTTTCTGGAAAGGAGCTCCTTCTTTTCATCTGTGCTGGCAAGAGAGTTCCGACTATTGTGTGCTCCCATGTACAGTGTGGCATAAACTGGGTTGGTGAAATTTGTAGGCTGGAGAGGGAAAACAGAGGAAACATATCTTACAAAGTTCAGTGTCAGTCTGGTTTGGTCCTCATGCGGCCACAAGGAGGAACTTAAGAGACAGGAGAGAGGCCATTTAGCCACTGCTCCGTCATTTACACCACTGGCTGATCTGTAACTCAATATCATTTGTCTTTTTCCTATACCTGATAACCTCACTAATAACAAAGTACTTATCTACTTTCCTCTTAAATATCTGCACTTATTGTATATTTGAGGAAGTGAATTCCACAGTCCCACAACTGAGTAAAGAAATGTCTTCTGATTTCACTATTACCAGATTTGACTCCAATTGTTTAGGTTCTGTTCTCCTGCTCTGAATTTTGCTACCACAGGAGTCTCCTTTTCCACTCTCAATTTCCTTCACTACGGTAATCAACTCGATCAGATCACCCGTAACCAGCACTGTTAAAGGGACTACAGATCCAGTTTGTACATTCTGTCCTCGTAACTAAATTCCTTCAATCCAGGTACCAAACTGGTGATCTTTGCTACATGGCCTCCAAGACCAGTTGATTGATGTGCAGTAGGAGAACACAAGTCTCAATCTCCCTATAATGAGCTCTGAGTGGCACAATATTGCTTATGTTGGGTTAATGCTCAATCACAACCACAGTGTTACACTGGAATATTTAAACACATTCAGTAAAACTCAATTATGAACAACCTTTAGTACTTTTATATAACTTTATGATCACACAACCAAACTTGAGTGAAAGAACATGGAACAGTACCAAACCATACGGCAGTTAACGTAGCTAACACAAAGAGAGAGAATTACCTTGTCCGGATCTAAAGCAAAGTCCGCATCCAGCAGTTCTCCGGCACCATCGTCAGGTTCAGCTTCATACATATTATAAGTGGGATTTCCAATTTCTACATTCATTGTTCCATTTGTCATACGTTGATGCTGGAAGCCCTTTGCTCTACAACAGGAATGAACAACCACATATTTGCACAAACAGATTCCTCTCTTTTGTCAGAGTCAGGCCATCAGCCCAGGACAGACTGACTCAGTTCATATCAAAAGAACTTAGCAATTGTAACAGATGTGTAAAGAAATCTTAAAAGGTTAAGAAAAAGGAAAAATGTTTTCAAAATCGGTCAAGAGCTGCATAATTGATCTGACTGCTGTGGGCTGCAGGACACACTGGCTGCTGAAAGCAGTTTGTGACTTATATAAGATCAACCACATTCAGCCCAAAGGTAATACAGCACCAATGAGAATACAAGGTGGTGAAAAACTCCATGGTATCAATCGCAGATGCAATGCGAAATCTGAAACACATTTATATAATATACTTCCAAATATTCATTGCAAGAACAACAAATATAGGACATCTGATATAGAAAACAATGAATGTGACCTTTACACCCGGTTTATATTTGCTTTCCTCGCTGTTGTGCACCCTAGGCAATGTATAAATAATAAATCTGAAGCTTCAAAGACGACAAATAGCTCACAATTCAAAACTGAAATAATTCCCAAACTTTTTCTTCTCATGAAGTCTGTACTCAACAAAGTGTGGGTTACAATGCTGTTAAGAAATGTAAAACTTTCCCATTTCGGGGATTCAGTATCAGCATTAAGCACCGATAGGCTCGATATAACCTGCAACACAACGCTCTCTCTACTCTGTCTCAAATATGGAAAGTGACACTCGTGTGGCATTACCCCATTACTCGTGTGGCAGATGTCCTGCAGCTTCTCTGAGATCCCAATTTACAGACAGTGCTTAGAGACTTTGACGTGAAGGGCACCGTATAAAATGTAGCTTTTTTGAAAAGTAATTTCCCATTTAATGCTCACTTCCAGCAGACGGGCAATTTGCAGCCCCAACAAGTCTTTGAATCTATGTCTCAGAGGTGAAAGGAGTTTGCTGCCCCATTGCACCCCACTTTTTAACACGCTACTATTTACTGCACTACTACGGTCAAACTCTAATGATAACAGCTTCCATTTATAATAGGGTACTTTCCGCAGGGCAGTGCTCAACAGTTAACAGACTGGTCGGTTTTGGCTTTTTAATTTGAGATACATTTTTCTCCTCTGTCCAAAATATGTAGCACAGAACCTGTGGAACCCCACTACATTATCATTGGTGAGTTATAGTTGCAGAGTAAGTCACCATCTTGACTTGCTACCAACAAATATGCTTGGATTCAAGACGCTCCAGAGAAGAGAAATATTCTCCAACACTTACCCTTTCATTCTTCTTTTGTACCATAATACAGCAGCAACAGCCAGAAGGATTAGTAGGATCAAAACAATAATTGGTACAATTATTGATGCAGTTTCTAGAATGAGAAATTAAGAACGTTTTAATATGAGAATGGACACAGTGAGCAAACATTTATGCCCCAAAAGGCTGTGGATTGGGGCTGAGTCCATTCAAATTTTCAAAACTAAGATGGATAGATATTTGTTCGGTCAGGGTGTCAAGGGATATGGAGCAAAGACAGATATCTGGAGTTGAGGTACAGATCAGCCATGATCTTATAGAATGGTAGCAGAGGGTCGAGGGAATGATTGGCCTACTCCTGTTCCAATATGTGGCCTAATAAAGATTCAGTAATGCACAAGTCAATAAAGAAAGTCAATATCATGCATGGGATGATGTTTGTATGCTGTAAGTATAGTTTCCATACAAAATAAATCAATGTGCAGGATGGCGGTCATGACAATTATTGTAGTTTAAGTTGCCCCCCAACCTCTATTTACACTCCCAAGCATTTTGTAAAAGGTGAGTACATACTTCCGCCCAGCAGACTGGATCGGGTATGAGGACTGGACACTTCACACTGGGTTCCTGTCCATGCAGACGTACACCTGAAAAGAATCACTATTAACTGAGGCTCACAATACAATAATTAGACAAGAAGCATGTTTGAAACCTCCCCCGAATCTCCACATACAACCAACGCCCACTAAGAAATAGATTTTCAGCACAAGTGGCCAAAGCAACAACTTGAAAGCTGCAATGTAAAAAAAACTAACGCATCCTCTATGCAGCGAACAAAGAGGAAGGAGAAAGTGCATAATACTTTGCCACAAATTCAAGTACAATTTGATGCCTATCCACGTAATGAATTTCACTGCCACAAGAAATTAAATTCAAACTCGAGTTTGCATCAACAGCTGATTTCATCCTTAAGACACATGGACTGGTGCTGGGAGATGGGACTGTCTCAAACAACTCCACTACAAGGCCAACAGTTACAATAAAGGGGTGGGGGGGAGGCGGGGGGTAGGGGAGAGAGGAGAGAGAGAAGCAAGAGGGTGGGGGGGGGGGGGGGAAGGAAAAAACATCAGATGCTAAAATGAGGTGTACCTGCATTCTGGTATTTCTGTGCCCGGATTCATCTCACAAATTCCATTATTTTGGCAATAATTGTCACAGGTCAAACAGCTGCGGCCAACTTTGCCATCAGTGCAGCTGTAACCAAAAAAATAACAACGCTTGCATTTGGTATAGTGCCCTTCACATCGGGAGGACGTCTCAAAGCATTTCACAACATACTATAAAGTGCAGTGACTATGTATTTTGCAGACAAACGGACTTGGGAGGCGCCTTCACAGGAATGTCATAGACGTTGGGATGTGCAACCTACTGACGTGAAAGGTGCTATCTAAATGTGTATTGTATGACTATTGTATTCTTGACGAGCGCAATGCTTATGGTTTTGAATGCATCGCCTCGAGTTCCAAGGCACAGGGTTGCAATCACTGTGCAAGAGTTGGTTTGTGCAACTTCAAAGCATTCATGTCAAGACACTAACTTACTTGCAAATGACATCACCACCGCTGTTCACAATGCAGGGACCACCTTTACAGCGATTGCACTTATCTACTTCACATTTGTCACCTTCATACTGCACAGGGCACACGCACTCTTTAATACTGTCTTCGGTCAAACGGCACTTTCCAGAGTTTTCACAATAACCAACACATCTGCCTACAACCAGGAGGAGAGGAGAGATTATTATCATTATATGCATAAGATCAGTTAATCATGTCAGAATATTCATTGACAAATTAACATTGGTGTCTATTATAGGTTTTGGGATGAATTTGTGCTGTGTTTGTGTGGATTAAGTACATCTTTTGCAAGATTATTTTTTTAAAAAAAATAAATTGAGAGATGACTTTCAGTACCGAATATAATAATAATAATCCTTACATTTGATATAGCGCTTTTCACGTCTTCTCGACGTCTCAAAGCACTTCACAGAATACACTGTAAAGTGAATTGACTGTATATTTGTGGGTGAAACGCGGCAGCCAATTGCGCACAGCAATGTCCGACAAACAGTCGTGAATTGAAGTGACTAATTTTATTATTATTGTTTTTTTTAGGGATTATTATTAAGCGTGGAGTAAGGAAACTTGCCCAAGATTTCGAATGGGAAATATATACTGAACACCAGACTCAATACTTGAGATGCTGAGCACTTGAAACGACTAAACAAGATAAACTGTAGTATTCAGAGATTTAAACACTGTGAATAGTTATTCAAATCAACAATAATGGACCGACCGTCTGACTGTTCAGACCAAATTCCATATACCCATCTTTCATTTACAGAACCAATCCAACAGAAAGTACCTGGTTTAAATATTGGTTCTGAATCCCACAAATATTGTACATAAAAGCAACTAATGTCTTCAGGCTACTTTAGCAATCCCAGTAATTAAGTGGGCAAAAATGTCTAGACTCCCAAAATGGAAATGATGGGTGTTCTAGTAATTAAATCTAGATGGTCTTTAATCTTAAACACTAAAGAGATCAACAGAGGCGAGCACAGATAAAACATAAATATGTAATATATATATATATATAACACATTTGTATTACAGTTCAGATGTGGCTGGAAAGTTGAATTCTCTGCCTCAAAACTATAGTTGAAACAGTCCTAAGATTATTTTCAAAGCCAATGAGACAAATGATTGACAGGATAAAATATTAAAGGGTATGTGGAGTGGTATTAAATTGGCTCACGTGGAAAAAAAAATGCAGCACAGAGTTGATGGGCTAAAATGGTCTGATTGTACGCTGTAACATTCAGATTCTGCTTTTCTGAATCGGATTCAGCAAATACTCGACTCACTCAAATCTTTTAAGAATGATTTTTTTAAGAAAAGACTACATCCTGCCAACTGCTGAGGACAACACGTTAAGACAGCATTCCATTTTGATCAAGGTGATCCCTCCAATGGCATTACAGACATGAGGCCCATCCAGATTCTGTCTGTTATACATATATGTGCTCTTGCTGATCCTTGACCACTGACTGAACTCACTGGAATTCACATCAAGCATTTATGATCTGCTGCCTTATATCCCGGCCAACACAGAGGTAAGTAAGCCTTTGCCTCTGAACTCCTGAAGTAATTAATCACACCGTTCCAGGCATCAATTCACAATCCATTGTAAATTAGGAGCAGTGGTACATAGTACGTACTGTATTGACACTTCTCGCCCTCAATGTTGGGAGGACAGCGGCAGTTTGGTTGATTTCCTGAGTTCACTGTGCAGGTAGCGCCATTCTTACAGTAGCCATCACACACTTTTTGTCTGCAATTGGATCCTGTAAATCCATTTGGGCAGCGACAGGTTGGCATTCCTAATATCCAGAGAGAAACATATATATCTGTAAATACTGTCTGCAAATGATTAAGAGCTTCACTATTTCAAAATGGAGGGTCGGATTACGTTGACAACTGCAGGATTTCTACTTTGTGAACTCTTACACCAACACCACTTCCTTTCTCTGGATGTCACCTTCCTCATCATTACCTTATCCCCAAACCTTTATCCATGTCCAGTGCATAAAGGTTCCAATTTAAGATCCTTGCCCTTGGACCTCCCAATAATATCCCCTCCCTGTATAATCCCCTCCCTATATAATCTGTTGTCCTTCTGCTCTTGTAACTGTAGCTGAGCCCATGCCCAGTCCCTCTGGAATTCTCTTCCAAAACCACTCCTTCAAACGTTTTGTAAAAAAGCCTTTGGATAATATCTTTAAATCCCTTTAGTTCCTGTTTGGTCACCACAGTTTAGTGTCATGTGCTCTGAAACATTAAGTGAAAGGCACTACATAACATTTTACAATTCTGTACTGAAACATTATGTAATTCTGTAGAGCTAAGAAATGATCTGATCATGTGAGGCATTACACCACTGAACTCACATACTACAACTGAACTCACAGGCTACTTACTACTTAATGGTGTAACGAGATATTTCAAAACTATTGTTATAAACGGCTCAACACACATCCAACTAGTGGGAAGGTAAAGGGAGGAATAAGTTAACGAGTGTAAATCTAAACAGCAACCCAACCTGATGGGGATGCTGTGCAAGTCCCTCCATTCTGGCAGTAGTCCCGGCATTGATCAGTTTCACATTTCTCTCCGGTATAGCGGGGCTGACACTTGCACTTGGGTTGGCTTCTCTCATTCAGGAAGCAGCTACCCCCATTTAGACACTGCAAACTACAGGTACCGATGGTAGGTGCTAGATTGAAATTAAAATACATCAATTATATTGAAATTATTTCATCTTGGGGCAAGGAAAGCAGACACGTGGCTTTTTTTTAAATTATTACATACTGTAACAGCACTTAGAGATGATTAGAGAAGGACTTCAGGAAGGACATTAAGGCACTGGAAAGGGTGTAGAGGAGATTCACGAGAATGATACCAGGAATGGGGAACCTTAGCTATGAGGACAGTGGAGAAGTGAGGACTTTTCCCATTAGAGCAGAGAAGGTTACGCGGGGACCTGATAGAGGTCTTCAAGATCATGAAAGGTTTCGACAGGCGAGATAGGGAAATGCTGTTTCCGCTGGTAGGTGTGTCTGTGACCCGCAGTCACAGTCTTAAGATATCTACCAAAAGAAGCAGAGGGGAAGTTAGAAGAAATATTTTCACTCAGCGAGTTGTTGGGATTTGGAATGATCCGCCCGAAAGGGCAGTGAAGTCCGATTCGATAACAGCTTTCAAGAGAGAACTGGATAGGTATCTGGGGAGGACGGGTTTGTGGGGTTATGGGGAGAAAGCTGGTGATTGGGGTTAGTGAAAGCGACGCTCTGTCAAAGAGCCGCACAGACTCGATGGGCCGAATGGCCTCCTCTGTGCCGTAACATTCTATGAATCTATGAATCAAACTAATTAAGTCACAGGCTAAGAAGCTCACATCATTTGAACCCAAACTGCCCCCTACTTAATTTCAGATTTCTTTGGCTTTCACTTAAGCAATAAGAAGCTCTCTCATACTTTTTAGCAACGAGTCACAAGAGCAACGAGTCACAAGAGCACTGAAAACCACTTAGTTATATATAGATTTCAATGTCTTTTTGTTCACGACCTTTCAGTTGAGTTTTGCTCGAGTTTGGGGATTTTTCAGTCACATGCACATATATCAAGCAGAATAGAGTTTTTGGTTTAAATCTAATTATTATGCGATTATAAAAATAGAGTTTTCAGCGAGTATTAAGTGTTCTCAAGTAATAGCTGTTCTTTGGAAAAAAGTAGTTTTTAAATACATTGGAAAAAATGAGAGAAAGCAAAGAGATTGATTTTATATTTTTGTCTAATAAAGAGCCACAAGCATTGCTCCAAGAGATAAGATAAGATATAAGAGTGTAGCACTGCAGAGCACAATGTTTAAATGATATTTAGTTAAAAACAGTTTTTGTAATAATTAATCAATCTGCAATACAAGAATGAAAAGAATGAATGCCTCCAAGGGCTAATGCCTACTATCTGGTGATGTTGTTGGCGATGTTGTTTCAACACATGTTCCATTGATCATTATTCTTCCATTTGGACATGTGCAGGTTGCTCCATTTGGGTTAAGCAGACAAAGCCATTCACATTTCTTCCTATCACATGGATTAGTTACTAGAAAAGAAAGGATTCATTTCGGAAACCTTAAAACAAATAGTTTAAGAGAAATAAGATTTGAGAGACAAACAGTAAAGGGCAATAAGGCCTTGAGTTCCATCTGACAGAAAGCCTGGATGGATTGAAAATATGGATTGTAATAAATTCTTCTTCATGTGTCCTTGGAGCCAAAGAGTTTGAATCTCGATAAGATAAACTTAATCTCTCTTGCTGTTCTCAACAATCAAGGACAATATAGGTTTAAAGAATGTCATAAAATGATCCAAGTGTCAGCATAAAAAATAGCACACAATTATTTGTGTCATACTACACTCAATTCTCCTAAATTGTGCCCCACTAATTTTCTTTACAGAAACAGCAACTACTTTGGCCAGACTTTTAAAGCACTTATTGTGGATGGGTGTACAAGATTAACTTTCACTACATCACGTCAGTCTTAACCAAAGCATTTTAGTTAAATCTCCACAGGAACCAGCCTTGTGCGTTGCTTCATAACAATGAATACAGGATATTCAATTTCCTGTTAATGAAATGCAGTTTAGTTATTAAGGAGTCTGTAGCAGTGAACTCGCCAAGTTGTTTGTGTGTTCATCAGTATTTGTCTGTCTATGTTGAGAAACAAACAAACCTGAACATCATTTGATTTTTTAGTCTTGGATGAAGTTGCTATTATATAACAAGAACCACTTACCATCTTGTTGCTTGAATTGATGGAACAAGACAACATCTGTGGCATGGTTCAGTCCAGATGTCAGATTCTGAACCTGATCATGTCCAAATTTGTGCACCTTAAATATACGATTGTTAACGTAGGTCACCCCGTATATATAATCCTCAAAGATATCAATGCTGAATGGGTGAATCAGGCCTGGGAGGAGAATGAGGGGGAAACAAATTAGTTTTGAAAGTGATTGTCATTCATTTTCTGTACCTTATTTTATTGCTGAAATTTTCTGGAAGACCAGATTCATAATAATACTTGTATTTGATGTTCAATCGCCCACAAATATACAGTCAATTCACTTTACAGTATATTCTGTGAAGCGCTTTGGGACGTCGAAAAAACGTGAAAAGCGCTATATCAAATGCAAGGATTATTATCATTATTATTATTATTAATCCTCCTTGGAGGGGAGGGGAGGGGAGGTAAGCAAGGTCTCCTCTGAGTTGAACCGTCTCCAATGTCAACATTCTTGGCAACAGAATGTCAGGATTGAGCCAGGACCTAGAAGGGCAGACCAAGAAATAGGGGCAGGGAATTCTCCCACTCAGCTCCAGTTAACCCTGCAAGCCAAAGCTCTAATGGGTCGGATGGTCCTTGCTGCAGGAAAGCTTGCCAGACAGTGGTATCAATGGCAAGCTATGCGTTTTTCGCTGGTTAGATTCCATCAGTTAATGTCGACAAGACAATGCAAATAGCAATTGCAAACGTTTCTTTCTTGCAAGCCTGCACGGCAGCCTGGCCTGCTCACTGAGCCTCTGCACGGCAGCCTGGCCTGCTCACTGAGCCTCTGCACGGCAGCCTGGCCTGCTCACTGAGCCTCTGCATGGCAGCCTGGCCTGCTCACTGAGCCTCTGCAGCAGCCTGGCCTGCTCACTGAGCCTCTGCACGGCAGCCTGGCCTGCTCTCTGAGCCTCTGCACGGGCAGCCTGGCCTGCTCACTGAGCCTCTGCACGGCAGCCTGGCCTGCTCACTGAGCCTCTGCAGCAGCCTGGCCTGCTCACTGAGCCTCTGCACGGCAGCCTGGCCTGCTCACTGAGCCTCTGCACGGCAGCCTGGCCTGCTCACTGAGCCTCTGCACGGCAGCCTGGCCTGCTCACTGAGCCTCTGCACGGCAGCCTGACCTGCTCACCAGACCTGACAGGCTGTTTGCGGGTGCTGGGGATACTGGGAGGTATGACAGCACCCCTGTACTTCAAGTCGGGAAGCGCTGTCGCACATATAGTACCCCTAGTTCTCACACTTGGGATAAAAGCTTTTCAGTGAGTCTTGTTTGCTTGATTTCCGAGTGCTAGTGTCTGTTTCATGGTGACTTACTGCTCTCTGCTGGTGAATCTTGTCCTATTACAAGATTCCCTCCAAAACAAATCCAGGATTTCAACTTTAAAACAGATATCAAGCTCCAAATATGAAACAAATATAAAAGGCAAATCCTCTAAGAAAGAAAGACAAGTCTGTTCTACACCAGATTTTGAAGATCACAATACCTTGTTTGCTGTCTATTGACACCACAGGATCATTGCCATCAAGACGAACACTACCTATGACGGAGAGCTTAGCATCTGCCCAGTACAACCGCTGGTTAAAGTAGTCCACCGCTAGGCCTGAAATTAAACACAGTAACTTCTGTTAGCGTCTGTCAAGTGTCTGCTTACTGTGTAGAAGTGAAACATTATGTTGCTGTCAACGTCAATGATAATAAACAACTCTGTTAGAATTATTATTATCTTGTCAATTTTTACAAATTTAAAAACTCATAAAGGTGAAGTAGATGGAAACATTTTCAATTCAAGCATTTTATGACTGTATCAAACACTTCCACCTCACGTGAGGTGCCTGTGGTTATTCACTTCATGGGTATTTGTGGACAACACTGTGTGCAAATTGGCTGCGTATTCACCCATAAAATAGTCTTTACACCTTATAGTATATCCTGGAAAGCGCTTTGAGACATCCTCCCAACATGAAAGGAGTGAATTACTAGAAAAGGTCATTCAAGTGAATAGTATAGATAGGTTCAAGAGACAAAGTTGCCATTCTGCAGGGTAAGCATTGAGGGATGTGCTGAGAAGATGAGATTCACAATCAAAAAGGAACAGACGCATCGAGTCTAATGGCCTTTTCATGTTCCCAACTATTCTGATCTTATTGTGTTGATGCCATGACTTCACAAAAGAAGATACGTTCCTAGCAATCAACGAGAATCATCCAGTGATGTCCCAATAGACTGAATTCTTACTTGTAAGAAAAAAATCGTTTTTGGCATTCACCATTAGAATGTCCCACATGCACAATAAATGTCAGAATAAGAACATAAGAACTAGGAGCAGGAGTCGGCTATTCAGCCCCTCGAGCCTGACCCGCCATTCGATAAGATCATGGCTGATCTTCAGACCTAACTCTAATTACCTACCCATATCCCCCAATCCCTCTATTTTTTAAAAATTATCAGTTCAAGGTGTTCAAGGACTGACATCTACAGGGGGAGTGAATTCATAAAGTCACTGCCCTCTGAGTGAAGAAATGTTTCCTCAACTCTGTTCTAAAAGGCTGACCCTTCATTTTCAGACTGTGACCCGGTTATAGATTCTCCCACCGGGGAAACAGACCCTCAGTGTCTACTTTATCAGCCCTTTAAGAATCTTATATGTTTCAATAAGATCCCCCTAATTCTTCTGTACTCCAGAGAATACAGTCCCAGTTTATTCAGACTATCCTCATAGATCAGTCCCCTCATCCCAGGAACTAACCGAGTGAATCTACGCTGCACCCCCTCCAGGACAAGTATGTCCTTTTTTAAATAAGGAGACCAGAACTGCACACAATACTCTCGGTGCGGTCTCACCAAAGCCCTATACAGTTGCAGCAAGACTTCCTTACTCTTATATTCTAAACCTTTCGAAATGAACGCTAACGTGCCGTTTGCCTTCTTAGTTGCTGCTGCACCTGCAAACTAATTTTTTGAGACTGGTGTACAAGGACACCCTCTGAACACTAACACTATCTAATCTCTCCCCTCTAGAAAATAATCTATTTTTCTATTTTTTGCTACCAAGGTGAATAACTTCACAAGAATGTTAATGCTGTACCTGTTGGCCACTGAAGGTTGTTTTCCACCAAAGTTCTTCTCAAAGTGCCATCCATTGATGCTTTTTCGATCTTTGGGTGGTTACCCCAATCAGACCAGTACATAGTTCTGCAACATAAAAACACACAGATTACTGAACCGATGAAATTGTGGAAGAGGATCAAATCCATTCAGTATTCCTCTTTCCATTCAATGCTACGCAGGTTTCCCACTCACCCCCTGAGCGGATCGACGACCACTGCATGGGGCTCATCAATCATCCCAGATATCAGCGTCTTGCGATTTTCCCCATTCATCTGCGCCACTTCAATCACATCCCGCCCAGAGTCTGTCCAGTAAATGTTTTCAGCAACCCAGTCCACTGCGATACCTCTCGGCATCTTCAGGCCTGGGATCTAGAAATACAACAGCAAAATATTTTGTCTAGCATGAAAATAAAATGTGGCTCGCAACAATTCTTTACATAGGAAGTGGCACAATCTAAAAAACAATTTTATTTTATGGAATTAGTAAGGGTCTCAATAAGGTTATAGCCATATAGAAATAATTAGAATCGTAGTAAAAATCCTACAGAACATAAAGTGCGTACACAACAGAGCCTGTAAGGAGACAGAAAATCTGCAGGTCACTTGTTCGACTGCTCATCAAATAGACAGGTTACGAACTACAGATATGAGAGTTGTTTTTTGGGGGGGAGTGGGGGGAGAGGAGAGGAGGAAAGAAAAGCAAGGACAGAGCTGTGAACTGGTTTGCTTTGTAACGCTTTGTGTCTTGGGCCCTCTAGTGACAGAACCGCAGTGATACGTCAGTACAAATCAGAGCAGAACTGCACAACCAGGATGTCCATAAAATGAATTCAATCCAGAAATGTGCGAATGAACGTTTAACCACAAACCAAAAACATTTTTTAAAAAAAAAATGAATTGCATGTAACGGAGATTGGAGCTCACATTCAAGTCATTGACGCCACTGTTCAGCTGCCGCTTGTTCCTGTTGGAGGATGATGAAGATGGCGAGAGCTCTCGATAGGAGATCTTGCCCGTGTGCCAGTTAGTCCAAAAGATTTTATTGCCTTTGACGTGAGCGTCCATCGCATCGATCCTCACTGTCTCATCGCCTTGGAAGGCCTGTTCGTATGCTGAGTTGGGATTGAACGGATAAAGACTGCGGATTTCATTGTCATCGGCAATGTAGAGAACTTGATTCCCAGAACCTTAAGGGAAGAAGAACTGAACTTGAGAGACCTTCAGACATCAAAATTACCTTGTGGAACCAACAAATTATTAATAGGACTAGGTATGAATTCTGGACGAATCTGGGGTTTGAAAGTTTTGGTGCTCGGCTGAAATCAGTGCGTAAGTTTCACATTTAAATCTGCTTCCAAATAGGACAAAAGGTCAAGTTACCTTCTGCCTTGCAGGTGTGGTTCCTTCCTTTGATGTAATTCTTTGCACACGAGCAAATGTAGGAGCCCTTTGTGTTGTTACAATACTGAGAGCAGACACCAAACTGCAAGCATTCGTTATTATCTGAAAAAAAATCAATCATATTAGCTAACTTTCCAATAAAGGGAAAAACAATATTGCAGATGATACATTTGAAAGGATCTACAATCACAGTAAAAGCAAATGTTTTGAAAAGGAAAATTAAATACCCACTTGGATATTTACTCTATTTTTCCCAATACTGCTTCACAGTCAGCAGAAAGCTGGATTCACATCTAAAACAAAAGCTATACATCGAACGAGGGTCCAATTTAAATTTGGAATTTAGACAATCTGATAAACTGTAGTTGGAGCCTTTGGAATTCTATCAGATTAATCTTAGAAACAGCCCCAGGCAGACTCCATTTGTGTAACAACAGCTACATTACACCTGACATTATTAAAGAGTGCTGCTTGCTCTTTTCCACCCCCGGAGCGTACTTTATCAAATATATGACAGCAGTTACCTTCACACTGTTTTCTATCATTGTTGTACTGGAATCCATGTCTGCAGGCACAGTATGATGTTTTTTTGTTTTCTTTGCACTCGGCTTCATCTCCGCACATAGCCTTATTGCTTCTACATTGTGGATCTGCATAGAGCAAGAAATGCAATTAAAAACAACCTCATTAAAGCTTTTGTGTATTAGAATTAGAGTGTAATGTCACTCAACTGGAGACACAGATACCTCCAGCCACAGGAACTCAGGCAGGCAATCCAACCACCTGAAATCACAGAGATCATTTCAGCCAACTTACGTCTCTACAAATTGGCATTTTCTTTAGAACTTACTCTTTGAGCAGTGTTGTTCATCTGTTGCCCCGTCTCCACAGTCATCCCAATTATTGCACAGATGATCCTGATTGATGCATTTGCCATTCAAGCATGTGAACTGATCCTTCCCACAGGCTTTGGGCTTCTCTGTCGGCTTCTCTGTAAATATATGAAACAATTTGGTCAATCTGTAGAGTTTATATGTTTAACATTTCACAGCTACTTGCTGACAAATTAAGTAACACTGATATCAGTGTCCTGCCCATAAAGGGACTTGCCCACAAAACATTCCTATAGGTCCTGTGTACATCAGAGCACATACTATTTTACTGAACACATTTTTAAAAGTAGATATTAAAATACTCAAAGAATTTTGTTTAACATTTTAAGCACCAAATCTAAATTGATAATTTGTATTTCACACCCATCACCAGTGCTGCTCTTCAGCCAACAGCAGCTTATGTCACTATTCTGAGGAAATAATTATTCCATATTTACCACACTGGGTCTCATCTGACTGGTCCCCACAGTTGTCCACACCATCGCATCGGCGACCAATCCACAAGCAAACCCGGTTGTTTTTGCACCTGAAGGGCCTGTTAGGAGGGCACTGGAATTTCACTGGACAGAAAAAGGGGAAAAATTATTTTAAAACCAAGGGAACTAAATGAAACAGAAATTTCAAAATATTAAAAAAAAAATTAAAAATTTACTTTGCACAAAGAGTCAGATTACACAGAGCTTTTCATGTCCTTTGGGAGGGACATAGAAATGTTCTTGGGTTTCCTCTTCCCTATCAAATCATTGGGAGTATGACGACTAATTTATTTTGGTCAGCCCGATTGTCTGACACATGTGGAAATCCATTACCACACTTAAGAGTATCCAAGCCAAACAGAGTTCAATGCATCACACTTACATATGGAAATCCCAGAGATATTAGTTGGGAATGGAATGCACACTCTCTCTCTCCCTGGAGGGACGCATCCTGATTACCTAATTCTGCAAAGTATTAGGTGCAGGTTGGCAAGAGCTAAGGCTCGGGCGAACCAAGCATTGTGAGCATTGTGGTACTGCTGGAGTCTAACCAGCTAAATTCACTTAGCTTGCCATTGAGAGCACTACCTGGCAAGCTTTTCTGGCTGGTTGTTCAGCTAGTATCACCCTACCCGTTAGGGCTTTGGCTTGCAGGGTTAACAGGAGCTGAGTTAACAGACTTCTAGCCTGGCTGTGCCACCATCAGCAGTGCCCTGGAGTACTGCAGACCAGCCTGGCTCAGCAACACTAAAAGGTTAGAATGGATGTTCACCAAATGAATTCACCATTCATGGCTTTGGGTCATGATGTTTAGCACAACCAAGAAAATGATTAAGAGGGAGAAAATGGAATATGAGGGTAAACTCGCTGGGTACATAAAGACAGATTGTAAGAGTTTTTACAAGTACACAAAGAGGAAGAGACTATTAAAGTTGAATATTGGCCCATTGCAGACAGAGACAAGAGAAATTATAATGGGGAATAAAGAAATGGCAGTCATTAAACAAATATTTTGCTTCTGTCTTCACGTTAGAGGACACTGAAAACTTACTGGCAATAGAGGGGAACCCGGAGGCTAATGTTAATGAGGAACTTAAAGAAATGAACATCAGTAAAGCAAGAGTACTTGAGAAATTGATAGGATTAAAAACCGATAAAACTCCTGGACTAGATGGCCTGCATCCTAGGGTTTTAAAAGAGGTGGCTGCAGAGATAGTGGATGTTTGTTTTTGATCTTCCAAAATTCCCTGGATTCTGGAATGGTTCCCATTGATTGGAAGATTGCAAAAGTAACGCCGATATTTAAGGAGACAAAAAATGAGGAACTATAGACCAGTTAGTCTGCCATCGATGTTAGGAAAAACTCTGGAGTCCTTAATTAGGGACGTCGTCGTGGGCTACTTAGAAAATCATAACATGGTTAGGCAGTCAACATGGCTTTACGAAAGGGAAATCGTGTTTAACAAATATTAAGAATTTTTTGAGGATGTAACTAGCGGGTTAAATGGGGGGGAACCAGTAGATGTGGTGTATTTGGATTTCCAGAAGGCATTCTACAAGGTGCCACATAAAAGGCTGTCGCATAAAATCAGAGCCCATGGAATTAAAGGTAATTTATTAGCATGGATTGGAGAGTGGCCAACAGGAAGAAAACAGAAAGTAGGGATAAACGGGTCCTTCTCAGATTGGCAGGATGTGACTAGTGGAGCACCGCAAGGATCAGTGGATCAGGATCAGTGCTTGGGCCTCAATTATTATATATATCAATAATTTAGATGAGGAAATAGAACTTAACATATGTAAATTCGCAGACAATACGAAGATAGGTGTGAGAGAAAGTTGTGAGGATGACACATGAAAAATGCAAAGGGAAACAGACAGTATAGGTGAGTGGGCAAGAAGGTGGCAGATGGAGTATACTGTGGGGAAGTGTGACGTTATTCACCTAGGCAGTAAAAATAGAAAAGCGAATTATTTTCTAGAGGGGGAGAGACGAGGTTGTGTTAGTGTTCAGAGGGATTTGGGTGTCCTTGTACGTCAGTCACAAAAAGTTATAATGTAGGTACAGCAAGCAACTAGGAAGGCTAATGCCATCAACAACAACAAAATTACATTTATAGATCGTCTTTCATGTTGTGAGGACGTCTCAAAGCGCTAAACAGTCAGGTATCGGGACCCGAGCATGGGGAGGGTTAGTGTAGGGGTGAGGGAAGGCAGAGGGGTGGGAGGGCGATCAAAGGCACGATCGAAGAGAAGGGTCTTGAAGAAGGCAAGGGAGGAAGCGAGGGGAAGGAACCATGGGATTGAGTTCCAGAGTGTCGGGGCAGAGAGGCTGAAAGCCCGGCCACCGATGGTAGGGTGGGTCGGGCGGGAGATATGGAGCAGACCAGAGCCCGCTGAACAGAGGGTGCGGCCATGGTGGCGTTCGTTGCAATAGAGTTAAGAGTACAAGAGTAGGGAAGTCTTGCTGCAGTTGTATAAGGCCTTAGTGAGACCGCACCTAGAATATTGTGTGCAGTTTTTGTCTCCTTATTTAAGAAAGGACATACTCGCCTTAGAGGGGGTGCAGCGTAGATTCACCAGGTTGGTTCCTGGGATGAGGGGGTTGACCTATGAGAATAGGTTGAGTAAACTAGGCCTATATTCTCTAGAATATAGAAGAATTAGAGATGATCTTATAGAAACCTATAAGATTCTTAAGGGTCTTGACAGGGAAGATGCCGTGAGACTGTGTCCCCTGGTTGGAGAATCTAAAACTAGAGGTCATAGTCTCAAGATTAAGGCTCAGCCTTTTCGAACTGAGTTGAGGAAACATTTCTTCACTCAGAGGGTAGTGAATTTGTGGAATTCTCTACCCCAGAGGCTGTGGATGCTCAGTCCTTGAACATTTTCAAGACTGAGGTTGATAGATTTCTAGGATAGAGGGCTTAAGGGATATGGTGGGTAAATGGAATTAGGTTAGAAGATCAGCCATGGATCTTATTATATGGCAGGGCAAGCTCGAGGGGATGAATGGCCTACTCCTGCTCCTACATCTTATGGTCTACACAAGAAAAAATAAATTGCTTAAAATTGGAAACTTGGAATAATTAAAATAAACTAATTGACACTTGCCTCATATGTAACTCAGATGAACCAAAATGAAAGCAGCATTTTCTCAAAGAGATTAGAAATTGAAAATACAGAAACAACCAGACTCTCATGTAAACAACAAGCACATCTTATCATCAGACTCGGTAGGAGGTTGGCTCTGGGACGCTTCCCTGCGCGAGGCAGGCTATATAAATGCAAGTGGTTGTTGTCTGCTGTACAAGCGCCATTCGTAACTTACAGCATTCCTCTGGGTTTTCATCAGAGTTATCTCCACAATCGTCCTCTCCATCACATTTCCAGGCTAATGGCTTGCAAAGCGTATTGTTACACTGGAACTCATCCAAAGGGCATGTTCTCACCACTAAAACATAAACAATTTCAACCATTTGACAAATTCTGAAACTTCTGGTTATTAAACAGGTGGAAAAGGAGTACAGAATAACAGCAATATAAAGTCAAATAGAACCACAGATGGGCCAAATTGCTTTTCAAGCAAATTAACCATCCAATGATCTTCCGTTCCATGTTGTGTCCACTGCCAACTTGTAAATATGGTGGCAATTAACTAAATTCCTATGTTCAAGTTGCAGGCACTGTATATATTGGATCCCAGTAACAGGAAACAGTTGTATTACTGTATCTACAGTGATTATTGAATTGGAGCAAAAAGGTCCAGATGGGAATTGGAAATGGAATGATAAACATCAAAACTACTGAAAGCAGAAAATACCTGCTACTAATTCCAAAATGACTGCTGACTCTCCCCCACCCCTAGGATAGACTATTGCCTCATGCTTTGTCTGCCCACAAGAGGGGTAAATAAAGCAATGTCACAAGGCTTTGTGTTGGGAACATACTTGTCCAGCTTATTAATAGCCTTCAAAGCCCTCTTAATATTCTGTCTCTAAGCTTTACATTAATATTCTGTTAAAAGTCATAATAAATACTGTTCACCCATTATAGTGGGAGCAGGATCCTGATAGTACTATGCTATCAGTTCCCTTTAATAACGGTAACATTTGAAGACTTATAAAAAAAAGACGTGGCAGTGAGTTGTGAGACAGTAATTCAATTGAGCAGTTCTGATAGACCCATAAAGGGCTCATGCTTTGCTGTCAGTTTTGATCAGGCAGAATATTGTTATTCTTCAGTCTACTTTTTGGAAAAGCTATTTTATAGAGAATGTTCAGAGCATGCCGTATGTTGCGTGATGTATCTTAGTGGGCAAAAGAGAATAGTGCTGTAAAGCGAAAGGTGTAAATTACACATGTATAGCATAATTATTCCCATGTCATTTGCATTTTGGTAGTAGATCACTGCTGTCCACTACTCATTATACTGATCAGAAAAGGCTCATCAGAACTCAAAATTATTATCACTTTTCACTTACGTTCCTTATAGAGATGTGATATTTCTCCACTGGAAAAAAAACTTTGCCTTGCTCCCTCCCTCGACTCCTTCAAGGCCTGTCTTTGATAGTACAGGCCTCCTCTTCCGTCGCACCTTCGGTCACCCTCTTACCCCCACCCTCCTTGCCCTCCACCTCTCCTGATCCCACCCCCCAACTCAGGGCCAAATTCCCTAACTGTCCACCGGCTTTGGATGTCCTCCCGACGTGAAAGGCACTGGGTAAATGTAATGTGTTGTTGATGTTGGAAATAACTTTTATTGTCTGAACACTGCATGGTTGGTTATAGATGGTATTCATACTACAATTAATATTGATGTTGACATTTATAATTTTAATGTGAAAATAATTGTTAGACTAGAAGTGTGGTGCAAGCTTCTTTCTGCACTCATTTTCCTCATTGCAATGCATCCCGAAGGGAAATCCAATCGACAGAATATACATATGAAACATTCTACAAAGCAATTTGAGCTGCAACTCTGGCAAATGTGGTACAGTGGTCGGGTGTGCAATTTGGACATTTGTTTTGTTTGTGTTTTTTGGGCCAGCCGGGTGTCTGACACGCGCGGCAACCCTTCACCGTGCGTAAGAGCATCCAAACCAAACTGAGAATTCCATGCATCCCATGGAAATTCCAGAGGTAGATATTTGGAATGGAATGCACACTCTCTCTCCCTGGAGGGTCGTATCCTGCTTACCTAATTATCTAATCCTACAGGTTGGCAAGAGCCAAGGCTTGGGGACCCCCAGAGTGTACTTTAGAACACTGGTGTTACTGAAAATGCTGTACATGTTTCCCTCCGTCACTACCATGAACTATATTATACTTCTTCCAAGAACTGTAGCAACTGGATGGCTGTGTTGTAATAGCAGGTTTCTTACCAGAGCCACAGTTATCTTCATCACTGCCATCCATACAATCTGCATCATGGTCACAGTGCCAGCGATGTGGGATGCAGTGTCCATTGTTACACTGGAACTGGTCAGCCTCACACCTGACCATACAATCTTTCTGCAATAATATCAAGACAAGCAGTTGATTAATTTACGTAAGTATTTAGGTGTATGCGTATCAAATTCCCTCAAGGATCATAGTACAGTATCTATTATGAATTTCTGTATCATTAGCATCACTTTCTGGGCCTGATGTGCAGGAAGTGACACAAGTGTCATCCTGACAACGTGGAAGCTGGACTGGTAATGTTGGGCTCAGAGGACTGGATTATGACAAGGTCCTCTTACGTACACACAATTTTAGTGATTTTAATGCTCATTGTTTTGTTGCCAAAGTACCACTGAGTGCCTGTTCGTGGTGCTCTCGAGCTATTAGCAGAATCTGAGCAGGTTCTCAGCAGTATTGCAACTGTAAGCCTGACTCTGTTTATTTTAGAAATGGAGAGAAAAGAACAGGATAGGGTTTTAAAAAAATGCTATTCACCTCCATCTTCACTAAGTAGGTTGAGAACAGTCTAGTAATGAACTGAATATGTGCGGTTGGAAGAAAGAAGCTCACATTCCACTTGTGTAGATTACAACGATAAATTAGAGCCCTCTCAACAATCAGAACTTCTCACATAGACAGACATACCTCATCCGAGCCATCTGCACAGTCATGGTCTCCATCACATTTCCATCTGCCAGCTATACAACGGCCATTAGCACAGGCAAATTCACTCTCCGAGCAAGCCCGTGGTGCTGTTAGGGGAAAAAGTACAGTCGTTATGAACCAGGTCACCCAATTGACCATTCAGGATGCTATACAATGAAACAGATAACAGTACTGTAACAACTGAATATCACATCAAGGTATAGGATCCAATGAGAAAATATACTTCAGAGATTCACTGTCACACACATTTCCCATGGAAATATTGGCACTAAATGTGTCAGAACAAATGTTTTTTTTAAAAAATTGGAGATGGGAATAAAACATTAAAGTGCCCTTTATCTGCACATGCCAGAAACACACACAAAAAAAACTCTTGGATCGTTTTAAATAATTTATCTGATGAGGTGAATTTCACCAGTTTCGCAAGAGCTGCTAAATGGCCTCCTTAGTGGGGACCAGGTGCCAGTTTCTCCGAAGCATACCTCAGGTTAGATTCTACAGCAGTATCACCAGAGGTCTGGGAGCAGGCTGCCCACCCCTATCCTGGGAACAGGCACCTCTCCGGCCTCTGAGTGAATGTGCTGATTGAAAGAAAACAAAAGACTCGACCATATTTGGTACAGATCAATAACATCCAGGAAGGCGGAGTTTCTAACCGTGACGGGGCTAAATGCAGTTGGCACACACAAATAACACAGGATATTTACATGCTGAATCAGGTTGCTTTCATAAGTGGATAGGAGGTTGTATCCTTGCCACCTGTCCCACCTCACAGAAAAGTTCCACCTCTGGTTTATCTGCACTTAACACCAACACAACAATTTCTAAAGACCCCAAGAAAGTGAATTTTACATGCGAAAGAATGAATGAGAAGCATTACAGTATAATTTTAAAAGCTGAAAGTCCTCCCTCCGCAAAAGGATTAGTTAAGTGTCACAAAACCCAGAGAGAGCAGAAACAAAGAATTTCATCGTTAAAAGTTTAAATGGTGAAAAACTAACTACCTTGAACTTCAGGTGTGGTGAAGCAATTGGAAATACAAGAGAAAGGCACATCAAAAGCATGTGAAATACGAATGGTTCAAAAGACTTTTTAAAAAACGTACCCAGTAGCATTGTTGAGGTGTAGGGACAATGATAGAAAAGAGCAAACCCCAAACAGCAAAGTGACAAGAGCAAACATACACACAATTTCAAAAATATTTAACATAATATTCCAGTGTTAAAAAGCTCCCGATAGCACATGTTTGCATTAATCCACATAAATTGCCAGAGTTATTGTACGATTTGTACATAAATAGATCCCAGATAAAATATCAGGTATTTAGTCACCAAGATTAGTACAAATGCTTACATGGTTTATGTTGCAATAATCTATTAGCTGCAATACAATTTACCACAGCTCTGGTTTTGATAACTGGGGCCTTTCATTGTTTTGCCTCCTTTCCCTGTCTGACGTTCACTGCTGGCTGTGCCTGGTTTGAGAGGCCAGGGTGGGGGGCAGCATCAATCTGTGCTTGGCCAGCTGTTAGCAACTGCGTTAGGAGCAGATGCTGGAGGTTTCTCATCCAACTGTCTCTCCTCCTTTGCCACAGAGCATTCAGCTCCGCACCTCCTGCCAGCTGTGTGCCAGAGACTGCAAGTGGGGCTCAAATGCACTTTCCATCAACTCTTGGCGCTGCTGGCATATTTTAATCATTTTGCTACAACAAATCCTTCCTTTAAAATAAAAACATTAACGTTTTACTCCTGCAGTAAGAATTGTTTTGATAATAAAGAATAAAATGTCATTGTCGATAGCAAAATGAAGCATCAGCCTATCTGTAACTTCCCTTTTATATAGCCTTACTAAGCTGGACCAAGTTTATAGGCAGGCTCCCTGCTCTTGAACATTGATGATACCTTGCTTCTAGGAGGTGCATAAGCGCAGGTCAGTTTGTCCCTCCCTTTATTGATTACCTCTCCTAGGATGAAGCCTGACCCACTCCCCTGATCTACATGCAGTGTTGGTTACTGCGACACCTCCTATGCTGCACTCCTGACACGCTTTTTAATTGCACCATGTCATACTGCATTCTCAAATCTAAAAGGAATTTTCTGTGCCGTGACCTACCTCTTTTACGTACTCTTTAGGACAGTGTTAAATAAAGAAAAAGAACACAAGATGAGGCGAAATGTTTCATGGCACAATAAAGACAATGCAAAATATACATGATTAGAATCAAGTAAATGCTACTACACGGGCTTTAAGTAAAACAAAATAACAATACAATGCTATGTAGATTTAGCCCTTTGCTTAATTTAAAACATTCCCATCGATTAGAATTTTTGGGGGTGAAAGTAAATTTCTTTGTAAAAGCAAAGGGTTAAAGCATGGGTGCAGACAAGTTTGAAACTGTATAGCACAGTGTTATTAAGGAAACATTTTAGGCAATAAATTAAAAGTTTTTTTAAACCACATATAGATTTTGTCTTCCTACGCTGCTCCCCACAGGAAGCTCTCTAAATCAGGCCTGAGGGGCAGACGTGCAAGCAGGGGAGTTCTTGTGTTCACTTTCAATCCTAAGGACCTCTACAGTCAGCTGATAAGAATTGAACTGACTACGGAGCTAATGCATGCAAGCCAGCTTTACATTTTCCTGATGTGAATCCACACTCTCACAGCAGCCCACAGATAACAGAATTTATTATGCTTCTTGCAAACTGAAGTGCTGGGATATGAAGTGCTGGAAGGATACCAGCAGCTCATCAACATGACACCTTGCCAGCTTGCTCAAAACAACTCAAATCGTTCCTCTTAATTAAAAAAAAGTTCACGAATTATAATCAAGCTCAATATCCTTTTGATACATTCTGCCTTCAGTACCTTAATTTGTTTTCCCAAAAAATGAATTGTACCTAAACAGTGAGCACTGATCATATCAGGGGAACTTGATGGCGAGGTCATTGAACCCCTATAATTTCACTCTTATTTATTTGGTCAGCCGGGTTTCTGACACGTGGAATTTCCTCATGTCTGGATTGAAATGCACACTCTCTCCCTGGGATACTGCTGGAGTTTCACCAGCTAAAATCACAGCTTGCCAGAGCACTGTCCGGCAACGCTGGCTCAGGAAACAGACAGCCAACACTGGCTCAGATTCGATTCCGACATTCTGTGCCCATTCACATCACCTAGAAGCCATCTCAGCTCCAAAGACTTAACTCCCCACCAGGAAGGATCGCCACTCTCTGGTCATTTGACATCAAACAAGTGCAGTTTGAGCTTTCACGAGGTGGATAGCAAATATTCACACAGAGAACAAAACAAATCTAAAGTGATTGAAGTTTCTCAGCTCAATGATTTCTCTATTAATAGTTCAGTTTTCTCACAATGTCCTTTATGCACTCCTGAAAACACCTTCCCACCCAGTGACATTCTCCTTGGGGAGAATGATTTAATTGTCCTCTCCCCACTGCACCATTGTGACAAGTTACACTTCCCAATGCCATCAATAGTTATGGGCACTTGAAGGAACATTCCTGAAGGAATGACAAATATTCATTAATGAAACACAATCACATTGAGAAGAAACTAATTTTCACTCTTAAAAATGACCAATTTAACCTGCACCTTCAGTTCCGCTGACTCCAATTCATAATATCATTGCAGAATTTACTGCAGAACAAGTTCATTCACAAAAATAAAAGGTGGGGGGGAACAGGGAAAATAACAGAAGATGCTGAAAGTAAGGTTTCTGTTGAAATGATTGTTTTGTGTTTAAGGAGACAAACGTACTGCAGCCTTCCTCGTCTGAGTTATCCCCACAGTCATTGTCGTAGTCACACTGCCAGCGACCAGGGACACAGCGATTATTTTTGCAGCGGAATTGATAAGGCTCACAAGTTCTCTCATCTGGAAAAATGAAAATAAAATACGACTATTAGGTACTGCACGTTTGTCAATATACTGTTTCAAGAGATCCCGGTGTAGATATGCAATGTATCTCTGATGTAGAAATCCTGCAGCTATGCTGAGAAAAACTAGAATCTGAAAATTCAACATTGGCACAATACTCAAAAGCTCTATACCACCAGGAATGAAACAAGACCTGGTTCACTCAAAGGGAATCGTGTTAAAACAAAAGAACCGTGGAGAAATAAAACCAGAGATCGATGAGGTCGTTTCAGGTCGATGACCTTTCGTCAGGAAGGTCATCGACCTGAAACGTTAACTTACTTTCCCACTCTCCATAGATACTGCCTGACCTGCTGAGTATTCCCAGCGACTGTTTTTATTTGAGATTTCCAGCATTTGCCGTATTTTGCCTTTGTTAAAGAACTGTGATACTTAACATCTTTTTGACATATTTTGTATACCACACATTACACTTTTTTAAAAAGAAAATAATAGTTTTCCTAATTTTCCTAAACAGTGAGCAGTGTTACTGTACTTGATAGGTTTGATACTTAATTTTGCATTCCTAATCAATGCCAGTGGTGTAAGGAATCACTGAGTGGTGGCCAGGTATCTAATAGGGGTGCAAGAGTTTTTGTTTCTCAGACACTAGAAGGCGCACTCCATCCCACAGTCCCTTCGCCTTGCCCCTTCCCTTGCCCACTTCAAGGCCAATCAGAAGACCCCCCTCTTCCACCACACCTTCGGTCACCCACCTTCCCCCACCCTCCCTGCTCTCCATCCCTCCTGAACCAAATCCCTGACTCTCCAGCTCCTTGGGATGTCCTCCCGCAACACGAAAGGCACTGTGTAAATGTAATTTGTTGTTGTATTACGCTCGGTCGCTTAACACAGATTCCACGTACCACATTCTTCTTTTGGTTCATCAGATCCATCACCGCAGTCATCCTCACCATCACACTTCCATCTGGCTGGTATACATCTCCCTGAATCCTTACAACGGAACTCATCCACTCCACATCTCATTTGAGCTGGAATTATAAACCATAACATTATTCTGAACATTTGGCAATAAATCATTTTCATTGTTTTAAGAATATTTAAAAAAAATGATTTAACAAATAGTAGGTACTGAGAAATCTTGTGATCTCTAATGTGGCAATTGACAACTATTTCAATGTCTGAATTGTTTTTGATACCTTCACACATTCAGTCTAAGCACTGCTAAACTTGTTTAAGAAGATCAAAAATCAAGTCAAAACACTCTGCATACATCAATACGGTGATGTGGTTGAAAAGGAACTTTATATTGCTCCCAAAATCCTTTACCTTCATGGGTTTTGTAATGTCATCAGCCAGAAATTAACAAAGAACGACATAAACCCATTTGTAGCTTTCTATCACCGTACACCAGCATTGTACTTGTGGGACAACTAAATTGTAACATCAATCAAACTAATTTATGAATCTTACTGCAGTTGGCAGGTTCGTCCGAGTGGTCCATGCAGTCGTTATCTCGGTCACACACCCACACGCGTGGGATGCACCTTTTGGTTGTTGCGCACTGGAACTGGTTTGGTGCACAGGTAACCTCAGCTTTTTTTTTTGAAAAACAAAAGTTTGCAAGTCATAACGTAAACTTTACACAGGCAGAACAAAGACATCCATGTTTAAACTGCCCGCTTTTCTTGTAATGATCACAACATAGCCATTCAGTACTTAAGCATCTTCTAAAGTCTTGGAGCACAGTGTACTGCTGTCTGATCATACTGGAGTGTGCACTGATTGTACTTGCACTCATCCCACACAAACTCGCATCTCTTCCAGCTACACCTCTATTTAACCTTGATTAAAAGTTAATTCTTACAGTACATTTGCTTACTAACATCTGCACACACGCAAGCTACAGTAGCTCAAAAAATACAACATAATATTACAAAGTTTTAATATGGAGCATATCCAAAGGTCTAACTGGAAGAGGCTGACTCCCTTTGCACAGATACTATGGTTGAAAATCATTATATTTCACATCACATAATTATGTCCATTTGTGAAAAAGGAAGTTCAGTATTTATTTTATTCACACTCACGGCAGTCTCTCTCGTCTTCCCCATCTCCACAGTTGTCTTGCCCATTGCATCTGAATATTCCAGGAATACAGCGATTTGCTGCTGTACACTTAAACTGACTCGGTAGACAAACATGAATTGCTGTGCAAAGTAACAAGACATTTAATTTCAATATACGCTAATAGTACAATAAATAATCGAAATAATAAATCACAGGAAATAAATCAGAACTGACCACAATTGGCTTCGTCAGAACTGTCCTGGCAGTCGTTGTCCCCATCGCAGATGAAAGCAGGGTTGGTGCAAAGGCCAGTGCCACATTGAAATTGCCCAGGTCTGCACTTGAATTCAGCTAATTAAGAAGACAGTAACATTAATCCTGTTAACCCTGCAAGCCAAAGCCCTCATGGGTGGGTTGTCCCAGCTGGACAAGCAGCGGGAAAGCTTGCCAGACAGCAATGTCAATGGCAAGCCATGCGGTTTTAGATTGTTAAACTCCAGCAGTTAGCGCAACACACACTCTGGGGCCCCCCAAGCCTTGGCTCCTGCCAACCTGCTCCTAATACCTTCCGGAATTAGATAAGCAGGTTGTGTCCTTCCAGGGAGAGTGCGCGCATCCCATTGCAACACTCTATTTCTGGAACTTCTATGTGTGGATTGCATGGAATGCTCAGTTTGATTGAGTTATTTTTAACCAACTTGATGGGTTTCTTGAGTTTATTTTTTGGCGGGTCAGCTGGGTGTCTCACGCATGTGAAAACAGGACCCAGCTGACCCCCCAAAAAATAAACTCAAGAGTCTAAATAACATCTCCTTTCTCCCTCCCCACAGTCCTGATCATTATGTATTGCCACCCCCCACCCAAGCGAAGCTTTAATATTATAATACTTACGACAGTCTTCAGGTTCATCAGATCGATCACCGCAATCATCCTCAGTATCACACTTCCACCAGAAGGGAATGCATTTGTCATTCTTACAAACAAACTGCAGAGAAAATACCCATGAATTATACTTTTTTCAAATTAAGATCCATTATCAGCCTTCTGAAGTGTTCATGAGCACTTACTAAGACAGTATTAGCAGCATTTTGTTAAGGGCCACGGCCACATGACAATTCATGTATTTACTTAAAGGGTCAATTGTAGGAATTCTACAACTGTGATTCCCACATTGAACTATTGATCTCAAATGTGCAAGTAGCTGCTAAGTAAAAGCTCAGCAATGCTCCATAGGGACACAAAACACACCCTCTGGAACCTATAGCTCTGGCCAACCACTTGCCTTATGGAACTTGGGAAAGCCCTGCCCCAAGTAGCGCTTTCTTGCTGCAGAGCAAAGCACGAAAAGGAAAGAGAAAAGCACCGACTCTCAGCTCTGCCAACATTCCAGTCAGAGTCTAGGAGTGAAAGTCAGAAATGGAGACCCAATGATGTACTGAACAGTAGAATTACAACTGGAGTGACTGCTCACCACGCAGCTCACAAGCAATTCCTTGTAGCTGTTATTTATCTAGTGGGGGTCAAATCCTTGCCTCTCGGATGACTCGTGACCAACTAGTGATTAAGCACCATCTGGTAAGACTATCCAAGCCGGACAAACATCTGGAAGCTTGCCAAAGTTAGCTAATGGTTTTTAGCTGGTTAATCTCCAGTACATAAGAACATAAGGAATTGCAAATCCAAAGAAGACCAAGGTCCATCTAGTTCGCCTTCTAGCATCCTGGCAGTTGCTTGACATTTCGTGTCCCAAACTATATACGTATCCTGAGATATTAATTTCTAGCAGAAATTTATCTAATTTGTTCTTGAAACAAATAATTTGTTCTGGATTTACCCCCCTTCAATTGCAGGCCGTGTTACCCACTGCACTCTGGGGTCCCCAAACCTTGCCAATCTGCATATAAATTCTCGGGATTGGGTTATAGGCTGACCAAAAAAAACAACCACATGCAATAAGTCTAATATTCCTATCCAAATAGCACACAACTTTTTTTAACCTATCACCCAAATATTCTTCAATTGAGGGGACATATCTAATAAAAACATTTTAATCGAAATTCAGTGAGATTATGGAAAACCTTTTCAGATGGCAACAAAACCTGTGGAAGTGATTAAGATGGGGTCTGACAGGAACCTGTCATGCAAAATTACATCACTGACCAACAATTTGCAGACAAATATTCCAGACAGACTTTACATGAGCATAGCTCAGTAAAACATATTTAAAGCGGTTTATCCCTTATTCTCTTGGGCAGCCATTTAGAAAAAAAAAGAAAATTATTGTAACTTTTTAATTTTTTTTCAGACAAGCTGAAATAAAACTCAATTCTGAACTAATACCAAAATTAACACAGATTTGATCTTCCCTATCCTTTCTCTGTATGTAGTGCAGACAAATCTGTTGGTCCCGAGTCACATACCTGACTTGCAGTGCAGTTGGATAGACATATCTTGCTGTCAGCAGCCAGGTAGAAATTGGTGGGACAAGCACATTTGTACCCACCACCAGGAGACAGAAGGCAAAGATTACTGCAGCCACCATTATCATTCTTGCAAGGATGGTCATAAACTGGAAGACAAATTAAACACGTTAGTTAATGCAAAATAAGATGCATAGATTTATTTACTGAACATTGTTCTGGTCTGGATCAATTGGCAGCATTCTCACTTCTGGGTCTGAAGGTTGTGCGTAAGTCAAGGACTTGAGCTCATAGTGTAGGCAGGTGTTTTCTCATCCAGAAGACCAGAACATTTGATGCTAATAGTACTTGAAAAAATCTGAGTAAAAAGGTTTATGTTCACCACACTTTTGTTTTGAGTATTTAAAAAAAAAGTTACTCATTTTTATAGCCTCTTATCACATTAAAATATCTCAAACTGCTTCACAATTGGTTACTGAGGAGTTATTTTTTTTGAAGTCATTTGCACCAGCAAAGTCTGACAAATAGCCATGAGATGAATGATCAATTTATCTAAAAGGCCCTCCCGAAGCACTTTGTGATGTCCTCCCAATGTATACAATAAATAGTATTGTGTGGTAAAACAAAAGGTGAGATCCAGCGATTCAGTATCTGAGCTGACACATGGGAATGGCGAGTTAATATGATTACTGGAGATTCGGTGGTCCAAGCACATGGGGAGGGGAGAACATTTGGGGAAAAAAACACCCAAAAAATTATTTCTAAGGAATTCTGTCTTTCTAAGCCCCTTTTTGGTGATCCAACTAGATTGTCATCTTGAATCCATCCAATAACTGCTTTCAGAATAGTCCAATGCAAAATCTATTTTATGGTAAAACTGTGTAAATATTGCAGAATTATTAACTTCAGTCTCACTTCAATGCAGCACACTCACTGCCTCTGGAACCAGGATGAGGAAGCTTGCACTAAGTTTTAATAATAAATGGCTAATGTCAAACTCCTCTCGTTTTATGCAACAAAGAAAAATGTCATGGTGTGCTTCGGGCCAGTAATTTAATATGTGTTTTGCAAGCGAGCTGAAAAAGAGGTTAAATGTTACAAGAACACATTTAGCACAACATTTGAGCTGAGAGAAACCACAAGCCAGACTGCAGCAGAACCACATCCTATAAAATAGAAGGCTCAGTAAGTAATAGTCCTTCACCCAAACTTCAGGAGCCAAATGGATCTTCAACCAGTCTTTATTCTACCACTCGAAGAATGCCAAGTTGGCCACACAATTCTCTCTCATTTGGCCTCCCTTCTGTAGAATAGAGGTGAGCAAATGCAGTGTCACAGATTCAGAGGAGGTGGTGAATGAACAGAATGTCGAACGCACACTGCATCCATGCCAAAATTTCCGAAAGAAAATTATGTTGATTTATTTAGCAACAGTAACAGGATTTCTATGCTATAAACAGTTCACATAATGCTGAGGAAAAAATGTTTGCATTTGCTTCCTTCAAATCTGGAGTACTCAAATGCACAAAACAAATGTCACATGAAAAATTAAGTGCTGCTAATACATTGCTCAATATTTTTCCCTTTCAAATCATCTGCTACACTAAAACAATCTAAGATAAGCATACTATTCATAACAGAGATAACCTTTCACTACAAAATATAACCACTGAGTGAAATTAAATCATCCAATCCTTAATTCGGGCATAAGCCTTGGTGTACAACTCATTTATTCAGTTTATATCCAGCAGCATATATGGACCCTTGAAGAGAAATCGATCAAGTTCGATTCAGGTCAGAAGATAGTCAGTATTTTGAAAGGTGCCAGAAGATGATGATGGAGTTTGTTAGTAAGGGTTGATTGTGGCTGGCAGATCTGATGAACCATGGAATGGGGATTAAAATTTCTTTCCCAGCGACAAAACTTCAAAACACCACAAAATGCAACAGTACGACGTACAATGTAGTGTACAGAAATAGGATGCTTTAGAACTATAAATTATTATTATATTATTATTGATTGAACCTAAAAGGAAATGTTGTACATGTGTGAGGATTTTCCTGAAAACCTGAACATGCAGGATCAGATCAACTAAGCATTTGAACCTGGGACAGAAGTGTGACTTGCTGACTTAACAAGATAAGTCTTGTGACTTAACAAGATAAACTGTAAAATGGTGCGACTGAGTTTAGGGAGCAGGTTACAGTATAGGCACACTAAAGCCAGTTGCCAGTAGCCATGAATCCTCAGCTTTGAAAAGCACTAAAGAAATGAACCTACAGCTGTGTGGCACATAGCAGAGCAGATACAGTGTAGGCAAGTTGGAAGGCCTTCAAAGGGTTAATATAGTAATATAGGCAAGCATTTTTTTCTGAACTAAATAGTGTAATAATTACTGTATATAAAGCTGCAAGAGAAGTTTCTTAAGTGAAGGTGATTTTGTATGTGGGTGCCATTACCTTCAGGCTGTCGGTATGAGTGATAGATATGAATATCCATCGGTCTGTGCAAAGTACTGATTAGCATAGTCTTGTTTGCGCCTGTGGTTTTATGGGCTCGGTTGATTGACTTGGTCTCCCAGTCTGTCCAGTAAATATAATCTTCAAAGAGTGTCAAAGCAAAGATGTGTGGGATATCCTGAGCCAACACTGCGCAGAAAGAGAAGTAGGTTAATTCAAACAGATGCCACAATTAAACAATCATAGGGGTGTTTAAAATAGTTGATCAAAAACACTGAGGCTTGCAAAATTGTGTAACTTGACTTCCAACCACTAAGAAAGAATACGGCATCTCAAAAGTGCAATAGGCTTCAAAGTCTTTCAAGAATATTTTGACCCCTGCAGAAATCATTTGATGTAGAGCCCTAGTATTCGTTCCTGGTAAATGAATACCTCTGGACACATAAAACTCAAGAGCACTTTTCACCCAGACCACATATTTTAGGATGCATAACGTTACATAAGTCAACAACTTATGTATTTGAGGAATGTTACATAAAACAAAAAAAAACTTTTGAATTGTAACAAATTTTACCTTGAAACATAATTTGAAATATAAACTTTAAAAATATTACCAGGGTTAGACAAACAAGAAAATCTCCTTCCAGGTGGTAGATACTTAAGAGCCAGCAATTTTATGTCAAACAATATGAAGGAAGTATTTCCAACAAGTGAATACTGCAGTTCTGTAATACATCAGTAGCTTGTTTATCAGCATATAAACTTACATCAACAAATGCACTAATTACACATTGTGGCTTACATAAATTCAATAATACTTTAGCAAATCAAACAGCAACTGACAGACACTTCATGAAAATCTCCTAGCTGGTAGTTGTAGAAAGCAATTATATTCTAAAGTTTACATGATAATAGTATATCAAGAACTTCCCTGAACATTGCAGGTTTCACAAGAAAAGTGTCCTCCAAACAAAGATCATTATGGCTATTTGGTAAGGCAAAAAAATATTCTGGTACAGAAACTAAAAGGTTTGAAAACACTCACAGGATTAATTCTGAACTGAAAGAGCGTGAACTCTTATTTTAAATACAATAATAATCCTTGCATTTGATATAACACCTTATCACATCTTCGAGTCGTCTCAAAGCACTTCACAGAATATACTGTAAAGTGAATTGACTGTATTTTGTGGGAGAAACGCTGCAGCCAATTGCGCACAGTAGCGTCCCCACAAACAGTTATGTATCGAGTTATTATTATATTTATTTATTTTTGAAAGGAGTATTACCCTCGGAAAAGTAATCACCAATCGACTAACAACAGGGTTCCTACTTACTGTTGGGTAAACAAAGGTTGTGGAGTAAGGAAACTTGCCCAATGCTTTGTCCTGCCTGGGAATCAACCCCATGTGCTCTCACTTGCGAGGCGAGTGCTCTAACTACTACGGACAGGATTACACTATGGCTACAAAGTAAGTTTGGTTAATTTTCAGAGTTAACAATATGCAAATAAACTTATTTTTACTTATTACCAAAAACAAGGCATTTTTCACCAGTGAAAAGATTTTTTTTACTAATAAGCAGCAGTATAGCTAAATGCCACCTACCTATGTGGCGATTGGAGCCGTCTAGATCAGCAAACTGAATATAATCTTCTCGAGCATCTGCCCAGTATACTCTGTTATTGACATAATCTAGCGTAAGTCCATTAGGCCAGGTGATCTTGGTGTCGATAACCATACTACGATTGGTGCCGTCCATACCAATTCTACCGATATGAGGGTGATCCCCCCAGTCAGACCAGTATAAGTACCTTAAAGATGAATAAAAAATTAACTATCTAACAACTTGACACTTTATGGAGTCATCTAAAGTCAATCTTTGCGTGATATAAGCAGGCACGTCTAACAGATGTCTCAACTTTTCCAGGATTGTTCCAAGTTAGTTTTCTAAACTTACAATGTTTTAAACAGTGTGTTCTCAAGCACTAAATCACAAAAGAATCCATCTTTCTCCTACCCTCCCCCATTCAAATGGATTTTGATATAATAATAATCCTTGTATTTGATATAGCGCTTTTCACGTCGGGAGGACGTCCCAAAGCGCTTCACAGAACACACTGTAAAGTGAATTGACTGTATATTTGTGGACGAACACGGCAGCGAATTGCGCACAGCAATGTCCCACAAACAGTCGTAGATTAAAAATGACCAATTTATTATTGTTTTTGGTTTTGGAGGAATTATTATTAGGCTCTGTGTGGTGTAAGGAAACTTGCCCAAGGTTTCGCCCTCTGCCTGGAATTGAACTCTGGTCTCTCGCTCGCAAAGCGAGTGCTCTAACCACTGAGCTACAGGACTCCACGCTTTCATAACTTTGCCAACCACATCCTGAGATTATTATTGCAGATAGAATATAAACTTACTTTTACAGCAGTTCACTCAACAATGCACATTTGAAATGGATGTTTCGAAAGATGGATGTCTGATGTGTACCAAAATCCAATTTGTAGAAAGTAAAGAATTTGGATATTTAGATAAATATAAAAGGGCAGCAATGAAATTATCAGCCCACATTATCAAGGTCAGAAGCTTTACTAACCAATCGAATTTCTTCCCAAGTTTTAGTCTGTCTGGTGAATGAATAAATAAATAAATAAATGTGCTAGGTAGACTCTTACCCATTCCGGACATCCACTGCTAGAGCACGAGGCTCCCTCAGCCCCGTGTTTACCAACACTGTGCGATAAGCTCCATGTAATTTTGAAACTTCAATCGTATCCCTCCCCTTATCGCACCAGTACAGATTTCCACCCACCCAGTCAACCGCAAGTCCATCTGGGTTGCTGAGGCCTGTGCGGTGCAAAATCTAGGATGAAACCACAGAGCCACATGAAAGATTACAACACAGAATATGTCAATTGATACAGTAGTGAAATATATAATTGCATATTTTTTTGACATAAGCTTTGTGCATAATTTCTGTTACAGTACATGAAAGCTGAAATAAGTTTACATACATTTCACACGTCAATCTGGTTACCAATAATACAAATCTAATTCACTCTCCAATCTGCAATACACACAAACTCAGTGTTACTGATAGTTGTGTATCAGGGCATTCATGCTGCGGGACTTGGTGTCAGTTCTAGCGCCACATAAGGTTAATTTTACACCGTTACCAACAGTTTCTATGGAATATGAATTGTATTACTTACATCAACATTGCTTCCATTAAGGTGCATTCTGCGGATCATGCTACCCTGGGTAGTTACATCTGTCCAGTATATGTGCTGCTCCCTGTAGTCAAAGTCTAACGCTACAGCATTATTCAAACCCTTTTAAAAAAAATCAGTTATTACCTATATTTCTTTTCAAGAGAGAACTTCATGACATTAACTTATGGCATTAACTGGCATTGCACAGCAACCTGGCTGAGCACTCCAAGATGAGCTAAAAGTATATCAATATTTACTTCTTATACAGCCATGGATAAGGACAGTATAAGTAACAGAAATAAATTACTCAACTGTCTATTGAGTAAAATATATAATCACAAAGAGTCATGAAACATTTGTCCGTTTGATTTCTATTAAGTAATGCTTTTAATTAATTTCATCCGATTATTAAGTACTTGTAGATTACTGAATTTATAGCACTGCAACTGAACCATTTCTTTTAAAAATAGATTTTTCTTCATAGAGAAATGAGTGAAATATTAAAGATCTTTAGCAATCAAATTCAATACCTATTTGCATAACAGACCAAAGTTCTGTTTGATGAACTGCGAATCGATGGTTATCTTAAAAGTTACAAGTCAAGTCCCAAGTAAGGTCTCTATCTCTTAGTCTGCATGACTCTCCTGCTAAGACCAAGGAAAGGGATTAGTATCAAGGCAATTGAGTTAATCAGGCCATTTGACTTGGCCGTTGACAGCCCAGGGACTTTTTTTTTCGAACTTCTACCAATGCAAGTCAACTCTTTGCCTTTTCTGTACATCAATCTTAAAACCAGTAAAAATAAGTAGTATAAGTATAAGAAACCAGGGAAATGATCAATTATAAAACTGTGTGGTTTATTCATTCGACTGTCACTAACCTGTCAGGCTAGTGCTGGGATTTAATCTGGTTTGGATTAAAAAAGGATTATATCATGATAGTTTTTCGATTTGTATTCGTCTATCTAACATATTCTTATAGTGTGAAGGGAATGTGGATGTCAGTGAAGTCGTGCAAGACAGGAAAAGAACTTGACTCATGTGTTCATCCAGTATGGTCTTCAAGGTACTACCTAGTATCTACTGAGCTTGGGTTTCCTTCAAAGTACATGTGCTTTTTTGGTTGACCACTGAAGCGAGTCAATGTTTCATCCACCCTGGAAATTTATCACATCCTTCGAGCCACAAGTCACCTCACTTTGGACCATCTGGGAAAAATCATGTGATGCAGAATCATGTTCCCATCTGTCATGGGAATGGATGAGAGCCGTGAGCTCTCAGTTACAGATTTTGTAGTTTTCTTTTAAACACCAAACTGCATCAAGTTGGAGATTCAGCTCCACTGGAATGATCCAGTCTATAGGAGAGTGGTACTGTGCAGCGGGAAATGATAATGATGTTGATAATAAAGGTCATCCAGGATGCACACAATTAAGTTATTTTCTTCTTCCAAAGTTAAATGGCTTCATTTAACTTCAGTTGCTGGAGGTCACTGACAAATGTTGACATGAAAACCATAGTATTTATAAACAGAGAAAACAATTCTATACCAATTCACAAATAAAAATGACTCACTTGTTTTAGCAAGATATAGTTGGAACCATTCAAGTTGAGTTTTCTTAAGTAGTAGCGGTTAGCAAAAATCAGGAAGGCTTCATCATCTGCAAATGGAAGACAGTGTCTCATTCTGCTGATCCTGATTCAATAGCCATTTCTATGAAGTATCAGAACCGATAGATTTCTAGTTCCAAGACTGAACAGCTGCATTTCCAATAACCCACCATTCCTGACTGTAGCTATGGTCATTTGTAAAACTCACACTGGGGGAACTGGCAGACCTCTTTGACAATGTTGCACAGAACTAATAATAACACAAGCTCTAAGTGCTTCCATTAAAATCAGACAATGACTCAGTTATAGAACATTTTTTTGTACCCCAAGGAATCCTCGCCTGGATATGCTTTGGGATTTGGCTCCACCTTCACTCAGCTGCTTTTAGGATGCATGTTACAGGGAGCGTCCGGAATGAGTTTAGCAGGGACTGAATTCATGCAGAAGTAGACACTCGTTGTCTAAGTTAACACTAATGCAGTCCTGGGGGAATGAGGGCAAATCTAAATGTTATGTAAAAAATTAAACCTTCAAGCTAGGGTTCCTTATTCAAATCTGCACTTTTATATAATGCACAGCTTTTGCACAAAGAAACTACTGTTGAGTGCTTTGGCAAAATATGCTCGAACCTCAGAAGTATATATGACTGGGAGATGGCTAATTATATACTACATTTCTGCAGTCTTGCTAAACAACCGCATAATAATATGTTCAATCTGCAACAGTTTGATTCCATTTCAGAATAACAAACAGACAAATATCAAAAATAACAACACTTGCTATTCATTCTTTGCAGGAAAAAGAGGAACAAAGCAAATGTATTTTTATTTATGATTCCTTTCGGCTATCCTGAAACCTAGATAGAAGTGCATTGATTTGCTACAGCGATGTTGTATCGCTATTAAAAGATTTTGTATTGGTCAGCCTAAGGGGAATTGAGAAAAGGTGAATACAAACTTTAGACTAATAAACTGTACCAAAATACCTCCAAAATATTGCACACAATGAATAAGGTTTACACATGAAACAGGACAAAGCGAATAAAGCAGCTGAAATCACTGCTGTAGGTATCCTTTCTCATAGAATCTTGCTCTGGATTAACAGGGCACATTAGAAAAGAAAGTTAAAGAATTTGATTAAAAGGTCAATCAAATTATTTGCTACTTGATTATCACATGCAAATAAAAGTGTGGTACCTGATGTGGATTTGCAACTTGTCTGATCATTTTGTTTCAAGATATAACCTTCGGAGCAAGCACATTTGTAACTTCCAAAAGTATTCAGACAGTACTGGCTGCAGGGGTAGGTTGTAATACACTCATCAACATCAACACAAGTCTTTCCATCATCCTTCAGTCTGAATCCAGGCCGACACCTGCACTAGAAATGTGAAGGGAAGATTATACGTCAGTATTTCAGATTTTTCACAACAACTGAAAAATGTATTCTAATTCTTTTCAGGAGGTACAACCGGTTTGTGATGATGCCTTTAATCCTTACTTTGAATCCAATTTTCAGATCTTCACACTCTTGTGAGCATCCGCTAAGTTTCTTATTCAGACATTCATTAATAAAACAGTTCAGTTCATCTGATCCGTCTTCACAGTCATTGTTGTTATCACATAGAACTGTTTCATTGACACATTTTCCATTGTTACACAGGAAGAAAGAATCATTGCATTTCTTCTCTATAATAGAAAGAGAACATACATAATCAACACATTAATAGGAGCTATGCTTATAGCTAGGCTTTATAGCAAAAGATCTGGGAACAGAAAAGCAAGGAAGTGTTCTTTCACTGATAAATTTATAGAGCTCTGGCCAGTTGCAATTTGGCATTTTTGTCTACAGTGTTGGGCACCCAAAGTTAGGAAGGATTTATTTAGTGGAATCCTGTAGCTCAGTGGTTAGAGCACTAGCCTTGCAAGTGAGAGATCTGGGTTCAATTCCCGGCACGACGAAACCTTGGGCAAGTTTCCTTATTCCACATGTCTGATAATATTCCCTCAACAACAAAAAAATAATTTGGTCACTTCAATCTCTGACTGTTTGTGGGACACTGCTGTGCACAATTGGCTGCCGCGTTTCGCCCACAAAATATACAGTCAATTCACTTTACAATCTATTCTGTGAAGTGCTTTGAGACGTCTAGAAAATGTGAAAAGCACTATATCAAATGCAAGGATTATTATTAGTAGTAGTATCTTTGAGGGATTCCAATGCCGATTCCCCAGATTAATACCAGAGACGAAGAGCTTTAATTACACAATTACAGTGATATGAAAGCAGGCCATTTAGCTAAACTAGTCTGCTTCGGTTACAAATAGGCTGTGTAAATTAATCCCAAAATCCGAGGAGAATAAGGGGTGATCTGATTCAGGTATTTAAATTGAATTGACAAGTTGAATATGGACCGACTTCCCCTCTGGTAGAGGGACCCAAAACAGATATAATCTAAGGGAAGTTAGTGTTTTATGGACTGCATTAACACCTACCAGAATTGGTGCAGTGTGGATTTTTGGGAGCTTCGTCAGACATGTCATGACAATCAAACTCTCCATCACATTCCCAGTGACTGTTAATTAAACACCTTCCATTAGCACAGCGGAACTCATTGGGACCACAGGTTGGATATTCTATGAAGAAAGATAAACATAAAGAAAAAAAATCAAAGAGCATGTCAATTATTATCCATTGGATTTAATCTCATCCTTCCAGAACACCCACCCTACCATCTTCCCATCACAACATCAAACTGTTTCTAAACGAATCTAGTGCTTGACCTCAACCACCCTATCGGTAACCCCCATGTTCTCGTCATTAATTACACAATGGATAAACAATGCTGGTGCATTTCTGAAAGCACTCCTGGCGCTTGTCCTGAAATTGTCCTTTGCAACTTTAAACACATGTCCTCGTGCTCTTCTTATTGCATCATTTAAATTGGGCCATATTCACTTTTTTTTATTTAAATGAACATAGTTTCAGATTTTGCTTTTATTCATTGGCACTTCTTCTGTGTCTAGAATAGTATAAGTCCATTCAATCTGCCAAAAATCAGGAGTGTTGGTCCAACTATGTGTTTTGATATTGACAAAATGTGAAGCATATCGGTACCAAAATGTTATAGAACAGTAACCTATGTATTGTCTTAGCTATGTCTATTTTTGTAAAAGTAATAAATTCCCTTTACTGATTTTGGGGTATATATATATATATCTATCAGATAGTTTGCTTGTCAGTCTGGTTCAATGTTAGTGAGATTTTGCTGTGTGCAATTGGCTGCCACGTTTCACCTACAAAATACAATCAAATCACTTTACAGTACATCCTGTGAAGCACTTTGAGACGTCTCGATGACTTGAGAAAGTGCTATATCAATGCAAGGATTATTATTATTATAGTTATTATGCACTTAAAATACACTGGTCCTTCAAAATATCCTCACATCTAGATTTTTCCACAGGCACAATTACTCACCACATTCAGGAGATTCATCTGATCCATCCCCACAGTCGCTGTCGTGGTCACACACAAAATGCTTTGGTATGCACTGTTTGTTCTGACACATGAACTCATTAGAATCACAGGTGTTATTGTACACTGAAATAAGAGTAGGAAAAATAATTGCTAGATGTATTGATAGGTACTTCAGTAAATGGGAGTAAACTTCTGATGACTCATCACTCTAAGAGAGAGGGGAAGTGCGCTGTGTTGTTTTTTAAATGATGTACGTCAATGGGGAAATACACTATGCCACTCCGCCACAGGCTAGCTGTAAGGCAGGAATACAATCGAGTGATTCGAACACCAACAAAATCCACAATAGCAAAGCTCGAGTAGCTGAAAAACGTCAGCACAACCAAAGATTGACTTCCTGTCAAACTTACCACTAGACGTTTTTATTCTTTCAGGTGTACATAGGACAGAATTCTGTTATATTTACAATGCTGACAAATGCATATTTGTCCCAAGATTTTGTAGTTCAAATAATTTTCTGCAAGAACAGATGCTGTGCCTGGCATTTTCAACAGGGACAAAATGGTAAAAACACCTGATATGATAATATGCAAGGCGTGACTTGATGAGTGCACAGTCAAGTAGGTTTCACCTTCTGTTAGAATAATTATTGGTACTTTTCATTGGAATTTATTTGATTATCAAAAGCCTGAGGTACAATTCTCCGAATGGAGACATGATAGCATGGGTTGCCCAGGTGGAAATGTTCTCTTTACTTACGGCAGCCAGATGCCAAACTTTCATCTGCTCCGTCCGGACAGTCTTGTTCACCGTCACACATCCAGGCCTGAGGCACGCACATGTGTGAACCGAGACACTTAAATAATCCTGGCGCACAAGTCACTGAACCTACCATGAAGAAACAAAGCATTTTGTACCAGCTCAACAGAGGCATGGCCTTCTTCAACTTGATTTTTGACAAGTAAGAAATAAAACTAACAATTATGGCAATTGCAAATTTAGTGAATGGCCCTGAAAATGTTCACACTTCAAGGCAGCTCTTTAACCAACTAATTTAATGGAATGGAAAGCTGTCAGTATATCACTAAGCAAATTTCTGAGCTTCTACATTGTTATCCGACAACACATTTTTTTTGGTTCATTTTCCATGTAGTTAACTAAACCTGAATTTGTTTTCAATGTTGAATATATATTTATCATATAATAATTTGGTCACTCAATCCACCCGTTTGTGGGGCGCTGCTGTTCGCAATCGGCTGCCACGTTTCACCCATAAAATACAGTCAATTCATTTTACAGTACAAAAAGGATGATGCAAAGCCCAACGTAAGAACGCTTCACTTTTAAATATCCAGAATGTTTTTTAAGATAGACTGGGTGGTTTTCAGTTTAATTCAGAACTTTACAAATTCCAGCCTTCTTGCACAATGATACTCACTGCATCGACTGTCCTCATCAGAACCATCTCCACAATCATCAGCTCCATCACAAAGCCAGCGATTGGTGATGCACTTGTGATTATCACACTCAAACTCCGAATAGGCGCAAAATTTATCTGTTAAATTAAACAAAACCATCAATTTGCTGCACAACATTTGCAAAAGGAAGAACTCGGATGTATTTCTGAGGCCTGTTAGCACGTGTCAGAGTTAAAGAGAAATAACGCTTTGGTTGCTGTGTACACGCACAAAATAAACATGTTCAAACAAGTACATTTGTATTATTGAGCAGTTTAAACAGTTTTGATACATTTACTCTCATGGGGGCAGATGGTTATCTGGGTCAGCCAAGCACTCTATGATGTCTGTGAGATAAGAGTTCAATAATTGTTTCTAATTTACATTTGCCTCGGTGTTTTTTAGCGACGGCTTCTGGATACAGCCCCATGCAAATCAACTTCCATCTTTCTTTTGTGTGTGGAGAAGGGGGGGGGGGGGAAGAAATTGTAGGAAAAGGAATGTAGCAAGCAGTGAACATGAGATTCAATCTCTTCTCAGCTGACTGAAAGAGGAATTTCACCAATCCACGTCACCAGCTGTTCCATTCTCTATTTAAGCAACTTAAAAACATTCAGTAAGTGGAGATGCAACTTACTGCAGTGTGTCTCATCTTCTCCATTTTCACAATCATCTTCCTTATCACATGACCATGACATAGGGATGCAGAGGCCGCTGGAACAGGCAAAATAGTTTGCAGGACACTTGGGCTTCCTTTGATCTGGAAATCACAGTACCATGTAATGAACAGTATCCCAATTATAAGACTACATGAACTGATAAGAACATCATGGTGATTAGTCATGCTGAAGTACAGTTCGCCCCAAAAATATATACCTGGACAGTTTCTCTCGTCTGAATAATCTCCACAGTCATTGGCACCATCGCAGAGCCAGGCCTGAAGGTAGCAAAGCGAGGTCTGCTCGCACTTGTGAAATGTGTGGCCTTTCACCCCCAACTTGAAGTAGTAAGTGCAGTCAGTAACAAAGGCTATTGAAAAAGTAGAAGCACATTTAGATTCTTCACACATTTTTTGCAATTGATTACAGCTTTCCAATTTTCACAACCGTCTTCCTGGACATTTTGAACAAACCAGATAATTTGAAACACCTTTTGTTTCTTATCCTTACAATGTACAACATTTGCAAATTTGACTCTTGTACAGAATGCCACTCGGCTTCAACACAAACGACAACCACTTGTATTCGTATAGCGCCCCTCACACAGGGTAGCGTCCTGGAGCGCTTGACAGTGGCGGAGCACGGGTGGGAGGTGACCGTAGGCACGGTCGAATACGAAGGTCTTCAGGCACGACCTGAAGATGGTTAAGGACGGGGCAAGGCGGAGGGTTAGAGGAAGAGTGTTCCAGAGTTTCTAGGCGTCGTGGCTGAAAGCACTACAAAGAGGAAGAACGTCATCAATCAAATGCATCAAAAAAAAGGCAACAACTCGAGATCTCATTTTATGATTGACTGAACATTCCCCACTTAGTATGCTAGCGTTTCACTTACTGCAATTCAGCTCATCTGATGCATCTTCACAATCAATAATCTGGTTGCAACGGCTTGAGTTTCCCACACAACTTGCATCCCTGCATCGAAATTCATCTGCAGTGCATGTCGTCTCTGTCGTGAAAATTAAATGCTGGTTAATTCTCTACCGGTTAAAATCTATATTCTTGGGTTACAAATGGAAATCGTTCTGCCTTACACAGATGCAGAAGGTTGGAAACTGCAGAATTGCATCAATTAATTTCCATTAAAATGAAAGGTCTTCAAACAATATTAATTCATATGAAACAGTAAAGGTATGTTACCATACCTCAAAATGAAATGAAAACAGGAGCAGAAACCTTAGCAGATTTTGCACCCGTATAGCTCGTGGCTACAACTTCAAAATGAGCATTCCTACTGTTGCCCTTTCTCAGTTTAGCTATCTGGCTTGGGAAATTAACTTGGCAATGATATTTTACTTCTTTATAATAATAATCCTTGCATTTGATTTAGCGCCTTATCACATCTTCGAGATGTCTCAAAGCGCTTCACAGAATATACCATAAAGTGTAGTGACTGCGTATTTTGTGGGTAAACATGCAGTCCACACCAGATAAACACAAACCAGCCACATAACTCTCTCTTTCTCATTGATGCAGTCTCAGCTCAGCATCTCCGAACCTGACCAGGTTCGAGAGCAAAAGTAGTATCTCCACCATCAGTGAGCGCAAGAACCCAGGCTTGGAGATGGAATTCGCCGACGACAAACACAGCACGGTGCAGGAGAGCGAAGTGTACAGGAAGAATTTGCTCTTCAAAGTACTGAGGAAGCCAATGATAAAGTCTGATGCAGAAAAATTTCTGTGTTTCACCACCCTTTACTCACCACAACTTATAGCACTTAATTTCTTCCTTCTGGGGATCAGCGTGTGCAGAACTAATTCTCTCACGTTAGCTCTAATGTCCCACAAAAAGTAGAAAGCCTTGTAATAAAATCAACATTTTTAAAAAAAATTCAATGAAATGCCCACCCTTAAAATGTTTACCATTACGTCATTTCCTGTGATCACTTACTGTTGCAGAAGATTTCATCAGAATTATCACCACAACTATCCACCCCATCACACCAGCTCTGGTTAGGAACGCAACGACCATTCAAACAGTGCTTGAAGCCCTTCTTGCATTTTCGATTTGCTAAAAAATAAAACAATACATCTTTTAAGCATCTTGAATATAATGTTTACACATGCTGAAAAGTTATCATGATTTATTTCACTTATTTTCAATCTGACGATTGGGTTACACAGGTGTAGATAAACCATGCACAGTTCAGAAACACACCTCATTATAAAAAACTGAGGGTCATTAAGTTCCAGTTTAGATAAATAATTTAGATAAAGAATCATGATAGAGAACCATACATTCCTAAATCTTCCCATACCCTTAAATTACATGCAATAAAGATGGGAATCAAGATCTAGTTCTGTTCATGAACATTAATAAATAATGCATAATTATGAAAGTATAAACTCCTTTGTCCCCCACACACAAAAACCCAGGCAAGCCCTTCACTTTAACTTAAGAGAACAAGTACGTCAGTTGACAAAATTGATGATTGGGGAAACGATTTATCCACTGTATATAATGAGAACCAAGCAAAATGTTTGCAGGGTGTGAGATAGTTACTAGCACTCGATTCTTTAGTTGCAAAATCACAATCCATTTATTTCAGATGTTATTTTGTAAAGACAAAACCAGGTTACGTGACTGGAAAGCTGCAAATCATTCCAGCCCCATTATTTCTGTGTCACTGCTTGGATTCCAGCCTAAGTGCACAATCTACTGAATTAATTAACACGGAGGCAAACAGTGACCTGAATGCATAAACCATGGATTAGCTGCAATATTTGCCTTGTCAGTACAGACAAAGGAATTTCGTAGCAGGCTGTTAAGTTTACAATTTATTATTCACCAAATGTCAACGCAAAGATGCCATCACAAGATCACAGCTCTCCTTTCTAACATCATCCATTTCTTGAATCTGATTTATTGGGAGTTATGGAGACATAGCCTGGTATTGGTGGGGTTAACAGCCATGTGAAGCTTTGTATTGATAAGGATGAAAACGGATGAAAACGTACCTACCACTGATTTTAAAAAAAAGCACATTAAAATAGAAAAGGAAAAAAAGGGTTCACTTACCACAGTAGGACTGCTTTTCGTCAGACTTATCTTTGCAGTTTGCCACCTTATCACAAGTCAGAATGTAACGAATGCAATCTCCATTTCCACATTCAAAATCATCCATTCCACAGGTCGAGTTTGGAGCTAGAAAAGATGCAAATTCGTACTCAATAATCACAAAATTGTGTCAATAAGAAGGGTTTCTTACGTCGATTTGAAAAACCTAAATATCAATCCAGAACATAAGAAAAAGATTTTGGACCACCCTATCTTACATTAATTCTCCCACAGCATTATTCTTTGAATAATTTGATGATTTCTGCCTCTTATAATCCTGCATGCCATATTGTTTCAAACACTCATCACTTGGGAGTAAAATACATTTTCCTGATATCTGTTCTATATTGGCTTTTCATGCATTTCATTTTGCACACAAAATACAGTCAATTCACTTTATAGTATATCCTGTGAAGCGCTTTGAGACGTCTTGAAGTCGTGATGAGGTGCTATATCAAATGCAAGAATTATTATTAATATTTCAAATTATATTCATGGTTCCCATTGTTTTATCTTATTGTGAAGGATTATTTTCAATTATCTAGATTTTATCTACCCGTTACCAAAGATATTTTGGTGAGATCTTCTCTACACCAACTTTCTTTCTGAATTGTAAGGTTCAAGTTTCTCATTTTAGTCAATGCTCATTCCTTCATGAAAGCAGATCACACTGATTTCTCTTTTCTATACATTTTCCAATGCAAGACTGGTTTCGGGGCATAATAACCAAAATTGAACAGATTTTACAAAGTCTGTTCTGACCAGCTCATTTTAAACCTTCAGTATTTCAATCAACTTGTTTTCTATTCCTTTGGATATATAGACTTTCTATTAGCATTTTAATTGTTTGTAGTAAGTGCCCTTAAAGAAATCAAGAAATTAGTCAGGCATGATCTTCCTTTTTCTAAATCCACTCTGGCTATTTACTTACTATTTTTCTACAGATGCTCTTTCAGCTTGTTTCTTAGAAAAGATTCAATTGTTTTATTGGCATTAGACTCATGAACTTATAGTTACTACGGTGGCCTGCTTCTAATTCTACTGAACCTAACCAGTGTTTAGTAATTCATTTGTGATGATATGCTGGATTCACAAACTGTACTTCTCCTCTGGTCACCTTCAAAACTCAATGATATATACCATCTAGCTAACTGGATAATTTAATCTCAATTTATCAAACAGTTTCGCCACAGATGATGTGCTAGTTTGCCACAAAAATGTACCTTCTACGTATCAGGAATATGAAATATTTAATTACTTTCAGTGCCCTGCTCAGCACACAGGAATCTGAAGATATAATGAATTTAAAATTATGGTTACTGACCATTGCACGTGAGATCATCCAACAGCATCCGCTCACCGCGACAGGAACAATTCACATGTCCTTCAGGGGTGAGCAGGCACAGGTCCTGACATCCACCATTATTAACTTTGCATGGAGATAATTCACCTTATTTAGAAAAAGGAAGAAAAATGTATTTAACAGATACTTTATCAAGCAAAGAAAATCTAGGAAAATGAAATTAGCAGGTTTCCTTTAAAGTCAAGAAGTTTTTTTGCCACTCTCCTCTCCATTTTTTAAGGTACTAAGGTATCCAGGCGTACAGTTTCACTGGCCCACTAGCCCTTCAGGAGCTTTCTCAGTGCTATTTTTCATGTATGCACCTAGACCGCAAATAACCACAGGTATTCAACCTCAAGAGTCATAACTGTACCTGATGTGGTTCTCGTCTAACATCCAGCAGTGGTCATTGGATAGAATTATCTAAAAAGGATAAGTTCATATATTTTGTAGTTCATTTTATACTTGGTTTTAGAAACTTACTATGGATAGCTCAGTGATTAGAACACTCGCCTCGCAAGCGAGAGACCTGGATCCGATTCCCGGAGGGGGCAAAACCTTGGACAAGTTTCCTTACTCCAAATGCCTGATAATAATCCCTCAAGAAAAAAAAACAATAATAAATTAGTCATTTCAATCTACGACTGTTTGTGGGACACTGCTGTGTGCAATTGGCTGCTGCGTTTCGCCCACAAATATACAGTCATTTTGTATCCTGTGAAGTGCTTTTAGTCGTCTAGAAGACATGAAAAGCACGATATCAAATGCAAGGATTATTATTTAGGGTGGAAAAAAATGTTGAAAAATCCTTTAGTCTAAAACAGAATCAGTGGTACTAGCAGTCTTTCTAGTCTAGCTCCATTCAAGTGTCAAAAACACATAATTCTATTGTGTTTGATGCTGAGATGTTCGAAAGAGATCAGACCACATTAGCTTAGTTTTGCTTCTGACTGACAGCAGTAAGAGGGAACCACATTCCACTTCAGATGACACATAGTGAAGATTCTGATTACTGAATTTTATTGCAATTTTTAAAAATAAGGTAGACAACTTATATTTTGTTCTTAGAAGCAACTTCTGATTGTTTAATTGTAAAATCACTAAGTTGTGTTCAGCATAGTATGATACATGAAATACCTGATCCCTCGCCATCCAAACAGTTTCGTTATCTACACTCACCAGTAATTTTAAACTAATAATAATTTGGTCCATCCTCGACCGTTTATGGGACACTGCTGTGCGCAATTGGCTACCGCAACTAAAAGGTTTTGTGCTGCCTTGATGGAAGTAATGTAGACAAGTTAACGATGGTGTGAAACTGCTGCAGCTTCACTGAGACTGCCATCACCAAAAGTCACTTGGTAAAGATCTGAAGAGATAGATGACTGATTGAACAGTCATGCTTTGCTGAGAAAAGCAACTGTGGATTTCTCTGGTCCCAATTCGTTTTCTATTCTCGCCACACTGCTTATATGATCTTCCTGAGACAAGGAATCTATTCTGTTCTTTGGCTCAAAAAGGTACTGGAGGCTTAGTTTAGCCTGTGATATCTGTAAAGACAAATTTGCAAGACCACTGAACATATACTGTTCTAAAAGGGGATAAAACCAAGAAGATTTATTGCTCCCTTGTGGAAGTTAGTTTTGCCTCCCCTTTACAACTGATAATTCATATTTTTACCAACAGTAAGAATCATCGTTTTATGTCAGCTTGTTTTGGAATGCTGACAGCAATCATATTTTTCTAAATGAACTTCCATGCATTATACCTGCTTATTTTGTTAATCTAACCAGTATTACAGCTTGAAAAGGTTAAACAGAATGAGAATACACACATACCTTATGGATAGTAATGATTAACATGCAGAAGTTGAACATGGCAATGTGAGAACTGGTTTGGAAGACCACTTTTGTGCAGCAATGAATGGAGAAAAGAAACATAAGAGCAGACAAATGGGTGACTACAGTGTTAGACAAGGAAGAGGTAAGAGCTTTGTTGCACTTACCGTACCTGCTACTAAAATGCACAAATATTCTGCTTTTAATCCAAATGTTTCGTCTGTATAACCTCTTTAATTGATTCATACCTTTTATTTAAATAAACTTCAGATACCATTCACCTACCTATATACAAATATCATTGCTCTCTAAATCTAACCAGGATAAGATAAAATCCTCAGGATCTGGGACAAAAAAACATTCATAACAAATTAGTTTAGTTTGTCATTTACCTTTGCCGTACTAACTGCTCTAATAAATTCAAAGGAAAAATGTGGCATGATCGACCACATACCTTTATGATGGCCTTATCTGAATGAAAGAACAGGGTAGTGACAGCCTCTCTATGACTTTGGACACCTCAACTGTTCTATGGCAGATAATAGCAATTTAAAGGTTAAAAGTAATTACTTCACCTCCACTATGGTTTTGTGTTCTAACCAGAGGCCTGCCTGACACTCAAATCTGTCAGTCGCGCTCATGCTGAGCGTCATCAGTTCACACCCTGCATAGACTATGACTGATCAGTCAAACAGGATTGTCTCTTAGAATTGTAGCAGACACGGAGTTGGAAGAATTTAATAATTCAGTTAGTTCTGGATTTGATACCAACAATCTCATGAAAATCTCTTCTTTCAACAGAAGTTAAACAGTATTAATAGGGGTTAATGTTTTAGTACGATTGAAAATGAATTATTAACCAACAATGCAAGTGAAACTAGTTACCATTAGGATATTTTGAAAACCAGATGGGGTGGAGTTTATAAACTGAATTGAATTTGACTCATTCAGAGATAATGAACAATGCTCAACTTACAACTGTTGGTGTCATTAGCTACTGCAATAATGCCCATTGGCTGTTGCGGAATGTCAGCTCGGAGTACTCTTAGGTCACTTCCAGTGTACTTATCGGCACGCAGGACTGCCCTTCGGACCCAGTCAGTCCAGAATATGTAGTCGCCATAAACTGCAAGCCCAAAGGAATGGACAGGCTCAGATCTCAAGATAACCTAGAGATGGAGGAAAGTATGAAATGTAATGAATCTGGGAAAGAGATCAAGATACAACAGAAATGGTTAAGAAAAGCAAAACACACGCAACTACCATGGAGAGAGGATAAAAGCATTCTTGAATACTAGATCAGTATGTATGTCGACAGTGAACATACAGTGACAAGAATGAAAAGGTCCCGATGTAGAACAATAATAGCAGATTTAAAGATTCAAGCTCCTACACCGTTTGTCAAATTTAAAAGTATTTATTTTCAGATATGAATGCTCAATACAAAGGAAAATGTTTGGTTTTGCCAGATTTTTAGGCATTTTTGGTAGAAGCAAGATAACCTTATATTTATTCCAAGTTTGTTTCATATATAATAATTAAAATATACAAAATTAATCTCAAACATTACAATTGCAGCACTTTCAACAAAAGAATGGGTCTTGGAAATATTGAATTTTGACTTGAGCATGTATGTTGGAGGGGTAGGGAGAAAAGGAGCAGTATACGCACACAAAAAACATCAAAACTCAACAATTCCCCTTTTTAAGATTCTCTGAACCCAAAATCTCTATCTCTGATTTATTCAACTCAATTTTCAATAACTCAACTTGATATTTTTCCTACCTCTTCCTCTGACGCTTTTAGGAGGGTGGGGGTTGAAGCACACACATAACAGCACTAAAACTGATTAATTTAATGTGCACAAAAGTTTCTATACAGCAAATGATTGGAAGACGAAGCATAACTGTAGACTGCAGCCTTTTAGACAGTAAAATTGTCGTCCATAAAAATCCTCACCTGTCTACTTGTTCCATCATATTCACAGCGCTCTATCTTATCTAAGGTGGCATCAGAGAAGTACAATTTTTCTGCTTTATGGTCAATGGCCAGGCCATTTGGTGTTCGGATGTCTGTGCCAATGATGACAAACACATTCGATCCAGTCAGTGTGGACCTCATGATGCTAGGATGCTGCTCATTCCAATTGGTCCAAAACATCAAGCTTAAAGAGAGTTAAAGAGTTTGATAACAAAAGATCAGATCAGAGAACAGAAGACACAATTTCAGGACAAGTGAAAAATAAACTTAAAATCAGCGCTAAAATGGGCTAAAAGTAAACCAGAGAGAGAAAATAAAACAGAAAATATTTCTTCACACAAAAGGGTTTTGTGAACGTCAAATGCACTGTGCCAGAAGACCAGTACAATATTTACAGCAAATGCTTACTTGAGACATTCATCCAGCACAAATGCTCGGGGGTGATCATCACCGGACATTGTTACCACTGTTTCTCGTTCAAATGCTCCTAGACGACTCTGGTCCACACTATGTCGTGTAATGGTGGACGTTGTGTAGCTGGTCCAGTACAAAGCGTCCCAAGCCCTATGGTAGGCCAAGCCTTCCACTGACCCAACATCTGTAGGAAGCAACATTTAGAAGTAAAATCCTGAATTAAAGCTTCCAACCGAACTAGCCTGTTTGCAAACTTAGTGTCTAAACTTCCACTGCCATATAAACCTTCAAATTAATAGTGCAGATAAGAATGACTTAAATGAACATTTATTCAGCAAAGTTACAGAAACTAACACAAGGAATAAAGTCTTATTTCAATAAGAAAGATAGTGCTTTAAGATGCTAAATGCACAGAATTATACTTAGACACTTAAACAGAAAATGACTTATTAGTATTTTCATCTTCAAAAAAGCTACACATTTACAACAACTTGCATATAGCACTTCACGCAGTGTCCTGGAGCACTCAACAGTGGCAGAGAAGAGGGAGGGGGGAGGTGGCCATAAGTACAATCAAAAAGGAAGGTCTTTAGGCGAGATTTGAAAGTGGGGAGGAAGGGGGCAAAGCGGAGGGATTGAGGAAGAGAGCTCAAGCGTTTCGAGGCGTAGTGTATGAAGGCATGGCCACCAATGGTGGACTGGAGAGGACAAGGGACAAACAGGAGGCTGGAGCAAGCTGAGCGGAGGCAGCAGGTGGTGGAGTGGGGGGGGTTAAGCAGATCGGATAGATATGGAGGTGCGAGGGCATGAAGGGATTTGAAAACGAGTGAGACGATTTTAAAATTGATTTGTTCGGTAATTGGGAGCCAGTGAAGCGTGACAAGGATTGGTGTGATGAAGGTAGAGTTCTGTGTGGGTGAGTATCTGGGCAGCGGAGTTTTGAATTAATTGAATTTTGTGCGTGGTGAAGCTGGGGAGGCGAGCGAGGAGGGCAATGGAATAGTCCGGCCGGGAAGTTTTGGCTGCGTTGGATGTGTTAAAAAGGACTCACTTTCCACAATGGTCTTTCTATTTGATCCATCATCACTGATCTGTTGAATGTTACCAAAATGTATGTCGCTGAAAAAGATTCGGTTTCCTCCTTTGGCACCATGACCATAATCAAAAGCCAATGCTATAACATTCTTCATGTTTTCAGGGTCCTCAAATGGTTTTATTGGTGAATTGAGATTGTTTTCATCCGAGAGGTGGATACTTTTCAGTATTGTCCGCTCAGAGTACAGAAGGTACCCATCGTAATCACGACACTTCACGCCATCTTCTGAAAGCATTCCATGAGCACAAGCACACGTTCTCTGAGCATTTCCACGATAAAGACACAACTGTTGACATCCTCCATTGTTGTTGGCACAAATATTTGTACCTGGAAGAGAGACACCATAACATCAATCGATAGTGATGTAAATATTCCTCTCTTATTCTTCCCTCTAAGAAACAGGGCATTCTCAACAAATCAGATTGTGACTAGTTTTAAGAAGTCACAACTCTGAAATATGTAAATTATGTTATCTTTTGTGTTTCATGCACACTCTTAATTAATACCATATTAACTTTCTCTCAGTGTGTGATCTCAGGAACAGCGTTACTTATATCCACAAACTCAGTATACACATAGACATGTCTAATATGAGTGTTGCACAGAATGCTTCTATTACAAGATTACAATACAGAAAACATGTTCCAGGGTCTACATGCTGAAAGTATGAACAGAGGGCATCATAGGGGCTTTATTGTGGTTTGCATTCCATTGTGAAGTCTGATAAGCCCACGTCAGGCATTCACATCTTCACAACTTTAGTTGTGGGTATTTGCTTGAGGTCCAGGATTGGGATTTAAAAGAAGGGTGAACCAGCAGAGTGAGGTTCAGCTCCCATCTAGCATGTGAGCACAAGATATCAGACACACACATAAACCCAGACAGTTACACAGGCAAGGAGACACAGCAACAGTTGAGAGAGATGGAATATCATGTACTTTTGCATTGAGAAAGAAATCCAAATGAATTAGTGGATGCACAAATAGCCACATACAATTAAGTGATGTTTCTCGGTGTACATATTCCATTGAGGCCCACAAAGAGTCAATTTTGAATTATGGCCCAGACTAAGGAAATTATTAGCATCTAGTTTCAAGAGCATTACATTTATTTCTCACCTTTTTGTCTCTTTCTGTTAAAGACTTTGATATCTTTGAGCTGCACTCCAATACCAGTTCTCAAAGAGACAGAGTCTGTGGCATTATCTTTCTGGCCTCTTTTGATGGAACCATTTGCGTGGGTCCTATAGGAAAAAGAATAAAAGTGCATGAATGCATGAATTGAGTTAGTTCAAGTCGCTACTTGCATCAGTTGTCTTTCACGTGGGGAGGGGGACCTGTAATAAAAGGATCCTTCCAACTAGGATTGTCCCTTCAAACTCGAGCTGTGTATCTTTTATCTGCATATCAATACAAGTCTCAAAGTTAGAGAGTCAATGTCAGAGGCCTAAGATCAAGGTGTCAACATTTCATTGGTGGGGGTAGACAGTCACCATCTAAAGGCAAAGGTAAGAATATACCACAAAATTATAACTCAGAATTATGACAAGCAGATGACCCACTCGCAAAGGAATAAAACTGTTTGCAATTTGCAGAACTTCCATCAACAAGAATTGGCATTGGGATAATTAGGCAAGCTTTTTTTAATATAGAAAACCAGGGAAGCATATTTACCTGTCACTCCAGTAAATATAATCCTCAAATACAGCAACAGAAAACATGTCCATATTGTGGCTGGATAGGACAACCTCTCGATTCTCACCCATCTCCAGATCAATCCTCTCAATTTTGTCAGTTCGTGCATCACACCAATAAAGCTTTCCTTCCTTCAGTAAAATAAAACAATTCATATTGTGATCATTCCCCCCAACTCATACGCAGTGATCAGTTTTAGAATATAATTATCATTTTTTTCATTAAAAACACGATATTTTTCATAAAGAAAGCACTCAAAAACTGAAATAATCTCTCTTCTAATGCTAGTAAAAATAAATACTTACCGCATAATCGATGGATATTCCATTTGGCCAGCTAATGCTAACGTTCACAAGTACTGTTCTCTCAGTCCCATCCAGGCGTGCCCTCTCAATTCTTGGATATTGGCCCCATTCAGTCCAAAAGAGGTAGCTACAAATAACAGATATCATTAAACATTAGACACACTGAATACCATTCGTACCTCCAGACTGGGAATTCCAGCACCCCGAGACGTCCTCCAGACGTGAAAGGTGCTATACAAACGTAATGTGTTGTTGAATTCAGCAGGAGAAATTACAATTGTTAGCCCACATCCCAAACCATAGCTTTCCAGCCTCAATACGGCTGTTTTTCTCATGCATTTTAAGATACGCTTCTTTTCAATAAAAGCACAACACAATAACCAAATAGAAAAACAATTATTGTTCCTAAAAATGACTGGAGACGCATTCTAAAACTTTTAAGCTTTTTTAAGGATTCTCTCATCCTCTACAACATTACCCTTTCTCTGGATGAACTGTGATGGCACGTGGTTTATCCAGTCCTTGAGAAACAACCACATAACGAAATGAACCGTTCAGTCTGGCCACTTCAATAACATCAAATCCTTGGTCGGTCCAATAAATATTCCCTAATATAAAATGAACAAAAATTGGCATATCACACTATAAAAAGAAAGCAATACAAATTCACTAATACAGTGCATATTTGGTTTAAAAGTTTCTTAAACACGTATTACGCAGGCATAACCTCAAGTTATTCATTAATGTGAATACTTCATTAATCAGAGCAATTTTTCTACACTCGTTTCCCCACCCTCATCACCACCACAGTAGGCAACATATCAAAATCATTAAAGACGGTGAAAAAGACAAGTCTATTATGAATAACTTGTTAACCCATAGAAAATCTTCCTGTTCTCACCTGCAATCCAGTCGACAGCTATTCCTTCAACTCTTCCTATTCCATTTGTCACAACATCTTCGCTCCAGGTCTGGTCTCGCTTCGCTCTACTGATGGTGCTCAGTCCCATATCTACCCAATATATAGTATCATTCTCTGAAAAATGAAAATTTCATATTAACGACACAGGGTAAAAAGAATACATCTCAATTAGACTTAGCTGAAATTATCAAACACAACTATTCGTGTGCGTGAAAGTTCATGAGCTGTTTCAGACGCTCTGAAATTTGCCAATCGCACAAGCATCACATTTCTAGAACAGTTACTAATACAACCCATATTGTATACTGACACTCCAATGCAGTGCTGAGGGTGTACTGCATTATTAAAGGTGACATTCTTTGAATAGGGCAAACAGACTCCTTGACTGCCTGGTCAGGTGGTCATTAAAAATCCCATGACACTAATTGGAAAGGGAAGGGAGTTTCTCCTGGTGTCCTGGCCAAAAATTCTCCAAATAAAATTGGTCACTTCATGGGTGTTTGTGATGTGCACAAATTGGCTGCTGTGTTCACCTACAAATTAGTCAGGCATTGCACTTAAAGTCATGTGGAGCACTTTGTGATGTTCTACTGACATAAAAGGCACTATATCAAATGTTAGGAATATCATTTGTTTACTAAATAAACAATAAGAATGCTTTTAATTATAAATACATTTTAAAGTTGAATTAAAGTTATGACACCACAGAAAAAGTATTAATTAATCTCGCACCACTGCCTCCCCCCAAAAAGCGCCAGTCTTTGAATGCTCTTTGAAGAAAATTTTGAAATTGTCAAGATTACAAAGATGACTAGCATTAAATGTACTGAATTAGGTACCAAAAACGTTTAAACATTTCTTTTCTACAATTGCCCGTTTTGATATTGTTACATTAATAAATCAAAGTTGACATTTTAGCGAGCAAAACAGAACACCTACTGTTTGGTCACTCAGCTCTAGTCCAAATACATTAGTAATTCTGAACAGCAAAACCGAGTAAGATCAGTAGCCTGTCACAGTATCAAATCGATGACACACGAGAGAGGCAAAAATATTCAATCTGACAGTTTTCTCATCAAAAACGATTTAACATTCAAAATGTCTAAAAAAACTGTATGAAAGCATTTAAATCCAAGAATTAATTTTCATTTTTCTCAAAATACTCCTGATTAAATGCGTTACTTTACATAAAAGTGCTTCACGTTCTACATATCCCTTTTACGATAATTCAACAGTAATAACTTGCACTTGTAATTCTGCATTTCACGTAAAAATGAACATGCATTTATACAGTGCTCTTAACGTGGGGTAGCGTCTTGGAACATCGCAAAGCGCTTTGCAACATATAATTGGTAAGATAATAAGTGATTGTTGCACAGATAAACACAGCAGCCAATCTGCACCAGTGTGATGTCAGGCTTTCACTGGCCAGTTTCCTGTGCAAAGTGCACATGTGCAAAAAGCTTCCAAATGTCTGTAGCGCCCAGCAAATACTTGCAGAAGCATTCTGAATTTGGGCGATATATCCACTACTGCACCGAGGCAATGAATAAAATAAACTTGTATTTGATATAGTGCTTTATTCCATCAAATGTCACTGGATTGTCAGTTGTGAGCTCACGTTTTGTTGTGGACTAAAACCTACAAACTTCTGACCCAGAAGTGACACTACTAACTGAATCAAACAGCAAGTTGAATGTAGAAAAACCTCAACAGTGTAACCATCACATTACTATCATACTCCAAAAAAACTTTTGTGAAAACTATGAAAACAAAATACTTATTTCAAAAATTAACAATCATCTTTGGTTTCATTTCTAGCATTCACATCTGATAACAGGTTTGACACACCTACCTGCATGGAAATCTATACCGACAGCCAGAGATGTTCCTGATACAGGAACAAGAGCATCCGACTTATCGTTGGGATCAAGAGGAATTCCTCTGATTCCTTCATGGACTGAATACAATAGGAAGGAGCCAACACCTAGGAAAAGAATGAGGAAATTAATATGAACACATCTGTTCAAACACTAAAAAAAAGTGCATTTGTTTTTATTTCCTGTTGTCTGAACCATTAATTATCTGCACCGCCCTCCCCCAAAAGATATTTTTCTTTGCCCCTTTTTCGCAAGGGCAGATCAGTTTCGGGACCTGGAAACTTCCTTGCCTTGTGTGCTTCAGCTTAATCTCTTGAGCGACCCAGTCACTGGGGAAGCATGACGAGTTTTCTAATCCCACCTCATTCACAGAAATTGAAGTTTCCATTAAAATATTTCGATAAATTGGCCTTCGAGCACAGTGGGTGGTGCTGATGAGTTATGCCTTGGAGCATCAGGTATTACATGGGGAATCATGCTCATCAAGTTCTCAATATTATCCCATATTGAACATAGCATTAAATACATACAAGTCACAGTGAAGAAATAAAATATGATACTTGTGGACTTCCAAATGGCTTTGGTTGGCATAAAAAGATCACAATTCACATACTTGTAATCATCAAAAATCATCTTATTAAAGTTGTGCACATTTTATTGCAAGAACTTGAATGTAGATATTCAGAGACCCTCCTGCAAACACATCTCCCCATCAAATGAACATAATCTTAATTTCAAATGGATAGGGAAAGCTCATTATCAGATGGGTATCCAACTTAGCATCTTTTGCCCATACAATTTCAATCCAGTTTACCTTCACAGGACTGCTGCCCACTCTTCAGACTGTAGCCTGCTGTGCACATACAAGCTCTTGTGGTTTCAGATGTAGGTAAGCAGAGCTGAGAACAATCACCATTTTTCTCACTGCACGGATTTGTACCTGAAAGGAACAAAAAGAGTTTAGCACAATCTTAAAGAACGATTTGGACGGCTAGATACAGAGGATTTATTTGAAAGAGAAATATGAGGAAATTTGGGGAAAGGGCACAGCGGTATGACTGAATGGGTAACTTTCTCTGAGATGGCACAAATGATGGGCCAAATGCACTTCTGTGCGTTAAATTATGATCCAATTATATAAGAATATTAATGACAAGACTGCATTAAGAGATCAGGAAAGCCCATCCCAAAGGGAAGATTCACAGCCATTTTATATTACGACCTTTTACAAAAATGACCCATTTCAACTCTTTCAACAATTTTTCTCCTTGAGAATTTCTCCGGATTTTTTATTTTAAATATAATGCACATAATGAGGAAGAAAGTAATAGAGGGGAACAGGGAGAGAGAATATGGATGGGTGGAGACTTCTTCATTACCTACACATCCTCAGAGTGATAGGAAACTAGTAATGCAAACCTTGAAAAAACAAGCTTGACATTAACATTTACCAATACAAGTAGTGCAAATATAGCACTAAGGATCATTGTTTATCAATAAGGATCTCTTAATTGCACTATTTTAAATATCTTGACAAAAGCGTCCAATTAATGAAACTTAATTTCTTTTTAGGTCTCACCATTTTGTATGTCTTCGTCGTAAACCTTCATGTGCATCACCAGAGTTGTACTGTTGCGTAACACAACAGTGTTCAATCCATCCTTATCACAAGTACCCATTTGCTCTGTAGTTTGATCTGCCCACCATAGTTTGTCACCTACATGTAACAAGATAATATATTACTGAAACTGCCTCAATATTGCTCCTTTACTGTTTGTTATTCTGATAGCAGAACTTCATGTGCAACATTGCATATCAGAAACTATTTCCTTCTGCATGAACAGATGAGTATATTTCCTTATGACAATTAGAAACTACCTTTCTAGTGAAACTAGAAAGTTAACTGAGTGGATGATTGCTTATATTTTTAACGTGTAAACCAAATATGTTGCACTCTGTTAAGGGCCTTTTAAATTGAAACTGAAATATTAGGAGACTTTGGTTTCAATCGTGAAAACAACACAACATAATATCTGAATAACTTGAAGCCGTGCACTACCATTAATATCGCATCATAAATCTGTTTTTCAGTTCTTTGCCATTTCAAAGAAAAATGAAACCATGAGGTTTTTAAAAGAGACAATTTCAAATAGCAATACTTTGCAATGTAAAACTTCAACTCTAAATTGACATATATGGAGCATTGACCAATCTTGGTCTATCTGTTGTTAATTTCAATATTGATAAATGAAAGGTACTTCAAATAGGAAGTACAAAATTTGCTTCTACGTGTTGTACTTTCCCTACACTATAATAATCCTTGCATTTATCACATCCTTGAGATTTCTCAAAGGGCTTCACAGAATATATTGTAAAGTGAATTGACTGTATATTTTGTGGGTGAAACGCAGCAGCCAATTGCGCACAGCAGTGTCCCACAAACTGGTTTAGATTGAGTGACCAAATTATAAATTTTTAAAAGGGAAATTCTCTCCACCTTCTCTCTTTCTCTTCTATTATGATAATTTAATTGCTATCAAATATACCTTTATTTAATATAGATTGATTCGGTCTAAAAACATTTGCCTATTTTCCTATTGAGTGTTATGGTCTGTTTTGGAGGTGAAGCCCAGAAAAACTTATTGACGGAACAAAATCCAAAAGCCATTTTTATGTCTAGCAAAGTCTGCAAGTGTGAAGATCAACATGACTGACACATTACCCTTAAACCAAAAAGAGACTTTCTGCATTCTGTCAATTATCTTGTCAGCAGCCCAGGCTGCAAGCAATAATAATAATAACCTCGCATTTGATATAGCGCTTTTCACGTCTGGAGGACATCCCAAAGCGCTTCACAGAACACACTGTAAAGTGAATTGACTGTATATTTGTGGGCGAACGCGGCAGCCAATTGCGCACAGCAATGTCCCACAAACAGTCACGGATTGAAAATGACCAATTTATTATTGTTTTTGGTTTTGGAGGGATTATTATTAGGCTCTGTGTGGAGTAAGGAAACTTGCCCAAGGTTTCGCCCTCTGCCTGGAATTGAACTCGGGTCTCTCACTTGCAAAGCGAGTGCTCTAACCACTGAGCTACAGGACAAGCAAGCTTGCTCCCCTATGAGATAGCTCACTAGTGATTCAGTAAGAAATAAAGCAACTCTGGTTTGAGTTTCAATGAACTCAAGGAGGAACGATAAAATCTGATGTGTCATTTTCTAAGTATCATTTTAATGCTTTCGGTACATTTTCTCAAAATGTACCTTGACTTCCAGAAGAGTGGGACTGGTATTGTCCTCTCAAAAAACATCACTCACCGAAATCCAACTCCCAGCCCAGCTGTGATTTTGACTTCCATAATGGTTAGTTTGGGAAGCTTTTGGATTTTATTAATTTGAACTTTTAACACCATTTCACAGCTCAACTAGGCCAGATCAAGGCAAGAATGTTAAAATCTGTGAGCAATTGCAATTGGATTGGAGTTCTACTTTACATCAATTGGAAATACAGCTCTGATTGTGGAGTCCTGTGGCTCAGTGGTTAGAGCACTCGCTTTGCAAGCGAGAGACCTGAGTTCAATTCCAGGCAGAGGGCCAAACCTTGGGCAAGTTTCCTTACTCCACACAGAGCCTAATAATAATCCCTCCAAAACCAAAAACAATAATAAATTGGTCATTTTCAATCTACGACTGTTTGTGGGACATTGCTGTGCGCAATTGGCTGCTGCGTTCGCCCACAAATATACAGTCAATTCAATTTACAGTGTGTTCTGTGAAGAGCTTTGGTACGTCCTCCCGACGTGAAAAGCGCTATATCAAATGCAAGGATTATCATTATTATTATATTATTATTATTAGGCATTTGGAATGATCGTAGCATTTTCGTGGCAATTTATTCATTCATTATATAAAGAATTAATTTGATCAAAAACTGAGCAAAATGTTCTATCACCTGGGCTGAAGAGAACTCAAAAATATTGGAATCATATGGGACAATTGTATTTTGCTCCAAGAGAAAAAAAATTCAGCCACAATGCAATTTTCTTTTGATGACTCTTTTTTTAAAAGATGAAGGCTATATAGATAAGATTTTCAATGAATGAACTATTCAACAATAATAATAATCCTTGCATTTGATATAGTGTCTTTCACATCGGGAAGACATCTCAGAAAGTGCTTCACAGGATTTACTGTAAAATGTAGAGACTGTATTTTGCAGGCAAATAAATATTTAATATGCAATAAAATCATCAATCAACTTATTTATTACTTTATTGCGGTCATCTGGTATCAAATTACATCAATTCTTAAGTGAACTATTTGAGTTACTTATCCGAATAAATAATTTATTTAAATAAGGTGCGTTTATACCTTGATATTGAGTGCTTTAAACACTTACCCATTATGGCTAGAGCAGTAGCTTTGGTCAGTTTTGTCTTCATGGTTTCTATGGTCACCAAATCACTTCCATCCAGGTTACATTTGTTAATGGACCCATTTCCTGAACTGATCCAGTATAACTTGTTTTCAAAATAATCAATAGACAGCCCTGCAATTATTTTTGAAAATTAGGTGGATAGAAAACATAAAAGGCAAAACTATAATTAATTTCTTTAAGCGATTCCAATAGTAATAGGAGATTGTTAGCACATAAACTAAATGCATTATATCAGTGCTAGTAAATGTTGGTTATATTATTTATTGAACAATGAAGTGAGCAAAACCGTAACATGTGGTTAAAAAAAATCAGTTTCACCTAGGACTACCAGAACCTTTATAGCAATCGCATAATACACCTATTTACAAAATTATACTACATATTCAAATGTTTTAAACTAAAAATGCCATCAGCAGCTCAAAACTCACCAACAGGCCCCTTCTGATTTGCAAATAAAACAGTGCGGTTAGTTCCATCCATGTTAGCTGTATTGAGGGTATCCCCATCTGTCCAGAACAGTTTCCTGTATGGAACAAGTGGGTAATGTTATAACTGGATAGTATCTCAACTGGTTAACTTGTTCAATGTTTAACCAACCTTACAATTCTTTGGTTACTAAAGTGTGCACATATTTGATGCCAGAATGTCAGCGGTCAGTGAGTTTGTGTAGCATTAATGGTATATAATTTTTTTCCATCCCCCTCATGGAAAGTAGGAAAGGAACTTGTATTGGAATATAGATATAAATTTGGATTTGACAGAAAGAAAACCCAATGGAGGTCTTTTGTAATATTTCTGAAACCTCTTGCGTTTTAGAAATGGAGCACATTGTGATCGCAGAACTGCCATGGTTCAGACAAACTGTTCCAGTCTGCTGCTCACATCCTAATCGAAGATAGATCTACAGAAAAAGCACCTTTTTTTTGAGATAGGAGATAGGGACAGTGTTACATATCAAAATATAATGAGTTTAACAGAATGCTGTTGTTTCCCAACTTGAATCCAAACTAATGGAATGCAAACTATTTTCAGGAAGCTTTCAGACATCATACACAATTAGAAGACATTTAATTTGCAAAGATCTAACTCTGAATGCTTGCGAGTGAGAAAGTACAAAATAGTTAGTGAAAATTTATGCCACAGATTCTGCATTTGACTGGTTATTTTTTTAATAAAAGATACTGAAATAAGTTTACTTCTATGAGTAATCTGAAAATTCAGACAAAAGTGTCTAGATTTTATACACTTGTCCAAATTTTCAGATCACACATAGACTCATGTGGAATATATACACTGGCCGAATTACTGGATGATCTATGTATTTCTCTGTAAAGCATTAACACTGGTAAGACCTAGAAGACACGAACATGATTGGTTAGCCAAAATCGCACTCCCTTTCTCTTAGCTAGTTCTTCACTGACATCCAGCCTTGCATCTGGCACTCATCTTCCTTTGGGAAATGATCAAAGAGAGAAGTCAAACATTTAGTGCGAGGGGATTCTTTCTTAACGAGGCACACAATTCTTTCTTAACGAGGCACACACTGCCTCTACTATGGATGAAAGACAGAGTGAGCTTCAATGCAAACGTCCTGTCAGGAGACTTCCTGTCTCAAATGTTGCCTGGGTGTGTTAGGTCATAGGTTTGCGCACAAAATGGAAATCAAGGATCTGTGGACAAATACTTAAGAAATTCTGTATTTCACATCACTGTATGGTAAAATAAAATCGAACTAGATATCACCCTCCAAAAATTATACATTTAAAATTACTTAGAAGCAATATGATATTCATCATCTTGATCCTTTTTTTAAATCAGCTATGATCTAGTGAGAGCTAAACAATTACATTTAGTATTAACAGGCTTTAGGGCACATGCATTGCAATTACAATTTTGACAACTTTACTGTCCAATGTCGCCGTCAAAGTAAAGCCACACAGATAAGCGGCACTCTACTCTAGGTTATCTTTTCAACAGCGTCAAATTCCCCCAAATTCGGTGCTTCCTGGGCCAGCCCATGAACCCATGAACTAAAGGTAGCCAGATTCAGACTCTCTCCAAATGGGAAAGAAAAACTAAAGCAAGTTATCAGCAACTTTGTTGGAAACCTGAAAGCTAATGACAAGTTTGCTGTTTCAGCCACATTAGGTATAAAATTTGATAAGACCTGGTAAAATCTCTACAGCAGCAACAACAACTTGGATTCATATAGCGCCCTCCACGCCGGACGGCGTTTCAGAGCGCTTCACAGTAACGGATCCCGGGGCCGAGCCAGGAGGAAGGTGACCAAAGGCGCGGTCGAAAAGAAAGGTCTTCTTTCATACTTACATACCAATTTCATACTTTGATTTAAAATACACAAAACGTAACAAACAAAGGTATTTGCAAATGCAGTATCTGTAAAATTGACCAAAAGCAACTTTTGGAAATTGCATTAAAACTATTTCATAACCAATCAAACATGCTCAATCAAGGCAACATTTTCACATTTGAAAATTGTGGTGTACAAACGTCACTTCCAGTCAGGATACCATCTGGAACCAATCATTGATCTTTCTGGAGAAAGATTAGTGGAAGCGCTAACATGCTAAAGTTTTCCCTTGAGCTTTGAGTCACAAACAAAGAAAATGTGTACAAACAAGCCAGATATCTGGAAAGCATTTACTAACTTATTTCCCAGCAAGGAATGGAAGTATTTCAAATAAAAAAAGGTATTTGTTCATAAAATGGGTGTTTGTTCTTTCCATAGCAAACATTATTCAGAACATTTCGTAATCCTTATCAAATTACACTGGATTATTTTATTGTTGAGCATAAAGTCATTTTTAACTGCCAAAGTACTTGGCACAATCAAGAGCTCTTTCTTTCTGCCACTAGATATTTTATGCGTTTAATTTCAAAAGGAAATATTCTAGAAAATGAATTAAAGTATTCACCAATAGAATTCTGATCCAATAGATTAGATGGTAGAAGCATTTACTTTTCTTAAACTGTGCAATGTAAGAAAACAATTCCNTTTTTGGTAAGCTGGGTGTCTGACACATGCAGAAACCCATCACCATGCTTAAGAGTTTCCAATCAAGACTGTAAAGTGCCACGTATATAAGCCACCTGCAAATGGGAATTTTCCTGTGTCTGGAATGCTCCCAGTTTCCCTGAAACGATGACCCTGATCCAACTTAATTTGAGAGTAATTAGCGTAGGTTGTTGAGAATCAAGGAGTACAGAACCCAGTGTGCCAATGGGATACTATTGGGAGTTCAACCAGCTAAAACCGCACAGCTTGCCATTTCAATGATGAATGGATTAATAATAATAATCCTTGGATTTGATAAAGAGCCTTATCACATCTTTGAGACATCTCAAAGTGCTTCACAGAATATACTGTAAAGTGAATTGACTGTATATTTTGTGGGCAAAACGCAGCAGCTAATTGCGCACAGCAGTGTCCCACAAATAACCGTGGAATGACTAACCAAATTTTGAGTAGAAACTTTTTAAAAATGTTTTTTAAGGGATTACTACCCCCGGAAAAGCTGTCCACCAATTGACGAACAACCAAGTTTCTACTCAACAACAAGAAAATTACATTTGTAAAGTGCCTTTCACGATGGGAGAACATCCCAAGGCACTGAACAGTCAGGGATCAGGACCCAAGCGTGGGGGACATTGTTGGGATGAGGGAGGGCAGAGGGGGTAGGAGGGTGGCTAAAGGCACGGTCAAAAAGCAGGGGCTTGAGTTGTGTCTTGAAGGAGGCAAGAGAGCAAGGCAAAGGGATTGTGGGGGCAGAGATGCTGAAAGACCGGCCGCAGATGATAGGGCGGTTCGGGCGGAAGACCTGGAGCAGGCTGGAGTCTGCTGAGTGGAGGGAGCGAACAAGTTGATAGGGGTCAGCAGGTCAGAGATGTAGGAGGGGCAAGGCCTTGGAGGGCCTTGGAAGTGAGGATGAGGATTTTGAATTCTATCCTCTGAGGGATGGAGAGCCAGTGGAGCCGGGCGAGGATGGGTGTGATGGAGTCACGAAGCCTGGTGTGGGAGAGGATACGAGCTGCAGAGTTCTGGATGATCTGCAGCTTGTGCAGGGAACAGTTGGGGAGGCCGACAAGGAGAGAGTTTCAGTAGTCGAGCCTTGAGGTGACAAATGCGTATATGAGGGTTTTGGTGGCCTGAGGGGTGAGGCAATGGCGGAGTCGGGCAATGTTGCGGAGGTGGGAGAAGGCAGATTGGGTCATGGCATGAATATGGGGGAGAAAGGACAGTTGAGGGTAGAACAAGACAGCAAGGGTCCTAACTGGCTTGGTGCGGTGGAGTGTGAAACCAGGGATGCTGATGTTGCCAGTGCCTGAGGTGCTGACGCGAGCCAATCAAGAGGGCCTCAGCTGTAGAAAGTTGGCTCTCATCCAGGACTTGATGTCAGACAAACAGTCTGTCAAGATGTCAGGTGTCCTGAAATCGTGGATGGAGGCAGAAAAATAGAGTTGGATGTCATCTGCGTACATGTGGAAGTTGACCGCATGTCTGTGGATGATGTTACCAAGGGGGAGCATGTAGAGGTTGAAGAGCAGCGGACCGAGGACAAAGCCCTGAGGAACACCACACAAGACTGTGTAGGGGCTGGAAGTGAAAGCGTTGTTGGAGACAAATTAAAATTGTTTGAGAGACAAGACCTGAACCGTTAAAGGACAAAACCTTGAAGGTTGAGGTGAGCGGAGAGGCAGTGGAGGAGGATAGGTGGTCCACGGTATCGAAGGCAGCAGAGAGGTTGAGGAGGACGAGGAGGCAGAGGGAGCCCTGGCACAGATGTATAAGATGGCATCTGTCAGTTTCTGTATTGTGAGCAGTACAGAAACCCGATTGGAGGGGCTCGTGAAGGGACTGGTAGGAGAGGAATGAGCGAAACTGGGAAGCAACGACTTTTTCAAGGACCTTCAAAAGAAAACGGAGGTTGGAAATGGGTTGGTAGTTAGAAGGCAGGGATGGGTCCAGAGAAGGTCTTTTCAGGATGGGTGTGATTGTAGCTGTTTTTAGGAGGATGGGAACAGTGCCAGATGAAAGGGAGAGATTTGTGGTGTCGGAGTAGAGGAGCGAGGAAGTGGAGCTGGGAGGTGAGGAGAGGGATGGGGTTGGGGTCAAGGGAGCAGGTGGTGTGTACTCACTTTTACGTAAACAGAGGCCTGTGGAGTAAGGAAACTTACTCGCCCAGCCCGGGAATGAAACCCAGGTCCTTTCACTTGCGAGGCAAGTGCTCTAACCAATACGCTACAGGACTCCACAAAAAACAGAATGTAAAATACCATTAAAAATTGTAGGCATCGTTGTATGGAATGGGAAGACTTTTCTTCATCCATAGGGCTTTTATCACAGCCTCGACTGGGAAAGTTTCAGGATGGAAAGAAATTGCATTTACTCAGGCCACTCTTGCACACATCTAAGCAAGCCAAGTGAAAAACAGAGGTCTGGGAACTGATCACCTATTAACCTCAAGGCCAGGAAATAATCGGTCCAAGAATAGACTTTTTCCTGCGGTACCTAAGGATACCTACCACGGGAAAAAGCCCAAGAATAGCATATAACTTACAAAAATAAAATAGAAAGAAAAGATCTTGTTATTCAACAAAGCGGTGGTTCCCCCCCATCGTTTGATTTTTGCTACTTTTAAAATAGTTGCAGATGGAAAGTTCATTGTAGACTATGTTCCTGAGGTAATTTAGAGGTGGCTTTTTCAAAAACACTCTGTACTCTTAATTTTCTGAATGAAATTTATAACGTTGCAAGTTCTAGGAATCAATCATTAAGGAAATGAAAAGACCTGAAAGCGACTTCTATTATTTTTGTGATAGCTGTTAAGTTAGTTGCTAAGAACTTTGAATTTTTTTCCACAATTAGTCATTACAACAACAACAATTTGCATTTACACAGCACCCTTCACACGGGGTAGCGTCTCAGACGACACGACGACAAGCCCTACCACTGCTTAAGAGCTCCAGGACTCTACCCCACGTGAAGGGCGCAAATTGTTGTTACTACATGTTCATTTACACAATTAATTTAGAAATGTTTATTTATCTGACAAATATTACAAGTGGAACTCCAATTTAATATTTTTCATATGCAACACTACTGTGCCATGGTGATAACTTTCACTAGCAATCTAGATTAGAAACAGAGACACTGATGACCATCTGCAACACACTAAGCAGATACAGTGGAGGCAGGGAACTTCAGAAAATAGAGGTGCAGAGGGAGTGGGGGTTGCAGAGATGGCCCGAGTTTGCTGAGCAGAGGTGGCAAGCAGAATAGAGGAGAAAATCACCAAGATGGGGTATGAAGGGATTTGGAGATGAAGTAGATCCAAGACAGAGAGCCAGTGAAGCCTTGCAAGAATGAGGGTGGTGGGCATGCAGAGTTTGGTGCAGGTGAAAGGCCACACATTGAACACAAAATAATAATAAACTGATCACTCAATCCATGACTGTTTGTAGGACAATGCTGTGCGCAATTGGCTGACGCATTTTGCCCGCTAAATATACAGTTACTACAATTTACAGTATATTCTGTGAAGCGCTTTGAAACGTCTCGAAGACATGATAAGACCGGTATCAAATGCAAGAATTATTATTATTATTAAAATGGAGAAGCGATTTCTCATATTTTGCTAACAAGTGAAATGTAATACCATTACAGTATGTAAAATGAAAGCCCTCGATTTATAAAAGTGAATAAATGCTAACCGACATCTTTCTGATTCACAAGAATAAACCTTTTGAATCAGAGCGTCACTGTCAGTAACATAACTAGAATCTAGGTCTGTCATGAATAAGTAACCCTCAGTCTAAAGCATCTTCTATTACTTGGCTTTCCAACACCTACCACAAACATCCAGACACATAACCAAGAGCTGTAGACACAGGATTCTAAGATTCTTATTTGGCTGGTTAACAAGCTACTGGTTAAAATATTTTTTAAAGTGCCGCTGCCAAAACTGACTCAGCTACTTTTAAAGTAAACACTATCATTTGTGGTAATTCCTTAAAGGAGCAACTTTCTCATTCGAAAAAGAAGTCAATAAAATATTGGCAGAGGTATTACGAAGAAATGCTGGTTTAGTATTAAAATTGTAATACCATAGCTCTTATCTGACCCAGTGTACAAGAGAGAGGTAAACGGCAGAAGTTTGGTCTTACACATGCGGAAACCGATCACCATGCTTAAGAGTAACCAAACTGAAGTATTCATCCTATGTCACAAATATAGTCAATTCACCTTACAGTATATTCTGTGAAGCACTTTGAGACGTCTAGAAGACGCGATAAGGCACTATATCAAATGCAAGGATTATTATTATATCACATAAAAATTGGTACATTTGATTCAAAATTCATACCCGGCAACAATAGACAGGGGAAAACTCTTCTGTTCCCCACCGATTTATATTAAATATTCAAGCATGCAGAACTACAAGATAAACTTAGAACAATGGTTACAAGAGGCACATGTGGACTGAAACTATGAATAGGACGAATAAAAATGTAGGTAAGTTTTGCAGTAATTGCACAGAATGCTTTAAAAATGTGGGCCAAGATTATATGTTGGCAGGATTTTGATTGTAATGTCTATAAGCATAGGCTGCAATAGTTTTAAAGTCATCAAGGCAAAAAAATAAGCACCAACTCCTATTTACCCTTTCCATGGATGCAAGACAAGACAGTGTGGCCTGTCCAAACCTTGAATCACAGCATTCTTGAAGGAGCCATCCAGTCTGGCTACATTAATTTGCTTTTTGTTGGCATCATAACTGGTCCAGAAAAGGTTCCTAGATACCCAGTCAACAGCAAGACCATGAGCATTTGGCACATCTGAAAACAGACATAAATAGGCAATGGAGGTGACATGCTCTGTTTAATTATTTTGACATCACAGGATTTATAGCCAAAGTATTTGTACAAGTTTATATGCAATAAAGCTTTTAACATACATCTTATTATCCCAGGAAATCTCCCCCAGGACGCACTTTTTTTTAAAAAAAAAGAAAGAGCTGTAGAGCAAAGACACATTTGGAGAAAGTCACAAGAAAATATGACCAAACAGATGGGTGGGGCCATGAGGCAGTCAACAACAACATGCATTTATATAGCATCCCTCACGCAGGGTAGCATCCCAGAACGCTTAGCGTAAGGGAGCTCTGATGCTCTCCCTCCTCTTGATCATACCCTGCCACATAAATATGATTTCCACGAATTACCTGCTGAAACCACGATTTCTACTCCAGTGCCGTTAATGAAAGCACGCTTGATGGTTTGAGTCCTGACATCAGACCAATAAATCCGTCTCTCCACAGCATCGTAATCAACCACTGTGACATTGTCAATGTCAGGAACAGTGAAGGAAATAATGAAGTTGTAATAAGGATTGTCAATGTCAACTCCACGAATCTCCATCTGACGAGCATACAGCAGGAATTTCCTGAACTCTGAAACAGATAGGCACACTGTTATAAACACCCTACATAGAGGTCCTCATTCAAAACGTCAGGCTATATATTATTGTTAAATGAATATGTATAATCATCTTCACTTCTAACTGAGCAGGAGCTTCAATATTCATGTCACTGTAATTGATTGTCATTACATTTATAATAATAATCTTTGTACTTGATAATAGTGCCTTATGTGGTTGAAATCCTTCACAGGATTTTATTGTAAACAAGAAAAAATTACATTTGTATAGCGCTTTTCACGTCGATAGGACATCCCAAGGCACTGGACAATCAGTGCTTTGGACCCAAGCTGGAGGTCGAGATCGGGGAAGGTGGAGAGCAGGGGCAGTAGGAGGGTGACCAAAGGCACGGTCGAAGAGGAGGGTCTTGAGATGGGTCTTGAAGAAGACAAGGGAGAGGGCGAGGCGGAGGGACTATGGAATGTGTTCCAGAGAGTGGGGGCAGAGTGGCTGAAGTCGCGCCCGCTAATGGTGGGGTGGGTGAGGGATGTGAAACAGGCCGGAACCCGCTGAGGGGAAGGGGCAGGCAGGTTTGTAGGGGGTTAGGAGGTTGCAGAGGTGGGGGGGGGGCGGGTGGGGGGGAGAGCAAGGTCATGAAGGTCTTTGAAAGTGAGGACCAGGGTCTTGAACTGTATCCTCTGTGTGATGGGAAGCCAATGGAGTCGGGTGAGGATGGGGTGATAGGGTCACGGAGCCTGGTGCGGGACAGGACACGGACTGCAGAGTTCTGGACGATCTGCAGCCTATGGAGGGAGAAGCTGTAATGATTATATTTTGTAGGCGAAAACGGCAGCCAATTTACACAAAGTAGTGTTCGACAAATAGCCATGAAGTGAATGACTAATTTGATAAAAATAATAATCCATTTGGTCTTCCGAGAAGTCTCAAAGCGCTTCACAGAATATACTGTAAAGTGAATCGACTGTATATTTTGTGGGCGAAACATGGCAGCCAATTTATCTGGGGGGGTTGTTGGCCAGGACACCAGGACAAACTCCCTACTCTTTTCGAATAATATCTTTTAACATCTTCCTGAAAAAGCAGGTGGGACTTCAGTTTGACATCTCATCTGAAGAACTGCATCTTTGAGTTAGTCACAGAATACCAATGTACTCACCAAAGCAGGTTTTCTTATCTTCACCCAGTTTCATCAGATGAGGGCATGCACAGGATGGCGTGGCATTGTAATTTATCAAACACAGATGTGAGCAAGGACCTCTCCCACCATCAGCTGCACATGGGTTTGGAGCTGTGTACAAAGGTAAACATTAAAGAAAATACAAGTAGTTGCACATTATTTAAATTGTAATATTTCTTTGAAATTCAATACATTTTAAAAAATAAAACTACACTAGATCTAAATTTGATTGTTTACTGTCCTTACAAAACATACTCTTGCTTTCCTCCATATATTTTGAGAATGCAAGACTAATCAAGTTTGCTAAAGCCCTGCCAGATCGAAATCCACTATACTTACGAGTAAACAACCAGCTTAAACGTATCAAAGGGGTCCTGGCACTAATGATAAAATGGGTTAAGCTTTGTGGAACATGAGGTTAAAAAAAAAAGGATCGTAAATGGCAAAAACTATTATCTTTGATAGGCAACCAGACATGACAAATGATACAGAATTCCAAAGTTGAATCCATTCTGGATAGTCACTTCCAAGTAATTTGCCTTTGCTTTTGTGCATTACAATAATCTTCCCACAAATAACATGTACATTATCAACGCGTAGAATCAACTGCTTGAGTGAGTGAGTCAACGCTTGCGAGCACATGAGTCGATTTCTGAGAGTGACTCTTTGGCAGGTATGAATACACCTCTTTTTAAACAATGTAGTGGCTTCCAGAATTACACAACTTGGAAATGCGTCTGGCAGCAAAACAGAACATTAACATCAATTATCCAGCACTGAGATGAATAACATCGACCATCCATTAAACCAGTCAAACAATTTCAAAATCATATTGTGAATATGGAGGATAAGTGATAAAACTGTGGGAAAGGATTAATTTAGAATGCATGGGATGACCAGATAACAGCCATTTCATTAATTTTGCACAATCACAACTTGTAATTGCCGTCAATAGTTTATTTACCACACAATGAGTTGTGGTAATAATTATTGTGCACTTTGCTTAGTGTCACTTGGATAATTATGGTATAATCCCAACTCAAAATTTCCAGTTAAGACTTAAAATAAAAAGGTGTGTCTCTGGTTGTCAATGACGACATACGTACCACCTCAAGTTTCCACCAGCTTCACAGAATTTTGGGGGTGGATAATTGTTTCAAAGTAGTTCTCAGCTACTTGTGCATAAACTCTAGATGATAAAATTTACTAACCACATATGTAATACTATTTTGTTAATAATTTAGAACAATGGAATAGAAATGTATAGGGGAGAGTTATTAAAATTATATTAGCAGAAGTGCCATGAAAATATCACTTGTCGACTACAATCAGAATTCAAGTATTTATAAGAGTACTTATCATGTCTTTGCGACAACAACTTGCATTTATTTAGTGCCCCTCACGCAGGGTAGAGTCCCAGAAACGTCTCAAAACGCTTCACAGAATATACAGTAAAGTGATTGACTGTGTATTTTGTGGACGAAACAGTTGACATTTATTTAAAGATAAAGTAGGTTTACCTTGTGGCTGTCTGGATGGATGATACACCTGAAGGTCAAATGGTTGTGTATTGGTTCTCTGTACAACAGTCACATTATTGCCTGTCCACTTGTTCGCTTTTGCAAGGGTGTTGGTCCTCCAATCTGTCCAGTAGACTTCTCCTCCATATAAAGTCACAGCAAATGGATGCGACAGATACTCATGGCCTCGCAGTACCTCTATTAGCCTACTTCCGTCGTAAAGTGCAGAATAAATTGCATCAGACCTACAGTTTTTTGTGCAAAAACAAACATACGCAATGAGGCAAATTAAATTGCTGTTCCCAGCTACAGCATAGAACAATGGTTTTCTATGTTATCAGGCAATAAAGACTTGATTGTTCAATCTACAGCCAACGACAGGCAATTTAATAATCCTTGCNTTTTTTTGACAAGACAATCACTTTTACATAAAACCAACCCTTTTTTTGCTAAAATTTGAAAAATTTATATTTAAAGTAAGAATTGAACAAAAAATTATTTGCTATTCTTTGTGTGCAGTTTGATATTCCTAAATCAACAGTGTTTCTTAGCAATCTTTATCAACTCAATTGCACCAATATAACAATTATGGTTCACATGGAAAGCAAACACCTCTGGGGTGTAAAATCAGTGCTGACATTTAGGAACTTATAATGTGTAGATTGACAGTACTTAGCTTTCCCCAAAAAACCTTTACCATATTGTTCTCTCTCAGTCCCTCTTCTCCTGACATATTACAATTAATTTGTTCCAGGCATTGTCAATAAAAAACCTCAGCTGGATCCCAGAGTGTGGACCTGAGACTACATCCCTGTCTTTTCTCTTCCCTTCCCACATTCCACCTACAGAAAATGTCTCACACATACATACAGCCACAAAAAAATACATTGCAAGAATGTTCTCTGTTAGCACTTGTGGGTGTGCATTCTTGTTCTACCATGATATAGCAAAACTTACCTCGTGCCTTTTCAGCTCAGCATTGGCAATATAAGGGGTGGTATGCCATATACACCGTGGATGGAGTTGAAATAAGTGGAGATAATTTGCCAGGATTATTGTTTGCATTTTATTATATGAAACTACGACAGGCAAATTGATATTAATCAAGCTTTACACGATTAGCAAGATTGAAGATCAGTTATTCACCACAGACCAAGCTATTGGTTCTTTCCTGCATTACCTAGCATCAATCCACAAAATACGCCTCTCCAGATAGTCCACAGTCAGGCCATTTGGCCAGCCTCCAGCCCCAGTTTCCTTATGAATAGTACGGCGTCCAACTCCACTCATAGAGGCTGCTTCAATCCTTGGCAAGCTGGCATCCCAGTCCGTCCAAAATAAAATTCTACAAGATAAATGAGAACATTTAGACACTTCATTGTTTCATTTAAAAACTATCCACCCAGCAGGCCTGATGGTATGGTAGATAAAACTGCAAGAGCTTGCAGGTTCAAATCCCTGCTGACTTTGCTGGTGTCAGCCATCACTGCATGGGGGCGCTATACTGGCTCCAAATGATCCAGAGTTGGGGAGAAGAATCAGCCAGGGCACCTTCTACCAGTTGCGCAGTCGAGGTGAGGTTCAGGCTCAGCCGTAACACCCTCTACAACAACAAATGACACTTGTATAGCACTCTTCATGACTCTCACTGCCAAAGCTCACATATGAACAATGGCCATTTGGACAGGGAACCTGAGAGCAAGCAGCGTCCATGGAACAAGCTATTCAAATAACAGGCTTAAGGGAGAAACTTAAATTCACCTGTTCCCATATGTTACAAAGATTTTAATAAAAATTCACTGTAACCAAATTCAATGAGGAAAACTGGAGAAGTAATGGGCTACAAACTGGGACTTGGGTGATGTCCTCAATTCCATTCCCACCAGGGGGCAGATGATGAGCAAAAATAGCAGACAAGCTGGCTGAGTCTCAAGAGAGCTTGGAGGCAGATAAAGTCTTTGATCCAACAGCATTCAAAAGTATAATAAAATTGCTGGCACTTCACACCCTTAATGGACTGAAGTGTTAATCATGACGCCATTGACAAAGCACTTCCTACTTGTAAGCATTGTAAACCTTTAGTGTGGAGGTGTTTGTGGTAGCCAGCAGTATTACGGCAACACTGAGACAATCTAAATAATATAGGAAAATTCAGGGTTTCTTTGCAGATCTAACTGTTAAGCCGGATCAGGAGCACTTCATCGTGCAGTATTATGATACTGATCGGTGTCAAGAGATCAGAGAACCAGATGTTCTTGGGTTCATAAGCCCTGAATCAGTTTCCTGCTCCAGAAACTCATGAATGATTTTTCAGTGCACATTCCATTCCAACAATCTATCTCTGGAATTTCCATGCGTAGGTGGGATGTATGGAATTCTCAGCTTGTTTTTGATATTCTTAAGCACGGTGATGGGTTTCTACGTGTGGCAGACACCCAACTGACCACAAAAAAAAAGCAAAGTTGAGAAAAGGGAATACAGAAAACTCCCTACCAGGAATCTAGAAACCACTGCCTGAAAATTTGGAACACAACTTCACCTGCCTCTAACCTGATGCCTCCTATGTGCATGGTTTCAGATCTCCTTATGCCCAGCTGGGCTCAGTTTGCATGAGCATCACTTCTAGATTCTATAGAAGTCCAGTGGTTGAATCTTGCTCTTTTCGTGGTTATAATACATACTAAGTTCACTTTCATAGCTCTGCTATCTTTTTGGTCCTTTTTAAAACCAGAAAAAACAGCTTGGAGCTCAAGTGAATTCCATGAATCATTAGAACCCTGCATTCATTGAGACATTGATGGATTATATGAATTAGGTTAAGTTGTGTTACCAACCCATCTCTGGGATCCAATGCAATAGCTCGTGGGTGCTCAATATCACCAGCAATCAGTGTGGTGCGCATCGAGCCATCTAGTTTTGCCACTTCAATCTGATCCAAATTACTCTCTACCCAGTAAATGTTGCCAGCAATCCAGTCAACTGCCAGTCCTTCTGGAGTGGCCAGGCCATATTGTACAACCACCTCGACACTGCTAAGAGCTGCAGCAAAGAGAAAAAACAAAATTGACTATTAGAACTAAAAAAACATTTTTTTTAAAATAGTGGTCTAGATGTTAAAAATGCTCACTTAAGTTACGTGCACCTCTTTAGAACAGAACTATACAATCTTTCGTGCTGTTAAGTCATGAAAGGTCAAAAGTAATCAGTCCCATAATAGTTACTCACAGTCTTTACTGTATTTCAGTCAGAGCACAGACTCAGCCTTAAGGAGATCCAGATTGCAAAATAACAAGATTGTAAGCTTAGCTCCTCAGACAAGAATTCACCAACACCAACAGAAGGCAGATCAATTAAAGATGAATACACTTTATTTTTTGTGAATATTTAAAGAGTTCCCGTTTCAGATATCCAGTGCTATAAAATGACATTAAATAGGTGAAGGGCTAAATCCTAAAATTACCTTTTTTCCCCCCACTCTTTGTCCGTCAAAATGCAAATGCAGAAAGATACAAAATGTTTCATTTTGACCTAAAATTGACATAAAATTTCTATAGGAGGAAAGATCTCACCAACCTCGTGATGAAACGCCCTTTCCTCCTATCGATTGTTCCCCCGACCTCCCTTCTACTTTCCATGGAAGGTCTATAGAAACAGATAAAAATACGACACTAAAACATTAAAAACACTGAATTCTGTGCAAATATTCCCAAAACAATCAAATGATCTAAGAAAACGTACAACACCTCTACAACAAGATCTCAGTAGATGCTATTTTTAAACCTATTTTACCATTGTACAGTAATCAACTTCAGATAGCAGAGTAAAAATGTCTCCTATTTATACCAGATTATCTCAATTGCAAGATTAATTCTTGTCACAGTTTCTTTCTAAATCATACATGTTAAACAAGGTCCGTAAACATTAAACCAAGAATTGCACAAAATTAAGAAATGAACCACCAGGTCTGATTTCCCAATTCCACTTTAAATACATTTACAATTACATATTCAGAAAAGGTTGCATGTATCAATAGCTTTCAATATATATTTAAAATACACAAAAAGGTTTAACTCGTACAATAATTAGAATTTGTGCTAGGCTGTTATAAACAAATCAATTCAAATTTTCAAATGTATATGCAGTGAGAATGTTTCTGAGATTCCAATTCAAAGCAAACCAATATCAATTGATGAGACAAAAATAAATCTGACAAGACTGACAATATAAATGCTGAAAAGAGGTACCTCCACTCTCAGATAGTTTCCCTCTGTATATCTTATCTTCTACCACATCAGTCCAATACAGGGAACTTTGATTCAGGTGAAAATCTAGTGCAATCGTGTTCCTGAGACCCGGAACCAGCACACTGTAGTCTCCTTTGCGAAGATCAATGCGACGGATCTCGTGGCGGTTTGAAAAAATAATGAATGGTTTAAAAGGATCTGTAACAAAATGGGGTTTGTTTAGAAAGTGGAAACACACAATGCTCATCTTCTCAATTTCTGCTGCTTGTGCTATTAAGTATTCCTAAATTATCTTCCTTAATTAGTCCCACAATTCATTTTTCAGAACTGAATCATTTTATTTGAATAATATTCTATTCACTTAATCAATTCAGAATTTTTCATTTTCTCTTTGCTATATTGTATATCAAGGCATCACTGGCACATAGTAGCAGTGACTACAGCTCAGATTAACCAACCTGAACTGGCACAGTTCTCCCCATCCAGCATCAGCATCCAGCCTTCATAACAAGAACATTTCACTATGTTTTTGGACTGTTCACAACGTTGACTACATTTCAGATGCTTGGCACAGTAGCTCTGAATGAGGCATGCTTTCTTGTCAGGTCCCAGTTCCATTCCAAGGGGGCAGGAGCACACAATTCCGTCCCCAGGAGCGACGGTGCAGTTGTGACTGCAGCCTCCGTTATTCAAAGAACACTGATCTGGAAAGATATTTATATACCACTGTTAAGGCACCAAGAATATGTTTCATTGCTCTGTTGTATTAAATGGTAGAATAGAAATCGCATATATGATTAGCCACACAATAAGTTTGTAAACTGCCAGGTCATCAAGGAAAGCAAGTATCAATTAGATGCCAGGTCCTTCCTCAATTGCACTGAACTACTGTGGATTGTTTATAGGTGCTTCATCATAGCAGGGTTAAGAGAAGGATTGGCAGGACTACCACCTTCTGAATTCCCAAGGAAAGGTGCACGATTGGCAAAGATTTCATTTTAAATGTGTTACATTATAATACCAGCACAGGTTTGCACCTTCGGGATACATATACAGTATTCTGAAAAGTAGGATATGCTATTTCCCTTAAGGATAATGAATTTCTTTCAGCATAAACAAACAGACAGCCTACTTCAAATAGGCAAGTATAATGCACTTACTGCCAGTATTTGTCCGTGAAGGAGGGCGGTATATGTTATACAAACCTTTGAGGATTCTCTTTCCTTCTCTCCACCTCCTCCCACAAAGATGATTGTCTCGACAGGGCTTTCCAATAGTGGGCTAAAATTAGAACCTCTCAACTTGCTACATGAAACCAATAATTTTCCATTAAAATCATTAAAAGAAAGTCCTATTGGATTACTGCAAAAGCAGGACCCCCGTTCTGTTTAATAGCTGATAATTATACAACTGTTGCTGTGATTTTCCTGATCACTGAGTCGCCACTTAGTAAGGGAAGTAGTTTAGCCTCTGCGTAATTGAGTGTAAAAAAAGAACAGCTGATGACTGCTTCAAGCTGTGATACTTGCTATTTGGTATTTACTGTGTGAAAATTAGCTGCCCACAAAATTCAGTCACCGCACTTTTCAGTACATCTTGTAAAGCACTTTGAGATGTTTCGGCAGCGTGATAAGGTGCAATATCAAATGCAAGAATAATTATTCCAGCGCCTTGGGACGTCCTCCCGACGTGAAAGCCGCTACATAAATGTAATTTTGTTGTTGTTGTACTTTCTCAAATAAATGAAAATTACAACTTTTACTTAAATATTTAATCAGACATTGCTTTTGGACATGTCACATCAGCCACAACAGTTTTTTCTGGTTCTGTATTCTATTTTTAAAAGAGTGCAACTCGGACTAAAAAGACTACATGATGTAAATGGATAGCCATCAGTAGTGCTGGATGAGTCAGTATCTCAAAAAGTCCTACAGAAAAACAAATGTAATTGAGGAGCCTTAAAGGAAGAGCAAAGAAAGTTGGGAATTCCAAAAGCAAATGCAAAATATTTTAGCATTCGACATGTATTTCTTTATTGCTAAAGTTGATGAGTGTTCTTTTCAGTTATAATACATTACTTATATCCTAACCTGAATACTTACCACAAAGTTCACCTTCATCAGAACCATCACCACAGTCATCATTTCCATCACAAAGCTTCTCAGGTGGGAGACAGACTGACGTGTTTTTAGCACAAGAATGGGAAGGAGGTTTACAAACTAATGAATCGCAATTCTCTTCATCTGAATTGTCCTCACAATCATTGTCACCATCACACACCCAAGTCTTACTGATGCACCTTCCTACAAAATGAATAATATTCCATTACTTTACTGGAAGCAGTGGCATTGTAGTAAAAAGTTAGCATAGTCTGGTGAATAATTCTTGACAATACAGCTGGACAACAAATTACATATGTATAGCGCCTTTCACGTCCCAAGAGCCCACATATGTATGTTTCACCCACAAATATACGGTCAGTTCACTTTACAGCATATTCTGTGAAGAGCTTTGGGACATCTAGAAGACGTGAAAAGCACTATATCAAATGTAAGGCTTATTATTATATTATATATAACATAGCAGTTGGAGTCCATAAAGTCCCAAACCGTCTTATAATGGGGTGACTCAGGGCCCTGGAGGAAGTCAAGAGGAAAGCCACAAAGAGGATGACCATCGTTAGAGGAAATATGCTAAGAGCAATAATTTGATCAGCTGGAGCTTGGAAGGAGAATTATCTTCAGAGGTACACAAGGTTTTAAAAGGGACAGCAGAACGAGAGAAAACAGGTTTAGAATTGCAAAAGGTAATTTCATAATATACACCAGAAAATATTGAAAGAATATGAGCAAACAAAGGAACTGTCCATCAGCACAGCACAGGCACAACTTACCAAAGTCCTTGCAAGCAAATTTTATATTTGGGTCACACACACGAGTCACTCCTTCACAATTCCGTTCATCACTAGAATCTACACAATCTGTGTCTCCATCACATCTCCAGCGCTTGGGAATGCACAGCCCATCCATACGACACTGGAATTCATCAGCATGGCAACCACCTGGAGGTCTTGTTGCTACAACATTAAATAAAATGTCATTTATTCTAGATTCTAGACTCGAATCCAAGATCCTCATCCTCACCTACAAGGCCATTCACGGCCTCGCTCCCTCCTACCTCTCCGACCTACTATCCCCCTACCTACCCGTACCCTCCGTTCCTCTGGCTCCGGTCTGCTCCACATCCCCCGCCCCAACCGCCCTACCATCAGTGGCCGGGCCTTCAGCCTCTCAGCCCCGAGGCTCTGGAACTCTATCCCCCAGTGCCTTCACCGCTTCCTCCCTTTCCTCCTTCAAGGCCGGTCTCAAGACCTTTCTCTTTGACTCAGCCTTCAGCTCCCCTCTCGACTCTCTACCCCCTCCTCGCTCCCTCCCTTCCCTCCCCTCACCCTGACCATTTCCCCACTCCCCAACTGTCCAGCGCCTTGGGACGTCCTCCCGACGTGAAAGGCACTCTATAAATGGAATCTTGTTGTTGTTGTTGTTGTTGTAGTAGACCTAATACACTGCAATCAATTCTCACATCATCTATTCCTTTTCCAATGATCGTGCTTGCATGAGTAACCAGCAAACTGCTCAAATTTGTTTCATAAGCATTTTACTTGTATTGAGAGAGCAGTTTCGATATTTAAACCATGTATTATGAAACTTTATAATTAAACAAGCTACCCTCAGTTTTCTCAACTTAGCCTGCCTGCTTGTAAAACCTGGTTATCTGACTGGATGTTTTAGACACGTTAATTCAATTCTCTGAATATCAAACAAGTGATTTTATGCTGCAGCTTTTTAAAAGAGAATCTATATGGTGAGCACATCAAATAGTTTAGTTTTGTAATTCTGAAAAAAAGACACACAAAGCAACAATGCAAAGGATATCTAAATTTATAAACTGACGCAGTGAAATGAATCAGGATGACTAGCCCTCCTGACGTGACTTCCTAAAATGGTCCTGACGTGACTTCCTAAAATGCTTGAATAACTCAACTCTTATTCTGGTCTTGGGGGTTTTATACTGTACAACTTGCACAGCTGCACAGAATACCAATTAACATCTTTTGTCACAACAACAACAACAAGATTCCATTTATAAAGCGCCTTTCACGTCAGGAGGACGTCCCAAGGCGCTGCACAGTTGGGTCATGACCCGAGCAGGGGGGAAATGGTCAGGGTGAGGGGAGGGAAGGGAGGGAGCGAGGAGGGGGAAATGGTCAGGGTGAGGGGAGGGAAGGGAGGGAGCAAGGAGGGGGGAAATGGTCAGGGTGAGGGGGGAAGGGAGGGAGCGAGGAGGGGGAAGAGAGTCGAGAGGGGAGCTGATTCCAAAGCTCCAGGAGGAAGTTTTGAAACCATGAAATATAGGTGAATCCACTTGAAATATTCTGTGAAGTGTTTTGAGACACTCAACAACGTGGAAAGGATTATTATATTCAGCCAAATTTAAAAAAACAGACTGTACTGCATGTTGTATAATAGCCAGAATAAATGAGCAACAAAAGAAATACTTTGATCTCTCCATTTTCAAATTTAAACCTGAGGACCACTGGCAGGGGAAATGGGAAAGAATCTAGTCAGACAAATTTTAACTACCTTCTAGCAGCCAACTATGAATTATATGAGAAGATGTCTGGAAGCAGGTCAGACACCAAACCTTCCAGCCACAGGGAGTGTGAGGTCCAGACATTGGGGAGGAGGAAAACTGGAAAAAATTAGATGAATATATTCTCTAAAGCAGTTTCAAAAATTAATGAACTTCAATTGAGGTCCCATTTTAATTCACTACATGAAACCGATAAATTGAAACCTTCAGTTCAAACTATGGGACCAAAAAGCGATCGTATTTACAATACATGTACTAACCTTGATTAGTGCAGTTTGCATTAGTTTCGTCGCTATAATCTCCACAGTCGTTATCCCCATCACATGTCCAGTGTTCAGGTATACAGCGACCACTGTTACATTTGAACTGAGCACTGGAACAAGAGTGGCTGCAGCCAGCCTCATCACTGCCATCGCCACAGTCATTATCTGAAGATGAAGGGAAAAAATATTGGATAAAATACTGAAAACTATTAAGCAATACTTCCATCAATCATAGTCAGTTCATTATGAACTCGCCAATGGGAGTGTATGTTGCTTAAAAGCCTCAATTATATACTGGTTCTATAATTTTTAGTTTTAATTGCAGATTCCAATCTTTGCACTCATGATTGCTTGCACAAGATGATTTGGAGCTGTTTCAGGTACATCTATGGGAAAAAAAGAGGGAGAAAAGAGAAAATCAAACAAAAAGCTGGGTCTTTCCAAGATTCTTAACTGCACTTTGAAGTCATGCATGAAATTGCAATGAATAAGTATCAATAGGTTTGGGAGATTTCTGTAAAATAGATTGTTGAACCTCCAAGCTAATGATAGCCTTCTTTAGGAACTTGAGAAGAGGCTAGGTAAATGAAAGGAATAGCTTGTTTATTTTGTAAGTTGTGAATCCTACATATCAGATCTAAAACAAAATAATAATTGTGAAATGCGCAACAAGTATTTTCTGAAAAATAATGCAACTTTATTCTAAAAATACATATTTAGCACAGGTATATTTTGAGGTGAGGGGGTAGAGAGGAGAGGGAAGAAAAATATTTTGACGGTGAAGCTGAACCAAGGAAAACAGGGATATTTCAACATTTTAGGTTACTTACCAGGGCAATAGTTTTGTACTTAAAATGTCAAAAGGTCAACTGATTTGCAGTGCAGCTTGTTGACCTTCTAGGTACACGCTTAAACCATCAGGAGCCAGGGATAATGCAGATCAACACTGGTATCTTTACAGGAGGCTGTACAGAATTTTACTGAGCTGGGACTGCAGGTTTTACACTGCCCAGAGCAAACCGACATAATTTCACTGCAAATATTTCATCCAATCAGTTATCAACACGCATTGTCGACTTCCATCAGGAATACTAAGAACCAAGTACACGAGCTGCATTTCAATTGATCAAATGATTTTCACNAAAAAAATCATTCAATTACAGCATTCAGAGCAGTCTGGAGGCAATGCACGAGTGCATACCACAAAACAGGAGACTTTGGGGTCAAATCGTAATCTCTTCTGACACTCATATCTCGGCTTTCTGTCCAAATAACAAATAATCTTGGCTGAGTCGCCAGGTGCAGATTTGGGGCAAGGGAAGATGGGAAGAGAAGTTCCAAAAGTTCCTCCCAGTTTAAAGCTGCTCCCTATCGTGCCTGGATACAGACCAACACGAACAGAGAGCAGGGGAGAAACGTATGCAGTTGCCTTTCCTATCAAACTAAACTGTGAACATTAAAGTTACAGCAAAAATATTTTTAAAAGGTAAAAAACAGTAAAACTTGTCAGGATTATTTACTGAAAATAACCACTGCAATCACAATGTCTGAGCTTGTGCTGTACAGAATCACTCGTTATCTTTGCATACCACAGTCATGTTCTAACACTACTCTGGTTTCATGAGACATTAGGTGTTTAGTTCTGGGACCCAACACTGATGGGTTTGGGTCAGTTAAATTTAGAATAAAACAAGGCTGATTTGCTCATCTTAGGTTCATATCTGCCGACATTTGCACAGGTACTTACTTTACAATATTACATTGCAACGAATCTTGGAGAGGTCTACATGACTAACGGCAATTCTGGTTCAGGGATATATCAGTCTGCCTTAAAATGCTATTCCTTTTTCAGGATACAAAGTTAAAACATGTTTTGCTATCAAGAATACATGAAATAGCACAGGTTAAACATTTTCCAAAATACAGATTTTAGTTGTAATTTCTGCATTTGGGCTGATTGTAGTTCATAATCAGTTCATATTACAGTAAAATGTACAATCTGAGTACAACGTCCTGTACACAATATTAGAAAGTAACAAATAATTGAGTTGTTTAACATAAATATTCATTCACCAGGTATTCAGTTATTAGCAGTTAACAATATTAATCATATTGATCACACACAACAGTCAATAATTAAAAGGCAAAAGCAGCAAGTAACACAGAAACTGCATAGATTGCACCATGCACCAGACACATCGATTCTGATATGAGATGTCAGGGTTCACTTTGTGTAAGAAGCTGTTTTTAATCAAGTTTTTTTTTAAGATGTATAGGCATTTTTTGTATTGCTAATCAATATGGGAGGTGGCTTTAAAAAACATCAATGATGATTTTTTAATAGAAGACAAACATCTTAAATTAGCAATCCTAGGCCCATTCTTCTGTGTGTAATATTAGTACACTCAAGTATTGCTGTGAAATGTCTTAAAGAAACCGCTCAAGCAGTTTAGCTTTATGCAGACAGATAAATGGCAATAGCTAAATTGTTCCATAAAGTAAAAAATGGCAAATAAATTTTGATTGGCAGATTTTTGACTAGCATTTTCGAAAATTAGTAACATGCAAACTCCATTTTACTAAGTTCTTTATATAACTTCCTGGTACACTTAATTTTTATGTTTTTTTTAAATAAAGCTGCTGGGGCAACACTGCTAGTGTATTTAAGTGCCTCACTTCAGTTATTTCAGAAAATTTGAGTACTGTGCCAACTCTCCAGAGATTCAAATCAAATAACATATGCTACAAGTTCCAGAGTCACTAGGATGGTGCTCACGCTACTGCCTGTCTCAACTATAAGGAAGGAAACGAGACACATATTTACGCAAGTAACGCCCTAGATAACCACATGTAGAATAAGACCAGCATCTCAAGTCGAGCACTGTGCAGTCTCTCCTCCCAACTGAACATATCTGGAGGAGATAGGAGTGGGACAAAATCTAAACACTAAAATAAAACTTTAATCTGATGGGACACAGTAATAGCCATAACATTGCCAGGATTTCAAATAAGCAAACCAGCATGATTTATTTGGTCCTATAAATAGAGCTTAGCATACCATTGATGAAACAGAATTCATCAGGTCTCAAATCTAGTCTATTTTTGGAGAGAAAAACAATGCAAAAATGGCCAAAATAAAGGTAGCCAAAACTGAAACTATTCCAGCTTTTAAAAAAATAGAAGTCTTCATAAACTACCTAATTTAACACCTAATTGTTTCCCCTATTATGTTATATCTCAATAAAACTATGAAGACAAATAACAATGAGGTAAACTCACTCAGATACAGCAACCTGCGTGCAAATCTACAACAATAGTTAACAATCAATTTGGAGTCAAAATTGTATGTTTTAAGTTGTGTTTTAAAATTGTATTATTGTTCTTCATTCGTTGGTTTATTCTCAAAATTTACCAAAAATCCAAACAGCTTAGTGTAAAATGCGAGACATTTTATATTTCTGAAGAAAAATTTGATTGTTAATTGGGTGTAAAATAAACTGCTGATTTTTTTTAAAAATCGCATCGATTCCAATATCCTCATGCTTTCTGAAGCTTTTGTCTGTCGATATTGGTAAACTACTAACTATTAATGTGACCTGAGTCTATGAAGTTTTAACATAGAATATTTTTCGAAGATGCTAGCTCTTCAAATGAAAAGAAATATTATCTACCTGTTGAATCGCCTTCATTCTTTGAATGACAGCATCCCCATACACCACTGAATTTCAGCACAGGAGGCTTTATTTCAAAGGAGGAGGTTAGTAACATGAAGTGACACCCCTTTTGGATGTTGCAACATCAAAACCAGGAACGCCACTGCATAAAACCTTCTGTTCCCTATCCTGTATAAGCATTGCCTTGCTCAATGGTCACCAGTTAATTTTGATCTACGACCTTAGAGAGAGTAAACTCTGCACTTCAAACTCTGAATGTGCATGCATGCTTTCTAGTTCTGTAGGGATTGTTCTCACAATAATCAGGATAACCCATCAAAAAGGCAATCTTTCTTTAGAATCCAGCTCACACTGGTAGAGCCAAGCAGGTACTGGCTGCACCATGGCACAGAGTGGCCCAAACTTGATGATCTAACCAAGGATAACATGCTGCAGCCTAAACATTTGGTTAAAAAGTGTGACAATTGCTTTTAGTTGCTAATTTAAACACACTGAAATGTGGCCAGGTGATACCAGGAGCAGATTGACAAGAATTCACAAAGCAATTTACATGACCAACTTTATTTAACAGTTTCTTCAAACAATTTCACAAGCATCTGCTAATACTCTGTTTGAAGACAAGATTTCCCTTGCATTTAGGACTACAGGCAGCTAAGAATTTCTGAGTTCTTCCAAAAGAGACGAGAACAAGCAACATTGAAAACTAGAGCCCTTTGACATCAACTTCATGGCAGCTCTTTGACTGACTAATATATTTGCAAATAATAAGAAGGCATATTGAAATCTCCAGAATAAGTAATGCTATCAAGTAGCGTCTATATAACCATATGAGAATATAATACCTGGGTGATGCACCCAACATCATAAAATCATAAAAATCTGCAATACAGATTTTTATGGTTTTATGATGTTGGACGCATCACCCAGGTATTATATTCTCAACATGGTTATATAGGCGCTACTTGATAGGACATTGGGCCCTTTGTGTTCGTGCTGACTCTTATAAAAGCAATGCTTTCAGTCCCATTTAGGTATATTTCCCTTTTGGAAGCTAATATAGATTCTGCTTCAACCACCACTCCTGGCAGGTATCATTGTCACAATATCACAAGTGAGATACATCACTTTGTAATCTCTCTCCCTACCCACTCCAGCACAAACTACCCATTGCTGCCAAAACCCAGTGGTATATTGAGGATGATGATGAATGAAGAGAAAGGAACTCTGCACAGAATTTCTGAGCCTATACGCATTAAAAGCCAGTGTAGTCAAGTGTAGTCATGAAGTAGCAAACAAGCTGAATCGGAGATTCAGAGTTTTCAGGTTGAATGTGGTGCATGTTAATCTATGCACTGACCGTAAAAGTGTGCACAATGCTCTTCATCAGAGCCGTCCGCACAATCGTCATCTGAAACACAGAATCAACCGAGACAGGACACAATCGGCAGAGGAAGACAAACAAAGGCAGGCCTTCAAATAATATTGAGACAACAGACAAAGAGCACTTGAAATTACTGCTGCTGAAGAAAAACTTTCCAAAACAATGAACAAACAAACAGAGGGAGAAAATGGAGGAGGGTTGAAGCAGCAACAGCAGCTAGTACAAAAAATTTCCAGAGAGTTTAAGGTCCTAAGGCTGCTGCAGTAAACACAAGGGGTAAAAACATACAAGACTCTCATTTACATTCATAGAGGTAGACTGCCTTCAACCTGGCTTTGTAGATGAGATGGTACAAAAGAGCACAGCCAGAACTATAACAAACAGCACTGAAAATTAATGGAGAAAGTGAGTTAACATTTCAGTCGATGACCTATTGTCAACCTGGAACGTTAACTCACTTTCTTCTCTCCATAGATGGTTCCTGACCTGCTGAGTGTTCCCAGCAACTTCTGTTTTTATTTCAGATTTCAGCATCTGCAGTATTTTGCTTTTTTTTTTATAACCGCAAAATTAATGGTTGCTGAGAGCACAAAAGGGTGGAACGTAATTCTACTGAGATGCCAAGAAACATGACCAGTATTTTCCCACGGGCAGATCACCCTGGCACAGGTTGGCTCTTTTCAAGCTAAATTTCTGGGGGAAAAAATGGCTCCAAATACTCAGTGGGGCCACCATTCTGTCTGCTGGCAAAGATGAAGCAAATGTTGCTTCTGAATAATTATTCAGAATCCATTTCTGTCTGTAGAAATGGCTTACGGTAGGCGCATTATCATCACCAATCACACAACCTCCAATATTGGTTCACAAACCTGATCGGTTATAAATACCTTTTATAAAATTGCTCCACAGAGATTTCAGTCAACTTGATTTCCGTGTCTAGCACACTTATACAGTCAACAAGCATGGACAATTGGAATACACAAACCTTTAGAGCCCCTATTCATAGACATTACACTGTCCTACTAAAATGTAATATTCAGCAACATTTTCACAAATCATTTACAGAAAAAAGGCACACAGCAAAGCATATCTGCAAACACACTCTGGCTAGTGAACATTTTCTACTTTATGGAAATAGCTCCTAAAATGTTGTCTGATGTAAAAAGTGCAATTTGCTGCTGTTGATTTCAAATATGACGGTAACAATCAAGCAAAAACAGAACTTTCTATTATTGCACTTACCAGCATCACAGCGCCAGTTTATATTTATACACCGCCCATTGTTGCACGTGAACTGGGTTAAAGGAAAGCAAGTTGGATAGGCTGCAGATCAGAAAAACAGACAGACATGTTAAAATAAGATACATGTATTGCTTAATTTTCAGAAAACACTCCATATACCCATCTTAAGCATTCAGATCAATTATCTGCTCTTGTGGGTATGCTGTTATTTTGCCTTATTCATTCTGGTTAGCATACCATGCCCTCAACAAAGACAGCAGCAGGCAGCTAGGCTACCAGAGCTGGCTTCTCTGAAATCACAAGTATAAAGTGAGTGAAAGCAATCCAAATTGATTTCCATTTTATCCTATTTTGGTTGAAGAGGATCTCTTGACACCTTAGCAGAATCTGTGAGCTCACTGCACAAGGAACTGAAGGCTTCAGTGAAAATTGAATGTAACATTGCGCCAATGAACCACCGACATAGTCGAAACAAAATAGGCTTAAATATCTTGACGGTCACTCAATAGAAATTTATTATTATAACTATTGCATTATTTTACTGATATCTAGATGTCTTGCAATCAGAACATGAGGTTACTTGTAGACTGGATAATCGTGGCAAAACAACAGACAGGGCTGGACAGTAATTATTTTCGGCACACAGCATCTGATGCATTTGTCAGTAGTGAAAATGTAAACCTTACCAGTGAAGCTGCATAGCAGTTTGCAGAATTCTTGGGGGGGGGCAAGGAAATTAGTAGTTCCTTTTTTTGTAACTCTGAGTACTGATATGACCTTTTGTACTAACCACATGAGGCTGGCTCATCAGATCGGTCACCGCAATCATCATCCAAATCGCACGTCCAGGAAATGGGGATACACCTACCATTAGTACAGGAAAACTGGTTGGGTGGGCAGGTTCGGGCTATAATGGGAGAGCAAAATAAGTTATTACTATCCTATCAAATCCTGGGGATTGCATCAATATCATCTTAGAAACAACAACTAGATTGCAGACATACAGAAATATTAGAGGTAACAGACAGCCATAATTTATCTTCTGCTGAAATAACTTTTGAATGCCAGAATGCACCATTAACTAAATAAAATTTACATTGATTGGCTAAATAACTAATCTAAGCTTTACAAATCAGGAAATCTGTAACTACCTGAACAGGTAGAGTTTGATTCGTCTTCGTTGTTGCCGCAGTCATTGTCCCCGTCGCAAAGCCACCTAATGGGGATGCAGCGATTGTTCTGGCATTTGAAGCGGTCAGAGGGGCAGGTGTGCTGATCTGTGAATGTGCACACAATATCAAATGAACAGACATACGTAAGTACACAATCTAAAGCGTTATCAATGGGTGAGCTCACATTACTGCGCTGGCCAAAACTACAACCATTTTTAAGGAACCACCTTCTGTATTGGTGCCATTTGGTAATGGAGTGGCAAAATTGTTACCATTCCCTTTATGTTAACCTGAAGCAGTGTTTCACTTTTGTACTTACAACAGATTTGTGCCATAATGATAAAAAAAATAAAGGTCAGTATTGTAGTATGAGAAGCAAAACGTGCAAGGTTTTGATTCAATATCAAAGAGCTGACAAACAAAAAATTCCTACAGTGCCCAAGTGGGCAAATACAGTGGAAAAAGAAGGCTAGATTCCGAAACAGGGTAATGCAATCCTGCAACACATTATTAATAGAAAGCAGTTGCATGAAGCGATTACATACCATGATATTGCAAATTATTATTTAGAACAGGGTGGTCCAACCTTTTGGCTGCTGACCGCCAGATGCCCTATTTGAGAAACATCCGCAGGCTGCATAAGCAANTTTTTTTGTGTTTTCCTTCCAGAAATAAACATAACATTTACGGTTTATGAAGGGAGTAGGTGAGAGCGGGGGTGGGGGGTTCTAAACCAGTCGGACCACCCTGGTTTAGAAAATAAAGCAGCCTGTTCATAGTATCAGAAAGCAAATTTTCTGTATTTAGATACTAAACCAGCATGAAGTTAAAAAATGATTACCTAATGAAACAACATCATTGTCCCACATGAATAAAAAAATACTTTTGATAGTTTAAACTGATTCTTAATAAACAACTAATCGGAACTATAGCCGTTTTAATACATACGACAGATTTCTGGCACTTCATCGCTGTTATCCAAACAGTCATTATCTCCGTCACACTTCCAGCGTTCCTGTATACAGCGCCCATTTTTACAGGCAAACTCTCCAGGTTGGCACAGTGGTGGAGGGATATATGCAGGATTTGCTGGATTATAAAAACATAAAGGTGAAGTCATTAACTGGAGGCCAGCAACATTAAAACATTTTTAGATTAACATGAGATTAACAATATCTCTTGGCTGTTTAAAAGAATTAGGATTTAAACAGAAACTTTACATGTAACGGTCAAGCAGTCTGATTGGAAATACAATAAATTTATAAATAAAAAAATTAATTACAAACTTAGATAGTAATTTGTTACTTCACCTCTGAAGAAGAGTTTATATATACACACCATCCACTAAGCATAACGTAAACATCAGTGATCTCTGTAATACAGCACCAGTCTGATCTCAATCTGGTCACCCCTAATTGAGATCTTTAGATGTTAAACAACTACTGATCTAAAGACTTAAAACAAGATCAGTGACTATGTCAAGCGATTACAGAAAGGGTAAGAGACGAAAAAGATATGACCTTCCAGTTGAGGTCATCCCTACGAAAGTATTTCTGATATTATCACAGGCTCTGGCAAGTCTGAAAAAATTGCTATGTACTTCTGCAGCATGATTTTATACAAAAAAAAGTACAGTTCCAAAAGCCAAGTAAGAAAGGTAATTTTCTTCTCTTCTGGAAGAAAATGATGTGGGACACACACTCATAGCAAAAGCAGTTAACGCTTAGTTAATGAACTCTATTAAGGAATCAGACACACCTTAGTTATGAAGGTTATGAAACTAAAAGGTTATAAGATAAGTGCGGATGCAAATATTCCATGAAACACAATGATTCTGGTATTGTTTGGACTATGGAATAACATTAGTAAAATGCAAATACTCAGGGTTGAAGACTGCAGATTGTAATGCCAGACTGACATCCCTCAGTTTCACAAGATGACTGAAAGTCAGAAAGATAAAACACAAATCTCTCTTTTTCTCATGTTTTATCTAGTCTAATCTTATTTTTCATATTAAATATGTGAGATAAGAACCTAGTCATGCAGCAAATGGGATGTAGAAGGAATAGATTTGAGGGGTGAACATTTCTTTCATGTTCCGTATTTTCTTATTGCTCACCTTTGCAAGTTACATTATCATCATCAAGAAGCTGATCCTCTGCACAAGCACATGATCGTCCATTGGGAATTGCCAGACACAGACTGCTGCAACCACCATTGTTCACACGACAAGCATTAGTACCTAGTAAGAAAGAATGGAAAATCCATATACAATTGCCTACAGATCCTATGAAGTGCAAATTTCAGCATCAATGAACACTATTGATAAACCACAATATTGCCTCTGGGTCAGAAGGTTGTGGAGGCTTAAGTTTATAATCTAGGTTGACACTCCAATTCAGAACTGTGAAGTTCTGCAGGAGATGCCATTTGCCAAAAAAGCAGTACACTAGTCAAGTCTGACTACTTTTCAGGTGGAAGATAAAGATCGCACATCATTTAAAAAAAAAGGATGTTTTTCCTGGTTTCCTGACCTATAGATTAATTGGTCATTAATCTACTTTTGATACAATTTGATAAAATAATAAGACACTATAAAAATGCAAGTTCTTTCCTTTCTAAATGGAAAAAAATAATAACCGTTGAATTTATGGTAGGTAGCACCTTTCATATCAGGGGCATATACTGTAAAGTGTAGGGCGGATTGCAAGCAAACACGTCAAAATATCAAATTCCTTCAAATGGGGTGGACACAAAAATGAAGGGATTTTCTTTTTTAAAAAATTCATCCTTTTATTGTAAATGTTATTTTTTTTTAAATTAACTGCTTTGTAAAAAAAATCTCAACAACCAAAGTTGCTGCAACCAAGGATTCACAATATAATCACCAGTAATTCTGCATACTTATTGCAAACGCACTGAATTAGTTTAAAAGATTGTACCTTGTTGGTGTTGAGCATCATACATTCGGATTTCAAAGGTGGGTGGTCTTTCACTTCTCAAAAGCGTAACAGCTTTTGTTGTCTGATCAAGTTGGTAAATTCCCCCACTTCTGTACTCGGTCCAGAAGAGGTAATTATTGTAATGTGTAAATCCAAAAGGATGGATAAGTTCACCACCTTCATATACAGTCTGTAAGATATTCCAAAAATATATCAAATATGTTAGAACAAATTAATCTTGCATACTATATTGTTAGATGAGGAAAATACTGGAGCTTACATTTTTAATTGAGGCAACACCCCACAACAGAATTTGACTCAGATTGTTTGCACAAGATAGCGAATAACCGATTTTCTGCTCGCAGGATTCAAACAATTAGAATGTTAGTTCAGCACATAAAATTTCTGGTACAGGTATTGTAATTACACATAGCCAGAAATTCCAGCTTGCCAGAACAGATCTCCACCCCTGCATTAGTCCGGCTAGCCAGGGTTGAAATGTATAGAATTGCAGTATTATTACATTCTGGCTTAATATCAAACTTACCCTTCTATCTGTGCCATTCAAGAAGACTCTCTCAATTCGGTCATAGTATGCTTCACACCAATATAGTACTCCATTAGGAATATCCAAACTCAAACCATTTGGCCACAGAATAGTTTTGGAGGTCATAAAGATATTACGATTTGTACCATCCATCCAAGCTCTCTCAATCTTGCCTCTCTTTGTGTCTTTAGGATCTTCTTCCCAGTCTGTCCAATACATCCACCTTTCCCAAGTACAAAAAGAAATATTATCAACTGATCCATGTTCAAAAGTGCTCATTTAGACTATGCTTTTTTACCAACTTGAAAAGTAAAGATCTCAAAATATAAAGTACCAGGTGGTCACTAGAGGATAGCAAAGAATCATTACTATGGTGTATAAATTTTCCACCTTGCACCTCCTTCCACTGCAATCCTAACATAGACTGCAGGCCTTAAGTGAAGGTTTTTAATATGCAATGCCCCATTGTTATGGCTGGTGTATTTATTTAAATAATTTGTATTTTTAATGAGTCAATCACAAAGAAACACTTCAAAGTGTTCCACAGCAATTATTGTAGGCCAATGAGGTATTTATTTTGCACTTAGTAGACATCACATTCATCGGCACTAAATCAGAGAATACATTTTACAACCAGCTGTTATTTTGCTTAATCTTTTCCATTCAACCATAGCCAAATATCTTGTCTGAGTTCATAAACCAATCATATGAGAAATCATAAGCATAAACTTCATCCTAGAGAAGTGTGCTAGAGTACCAGCAAGTTTCAGTTCAATATTTACTCAGTGGAATAGCTAGCATTCAACTTTGAACACCAACATTCATGTTGAGCTTCCGGAAGTGCATTTGCTGAATTGCAATAGTCTGCTCACAATCGGTTACTGTTCTCATACAGGCTGGTATGCAAGTTCATTACCCTTGGGAAGAAAGAGGAGAATACTCTCTCTGTGATCATTTAAAAGGAAACCCGCATTACGACTGAAATACCAAATGTTAGTAATACCATAAGACCTTATTTACAATTCAATTTTTCAGTTATCCATGCCACATACCCATTTAATGGATCCACAACAATTGCACGAGGATGAGTCATCTTCCCTTCTATTAAAGTCTTTCTGGTTTGAGAAGCCTTTTCTAGTCGAGCTACACTGATAGTCTTTTTTGGACCATCATCTGTCCAGTAAAGATTGTTTCCCATCCAATCTACTGCAATGCCCTCCACATTATTGAGACCTTCAAAAGAAGAATATAATCAATAATAAGCTCATGAACCAACATCACAATACCTGTGTACATTTGGCCTGTACCACCTAGAACATTACTCTCTAGCATTAATAGACATGAAGTAGTTGGAATGCTGAACGATTCCACCCTCCAGGCATAAGGAAAGCAACATGAAAGTAAGAAGGCCATTTAGGTAGATTATGGGCTTGGTTCTGTGCCAGTAAATATCAGAGCTGTTCCATATTTTGTTAAAATAAATGTAATTTAATCAAAAAGCTTGACTTAAACAAAAAAGAAGTTGATTTAGAACCAGAAGCCTGAGGTTTCACTCAGCCCTTCACCTTTTCATGCTTGATAAAGGTAGTACAACTAAAATGTTGGGGTGGGGGGGGAAGAGAGGGAGACATTGGATGAACAGAAAAGCACAACTTTTCGAATAAAAACAAACACTGAATTGTTTTTATTTTTTAACTTACCATCTTTTAGTATAGTTTCTCTTTCTGTACCATCAATTTTCTGTCGCCCAATTAGGTAGCTTGTAGTGTCAGCAAAGTAGATGAAGCTCGATTCTGCATGGAAGTCCAAAGCACGAGGGTTCACCAGATTTTCTATCGGTATCATATACTCATCGGGTACTTTAGCATTCATGTCCATTCCTCGGATAATACCAGGACGACCCTTGCCATACACCAGAAAAAGTTCGTGATCAGGTTCTGAAAGAAAGAGTGAAAATGCAACATATAAATTATCTGATGGAAAGAAAGCAGCACTTAAATGGGACAGTATTAATGACAAAGATGTCCCAGGAACACACCTAAATTTCCTAAAAGCCATTAAGCTATACTGTATCTTTTCAATTCAGGAAACAATGTGCCCTTAATTTAGTGTTACTGCTCCAATAGATCAGCTAATAACAGCAACGTATGGTATGTGCAGTGGAATTTACAACTTTATTTCTGCATTTCATTTAAAAAGATTTCCATTTTTTCAGTTTAATTCCTTTCATCTTCCAGCCGGAGCCAAGTTTCACCAGGAAATTCCAGCACTGAAGCAGTTAAAGTTCCCCGAATAATCAAAACTGTCTGAAGGGGCAATTTCAATGCAAATGACTTCTGCCTGCTTTTGTTCCAAAGGCCTGCATACAATTATACTTACAATTAAACCAGTTATTTCGCAGCATTATAAGACTAAAGATCACATTGACCAATTAACTAATTTAAATTTATTCCAGAGACTTCCAATAAATTAGCAGCTAGCTATTTTTGCATATTTCATGGTATTTCAAGACATTGAATTATATACTCCAAAGAATCCATGTGGAACACACAAAACTTCCTGACTGTAGTCCAAACAGAAATAACATTCATTCTACCATTTTGCACTACTCTCCAAGACTTGTACCACCATGTCTAGCTTGCGACAGGATCACAAACAGGGGCGGAGCGCCACAGAAGGAAAAGACAGGTGCCACTTACTCCTCCTGTAATTATTTTAACCACAAAATATCACCCTCAAAACATGCAGTCAATTCACGTTGCACTATATTCTGTGAAGCACTTTGAGACATCGCATCAGTGTGATAAGGCGCTATATCAAATGCAAGGACTATTATTATTCTATTGTAACTGCGCTCATTCTGGGATTCAGGTGTGCCTACCCCCTTTCAGGACAGCCCACACACATACACATGAAATTTAGAACTTAAAAATAAGCTTTGTAGAGATCAGAAAGCATCCAGCAGTCAAGCACCTTTATACTGTAAATCAAACATCCACAGGTACAATACACAATTACTGTGTGTACGCAAACTGCAGGATGATGGTGTGTGTTTTAAAGTCACAATTATTGCTTTGCTTTGACACACCGCAGATGGTAGACCATTATTGCTAACTAACGTGGAGTCCTGTAGCTCAGTGGTTAGAGCACTCTCTTTGCAAGTGAGAGACCCGAGTTCAATTCCAGGCAGAGGGCGAAACCTTGGGCAAGTTTCCTTACTCCACACAGAGCCTAATAATAATCCCTCCAAAACCCAAAACAATAATAAATTGGTCATTTTCAACCCGTGACTGTTTGTGGGCCATTGCTGCGCGCAATTGGCTGCCGCGTTCGCCCACAAATATACAGTCAATTCACTTTACAGTGTGTTCTGTGAAGCGCTTTGGGACGTCTTCCCGACGTGAAAAGCGCTATATCAAATGCAAGGATTATTATTACTATTATTATCAATGTAAAATCTTTTTATTTCAGTTTCAATTTCAAAAGCAAAAGGAAGAAGGATTCCAACAGATATTGTTCACGGGTTCTTGGATATACATGGCACTGGTACAAACCACAAACCAATTCCCCAAATGTTACTACAGGTTAAAGACTTACTTTTGCAGGATTTGCCATCACTGCCCAAACTAAATCCAGACCGGCAACGGCAAGTGCGTGATTTGTGACTGTTGCCCAGAAGACAGATATCAGAGCATCCACCGGGTTTGTTGAATTGATCAGGCTCACAAGCATGGCTTCTCACTGGCAATACAATGTAAAAGGAAATGCACTTTAGGAATCGGAAAGACTCATTTGAATCTGAAAGACAAGTAGCAAGTCTTGGCATCTATCCTGGCCTACTGTATAATCATATTGTTGCTATTAATCCACTATTATTCAACAGGGGGAGGGAGAAGATCACAGCTGATCGGGAGCAACAATTTTGACCGATTTCTCCTGCTTGAACCAAGGAGTAGCCAAATGTAGCACAACCTCAACTAACTACTTGGATGAGATCAGCTAATTTAGACTTGAACTTCAGAACCCCAGGACTCAAAAGCTCAGTGCTTTATGCCTTCACCCATCAATTTATTCAGGCCTTGGTCTGCTGCTGTTGAGCAGAAAAAGGTTTCTCTCTGTAAAAAAGACAGAAATTTAATAATTAAGGGTTAAAATGTGCATTTTTTAAAATTATAATTTAATTTCTCACCTGTTGACTGCCGTCGCTGGTGATAGACATGAAGGGCTCCTCCTTTATCAACACGCGTCACCACTTGGAAGTCCGTTTTGTTGAAACGATTCACTCGGATTACACTGGTTTTCTGCTGTCCGTTGGCATTATCAGAATTTGTGGCATACAGATAATTCTCAAATACTGTGAGACCGTATAAATGTTCGATCTGTCAGCAAACAAGAATCATTAGGTGAGTAGTTTTGAGTGGTAGCTCCTACTATTTGTAGTCCATGAAATTTGAGTGACATTGAGATGCTGGACTATAAGACTAAACAAGTGATACTCAACTTGTATGGAATGTTAGTTAAGAGATTGGGCTCAGTGTAGGTCACTCCACTGAGAAAGGAGATGTGTCACAGAGAGGGTGCAGAGGAAATTTACTATGGTAATACCAGGGGGGAAACTGGGCTATTTTCACTGGGACAGAGAAGATTAAGAAGAAAAATGATAGGTCTTGAAAATAATATTTTTTTAGTATAGGGTAGATAGGGAGAAATTACTTCCAACGGTTGCAGTTGGTGACTAGAGGGTATCAAATTAAGATAATTACCAAAGGAGGAGATTAAAAGGAGTTTTTTTTAATACATAAACATACAGCGTTACAATGTGGAATGCCTGCTGAGTAGTCAAGGTAGGGTCCATATTAGCTTTTAATAGGGAGTCATTTGCATAAATATGGGGAAAAGACAGGTAAATGGGACTGAACAGATTGCTCTTTCAAAGAGTCAGCTCAGACAGGAATGGCCAAATGGCTTTTTGCTGTCTCATTGTTCTACATATCTCAATGTTGCATGAAAGATAAATAACAAGCCATCGTAAAAGTTTTTCTTAAGAAGCGAGAAACTATTAATGTCATTTTGATCTGATTACATTAATACGTACAAACTGTCCTTGGATGATGGCGTGCCTGTTTTTGCCTTCATAATCCACCACTTCAATGTAGTCCAGATATGCATCAGCCCAATATACCAGTTTATTCACCAGATCAAGTGCAATTCCATGAGGGAATACTATCTTACTGTCGACCAGCTTTGTTCTGTTCTGACCATCCATGTCACATCTCTCTACTTTAGGAATCTGCCCATAATCGGCGAAGAACACTTTTCTGTATAAACAAGAGAAAGAGTGCTGATGATTTGATTATAATTTCTTCAAGTGAAGGAGATATGTGTGAAAAGATATGTGTGCACCAAGTAAGTTCATGAACACTCTACACACATCTAGAAGACTCCAAACTTCTCTCTTATAAGGAGGTAAATGGGACTGAATGAAACACCCCCTCAATGGGAAAATCATTTTCAAAATTACAACAAGCTGAGGAAATGGACAACCGTGAGCATAGCTCCAGTGTCTTACCATTACCACAGAATCATAGAAATTTACAACGGTATGAGGTCATTCAGTGCATCGAGTCTACATCAGCTCTCAGTGCAATCTCGCTCCATCCCACTCTCCCAATATCCTTCAAGCCTTGATCTTTCATGTACCTGCCACCTTACTTGGTAGGGCATTCCATATCCCAACAAGAATCAGTGTGAATAATAAGCACAATTCAGGGGAAGGGAAACAAGGGCAGTGTCATGCGCCCTGACATGACAACTACCAGTCTGTATCCAGTCAGAAGAGCCTGGATGGGACTGTCCTTGCCCTGCTTGGCAGCTCTCTGAGGTTGGAGATTCACTTTGAGGGGAGTCCATCTGAATTCCAGTTCCAATAATCCGTTGATCAGCACAGTAGCACCCATGTCCAGCATGCCACCAACCTAGTTTCCAATTTCAATCAAGATTCCTTTAAATCCCCCAAGTTCCAAAAAAGATTTCAATTCCTCTGTGCAGTGCCCCCTTAAGCGGAATGAACTTCTGAATGACCATCACTTAAACTCATAGCAAATCACTCAAACCCAACACAACTCTTTAGGAACAAATTAGCCACTGCTACCAGGTATTTCATCCACCCAACAGATTTAATTTGGTAGGTCTCTTGCTGGAACGACAGGCAATCCCAGGACTTGAACCTGCGACTCTGGGGTGTACAAAGTAAGAAAACATATTTTACGATTTTCTTTTTAAAAATTCATTCAAAAACAATACCTTCCATTAGATGAGATCATCAAGATCAAATTAAAGTCTTTAAACTTTGCATGATGCATTTTTCTTAGTACGAAGACAGGAGGAAAATGTAATGAGTAAAACAGATGCCCCCAAGGCTGAGATCAGTGTTGTGGAAGTGATAGGAAAGTTGGAAACATGGTGGCATTCAGTGAAGGAATGCTGACAACATCTCTAAGCAGATTATTGGACTCCCAAATATCCATGCAACAGCTGTTTACTGAATCATGTAGGCAAAGCATATATTAGCTAATCCGCAATAGCCATCAGGCCACTCTATGCATCAAATCAAAATAAACTAAGCTTCCTTTGAACTAATTATAATAGGGATCTGACAGCAATGTTGACTTCAGAGAATGATGGTTTGAAAGAGATAATTAGAAGGCTTTCTTTCTTGTATCATTTAAAGGCAAGCACTGAGTGAAGTAAGGTGTGAGTAAAATTTGCCATCAACCTGTGTGATTCCACAGGCCTTCAAAGCGATCACTATCGATGTAATCAATAAATTGGAAGGAAAAAAGAGAAATCGATCAAAAATAACTGGCACTTATATAGATAGCCCTTTCACAAGGGAAAATGTCTCAAAGGACTGTATAAAGAGAGAATGGAAGGTTAAAAAGGAACAAAATAATGGAAACTGTCGAAACCCTCAACCACGCATTCGTCACCCCAAGGCTTGATTACGGGAACTCCCTCATCGGCCTTCCCAACTCTTCCCTTCACAAGCTGCAGGTCATCCAAAACTCTGCAGCTCGTGTACTCTCACACCAGGCTCTGCGACCCCATCACTTCCACCCTCGCCCGACTCCACTGGCTCCCTGTCCCCCAGAGGATTGAGTTTGAGGTCCTCGCCTTTAAGGCCATCCATGGCCTTGCCCCCTCCTACCTCTCTGACCCTCTTGATTCCCTACCAACCTCCCCGCTCCCTCCGCTCATCAGGCTCTGGTCTGCTCCATGTCTCCTGCCCGATCCTCCCTACCATCGGTGGCCGGGCTTTCAGCCTCGCTGCCCCCACATTCTGGAACTCCATCCCAAGGTCCCTTCACCTCGCTTCCTCCCTTGCATCCTTCAAGGCCGGTCTCAAGACCCTTCTCTTTGCCCATGCCTTTGGTCTCCCTCCCACCTCTCTGCCTTCCCTCACCCCTACATCACCCCTCCCCCATGTTCGGGCCCCGACATCTGACTGTTCAGCGCTTTGGGACGTTCCCCCGACATGAAAGGCGCTCTATAAATGTAATTTTGTTGTTGTTGTGGTATTACCCCATTGCTTACATGACGCAATCAGTTAGCTAAGCAGAACTTTCCTTTTGCCTCCCGCATTCAAAATTAGGATCTGAGATTTCACAATCAAGATAATTTTGCATGTCAGCTGGAACTCATTTAAGAAAATATTGCACAAGTCAGCTAAATTATTGCAACTGACTCATACTCAGCAGACAAAACTTGGGCAATTCCACTGAATTTCAATCCATCTGCTATGTACATTCTCAAGATGCATTCTGCCGTTCAGACTAATTGGTGATTGATCCATCCAGTCCATAAACTAGTTATTAATCCTTTCAGTGTTCTCCCCCAAAGGTATCCATTATCGGTATTTTTTCATAAGAGATGTGTTTCATTGAATAACTTTGTTCCATAAGCTAATTTATGTACCTGTGATTAGATTTGTCCGTTGGAAACTGCACCATGCATTTCACCGATGGCCTTTTGCAGTTGAGAAGCCAAAGTAATAGCAAGGCTTAAATGAGATTTAATAGAATTGTTCCAGATTATGAATGTTTGAGAAAGTAAATTTCCATTGATTTGTAATTTAGCATCAAAGGGCATAAACTCAAGATAAGTAGGAGGACTAAGGGGATTAGAAAAAAATATTTTTACACAAAGACTAGGATTCAAATTTTAAGAGCTACTGAAGTAGAGCTAATCACTTCGTTTGAAACACTTGAAAAATAAAGATAGAAAAGGTTAGGAGGAAAAAGCAATTTGTGATTAGACTGGGTAGCTCCGAGAAAGCAGAGAAAAGAGTATGGCTCGGGCATGATGAATTAAATGGCCTCTTGCTAAAATTTCTATTATTGTATGAAACTTATTAAAAACACAATTTAAGCTTTATAAAATCAAACTCACCCCATAGTTGGATCCAGAGCAATGCTTTTGGGGTTGTATAATTCCACATCAAGCAATATCACGCAGGTGTCTCCATTTTTATTGCACACAAATATACGATTATCAACATCATCCACAAAGTAGAAATTTCCAGTCAACCAGTCGATGGCCATTTGTTCCACATCTGTATTAACAAAAGATTTTTTCAACCAGTGAAATGAAACATTCCAGAATGACTGATTGACTGTTAATTATGAGACAACAGCAATATATAAAATGATGAATTCATCAATTGTTTTTTTAAAAATGCATTTATCAATAGTGAACAGGATAGAAAAAACATTTAGTTTTCTAGCAACAACACTATTTCAAAGCCAGTCATTAGGAACTACTTGATACATGATCACTCTTTAATCTAATCATTCATCTAATTTCCACTACAGACAAAACAAATGGACAACTCATAATTCTTGCCCTACAATAGCATTCCAGTAATAGCATTTCATAACTGCTGGCAGGATAGCTGCATAAAATGACTCAATTATTTGGAACAGCAACAACAATAGGAATGTCTGGCACTTAGGTATCCATTTTTTCTACCAGGATAGTACGTTAGGAATACACTGTGCATCCCTAACAGGTTGTTGTCAACATTCAACACGAAAGGACAATGTTAAGATAGTACCAGTTATAACCTAGCCATGGGGTGAAAACCTATATTTGTAAAATCTCGACCACTGCATTAATATTCTTTCCTTCAGAAGCATTGTCATTTGATTTTGATAAAAGATCAGCTGAACAATCACTCTGAAGTTGTTTTGACTGCTACCAGATATGAGGAACCAACCACTTTGAAGTATAATGCATGAAAGGATAGTGCTGGAAACTAGAAACTTTTTTCAGATTTCAATCGTAATTAGTTTTGGATTGGAAAGTTAGTTGGAATCATAAGAAAATCTAGCAAACAGCATATTATTTCACTCAAAGTGCACTTAAACCCTAACAAATGTGATTATAATTTTAATTTGCCTGTAGAACAGTTCCCAAATGTTAAAGTAGGAAATATTGGAAGATACTACCAATGGAAAAGAAAATTCTTTCAAGTGTTACAAGCGTGTGTTTACTTATTCTTTTAGAAAAGGACTGGCGAGAATTAACTGCAATCAGAAGAGGCAGTGGAGGCAGTGCAAATATCAGTCAGTCTCAATCAGCTGTGTACTTCAAGAATGGAAAACAGTACATGATATTTTTAATTTTCTGGATGACTATTCAATCTAATCAATCATTTTCTACCATTTGGTTACGCACGAGTTTGCAGTTGTTGCTAGAAAATAAAATATTGGCCTCTTCACATTTGTATGCAAGAACAAAAAACATGTCAAACCCAATTATCACAGCACAGTATGTTCTCTAATTGAGCCTTTGGCTCATCTAAGTCAGCCTCATGATATCACCAAAGGCAGACCATTGGTAACATTTTAGAGAGTGGACAGATGCATATTCACTCAAAATGGAGCATATAAATAAATCTCGGACATACAGTGGTCTTGAATTGTTAGGTCTTAAACATAGTTTAGATTCTGTGATGGATATCCTCTGTATGGTCTATAGGGGAAGGAATCCAGATGAATCTCCAGGCAAAGTAAAAAGTTCTCTTTAAGCCCCTTCCAAAACACTTCATTTTCTATTGTCCTGGGTCAATAGAAAAGTGCGTCTGCACTTTTCCCGCAGAATCCGCTACAAGCCCCGGGCCTCTGCGCGCTGTTTGCTCAACGCTGCTACTGTGGGCAGAGCAGCTGCGATCACGCTTCGTGGCGCGAGGAGTGTTGGGATGGTGCAAACGGCACGAGCGGGAAATCGGCTTCGCTAGTGAGTGAACCGCGACAGAAATAGCAGCCGTGTCAAACTCCTGCCATCTGTTTGCTCAACCCCTGAGCTAAAGTGAGCTCCTACAACAAATTCTTGGTAAGTACTGTGCTATTCAAATTAACAAATTCTTTATTTTAAACATAACTACATTTTCAGGAAACGCATGCAGGTGGTTTCAATCCAGGTTGTTTCACAAAATCCATCTTTCAATAGCACCAATCAACCCTCGGCAGAAAGTATCAAAGCCCCCTGAAATTTTCCGCAAAATTTTGTCAAATGCCCCGCAATTTTAGCAAATATTTCTGCGGTTTTCTATTGTCCCAGGTCATAAGATTATCTTTACAGGTGACATTGCTGTGAAAAGAATCTAAAATTGCTGAGCTTGCACCCCTGTAAATCTACCTTATATGTCTCAAGGCTACAGAGGAAAGCAAATAAAAAATCACTGCACTGCCAAGATTTGCTGTAACAAGTTAAACCTCAATCAAAGCGGTGTCATGTGGAAGATCTCCACTGTATTCGTCTAGACATGGCGTCTCACACACATGAAGAATCGACTCTGAATTTGCCATTTTTAGCACAGGAAAATGGCCAACTTTCTGTGCGCGTGACTGGTGATGCTATGATCCGGATGACAGCCATTTTGGCTTCTCTTGCACCAGCCAGCTCTTAGAAGTACTGATGAAGCTGACCGTCACTCTGCCTACATGCAGAAAGCGGAAGTGCTGACCTGAAATCATACCCCATTATAGATGCTGGTCAAGATTTTATACGTCCAAACTACTGCATCATACCAGGGCATTTTGGTACAGACAGCTAATAAGGTTTGCACCATTCTCGAGATTAACATGTTTGCACACCCAAGCTAACAGATGTGAAGGACCTTTAGAAATCAACACAGGATAGAAGGGTATGGGATACCAGGGCAGTGGGAATGCAAAAACGATTTTCTCTGAGAGTTAGTGCAGACTTGATGGGTTAAATAGATGCAAATGTATGATGTAAAATTTCTATGATTCTATGAATAAAGAAAACTGATGGCCAACCACCCTTCAGCGGTTTCTCAACAGGTTTTACACCCTCACGTTAATTCAAAATTATCCCTGTAATTCTCAGTGAAAATGTCACGTTAAATATCCACTGCCCCAGAATGAATCTAAAGAGATCATCCTGAAAGATTCTTTCACCACAGGAAATCTTTTAACATTCAGCATGCCAGGAAATCTTATGTTAACTAATTGCAGTATTTCAGAGGCAACCTTTTCTCAAGATAATATACTGGATTGCAATATTTCTCCAGTTTAGCATATATAATTTACTCTATCATAGACTTCTTGGCATTTGAGATTCATTCACAGACTAAAACACATTCCTTTATATAGAACCACTCAATATTTTTCTTTCAAAATAAAATCTTTTTTGTGAACTTAATAAAATTCAGAAGTTTGTTGCAACGACAACTTGCATTTATATAGCAAACTGTGCACAATTGGCTGCCACATTTCATCCACAAAATATAGTCAATTCACTTATTCACAGTATATCCTGTGAAGCACTTTGAGGCATCTCAAAGACATAAGGAAATGTAAAGATTATTATTATAGCGCCCTTCACACAGGTAGGATCTAGCAAATAGTTCTATTTGTTCCTGACAGCCCAAATACTTCGCTGCAGTTCAATGATGTAACTTTTAATATTTAAAATACATTTGTCATAATTTAAAGTCATACTGGAACCTATATACAACAATAGGTCAGTAATAAAATGCAGTTTTGCAATTAGGGGCACTTTAAAAATATAAAATGAGGTTTAAATGTTCCTCTGGTGTATCAGATCAGGATATTTCTAAATCACAGAATGAAAAATTGTGCTGTTCAATAGTAATTTGAGGGCAAAATGCAGCAATAAGCCAAATCAGATAACATGAACTTTGTAAATGCAGATTTCTCATAAACAAGCAAGTTGTGCCTGCCAACAAAGTCATTAGGAAGAAAATAAAACCAATTCTCAAATGTATTTTCGTATACTACAGCCTTATTACGATATTTACCGTATTTTCTCTTTCACAAAGCAATTCTGAATTAGGTACAAAAAGCCCTGAAAGCTCATGGATTTTTTGTATATTGGGTGCCAATGAATACCATAATCAATTGATACAAGGCACACTTGGATCTTGGCTAGATCACAAACTTTGAACATTCAAAATTATGACAAGTATTTAAGAAAAAATATAATCTTTGCATTTGATATAGCGCCTTATCAAGACATTTCAAAGCGCTTCACACAATATTACTGTAAAGTGAATTGACTGCATATTTTGTGGGTGAAATGCGGCAACCAAAGTGCACAACAGTGTCCACATTTGGATTGAAGTGATCACATTTTTAAAAAAAAAATTGGAAGGAACTATTACCCCCGGAAAAGAGATCCGCCAATCGCCTAACACCCGGGTTCCTACTTGCTGCTAGGTAAACAGTGGCATGTGGAGTAAGGAAATTTGCCCACCATTTCGCCGTGCCAGGAATCAAACCCAGGTCTCCCGCTTACGAGGCAAGTGCTCCAACCACTAAGCTACAGAACTCCACCTTTGCTAAAAGAATAAAAGTTATCCTTTCAACAAAAACATTTTCAAATAACTAGTTTTGGTATTAGAGAAATACATTATTTGGAGTCATCTTGTAATGAAAGTCAAAGAGTCTGGAGGCAGCGGGTTTAAACAATTGCATTAATGGTTGTGGTGAATCAAGTAAGCCTTAAAACAAGTTCTCCGTAATTATAAACTTGCTTCAAAACTTCCATAGATTTAGCACCAAACAGATTTGATAAGACAGTTTGTTTTGAAGCAATTTTTTACATCTGGATCAAAAGCATGGTTTCTCATGAATTCTGCCACTTATTTCTTCAAGACTTCTCTTACTGTTCAGAATTTTTAATTTATGGATTATGTTAATACTTGAAAATAGGGCTTCATCACTTTGAAAAGTCTCAAGACACTTGACAAGAGTTGCTTTCAAATGCAACAACTATTGCATGTGTGGAAACTCAGCAGCAAATCTGCAGCAGATGCATATTTACAAGATGAATGATGTATTAGCTTGAATTTAAATGGGGAAGGAAACACAGAGAACTCCTGTTATGTCTAACTATTCCAACTAAAACTAGCAGGACCTTGGTTTTATCTATAGGAAGGCACCTCTGATAATGCAACGCTCACCGAGTACTTCAGTGAAGCGTGTCCAGATTATAAACTGAATTTCTCTTGTTGGGCTCAAACTCAGAACCTTCGATGCAGAGGCAAGAGTGAAACCAACTGAGCCAATTTGCCACTCATTGACTTTACAAAAGTAAAAGGACACTGAAATTATTGCAATAGTGTTTTTCCAACTTGGGTTTTCTGAAAATATCCAACTTTTCATTCAGTAACTAAAACATGAAAATTGTACAATCATTTATTGTGAAATAACCACAGCACATCTGCCACTCAGATCACATGCTGGTGAAAAGTACTCATTAATAAGCAGTTCCCTGAAGGCTTGGCTCTCATTCAGAATACATATGCACTTGGCAATTCTCATGGAATTTATAAGTGAACAATGTGACTCAGGAAAAACATACAAAGCATTTCAATACAAAGCTTTACCGCCAACTTTACTCAATATCGGTTGGGTACAACATTCAGTAGATAAGGAAAGTCTACATTTATTTCGACAGGACACGCAACTTCTTCATATCGCATAACTACATCAAATAAATGTAGTTCGTCAAGCTCTTTGCTGGGAAGACAGAGTTATTTCCCTCTCACAGAACAACATGCAGGGAAGGATACTGTAGCAAGGGCGAACATCTTAATTGTATTGAGGTAGCAATAACGCAAGCCAGATATTTCTCATAGGCAACTGAATACTCCCCCGAATACAACAACAACAACAACAACAAGATTCCATTTATAAAGCGCCTTTCACGTCAGGAGGACGTCCCAAGGCGCTGCACAGTTGGGTCATGACCCGAGCAGGGGGGAAATGGTCAGGGTGAGGGGAGGGAAGGGATGGAGCGAGGAGGGGGGAAATGGTCAGGGTGAGGGGAGGGAAAGGAGGGAGCGAGGAGGGGGGAAATGGTCAGGGTGAGGGGAGGGAAAGGAGGGAGCGAGGAGGGGGAAGAGAGTCGAGAGAAGAGCTGAAGGCTCGGTCAAAGAGAAAGGTTTTGAGACCGGCCTTGAAGGAGGAGAGGGAGGAAGCGGCGAAGGCACTGGGGGATAGAGTTCCAGAGCCTCGGGGCTGAGAGGCTGAAGGCCCGACCACCAATGGTAGGGCGGTTGGGGCGGGGGACGTGAAGCAGACCGGAGCCAGAGGAACGGAGGGTACGGGTAGGTAGGGGGATAGTAGGTTGGAGAGGTAGGAGGGAGCGAGGCCGTGAATGGCCTTGTAGGTGAGGATGAGGATCTTGAAATCAATCCTCTGGGGGATGGGGAGCCAGTGGAGGCGAGCGAGGGTGAGGGTGAGGGCGAGGGCGAGGGTGAGGGTGAGGGTGAGGGTGGGAGTGATGTGGTCGCGAAGCCTGGTGCGGGACAGTACACGAGCTGCAGAGTTCTGAATGACCTGCAGTGTGGAGGGAGGTGGCGGGAAGGCCGGCGAGGAGAGATTTCCCATAGTCCAGCCTTGAGGTGACAAAGGCGTGAACCAGAGTTTCAGCCGCGTGAGGGGTGAGGTAATGGCGTAGTCTGGCGATGTTCCGGAGAACAAACTAGTGTGTATAACCCATGGGGGGAGGGTAGACTTTTGCCAGTTTGTCACTTAAGAATCTCACAAAATATTAAAACACAAAATATAAAATACGTATACACATGTGTACTCTGAAAATCTAGCTGTTGAAAGCAACTAAAAAAATTACTTGCAATGTTATTTTGATTCGACCACTTTTAAATTTTGATGACTTTCCTTTTAAATTCACTGAATGACAAAGATAACTTAAACTTCAATTTCAAATGAAAAGTAAATCAGTTCTGCAGGTTGTGTTTTATTTTTTTTAAAAAAACTAGCAGGCCCATTTTAAGCAATGAGCAACCCAACGTTCAGTTTCACAATAATAAAATTTGTAACTTACGGTGGACACTGAGTGAAATATTGATCACACGTTCATCTGTAAATCCTTTAAGATTTGTGATCTTGGCACATTTAAGCAGCGTTTCAGCGGCAGCATCTCCAACGTAGACCCAACAGACTGTCTCATCAGCATAAATGAAATCCATTGCTGTCGTCTGTTTGGTACTTATAGGGTTGACAGTATGGATACTTCCCCCGTGCAGGTATGTGGCCATAATGTTCTGGGAATTAGCAATAAGCAACACTGGTGGCCTATCAACCGGTTCTAGAATATAAAACATTAAAAATACTTTCAGAACAATTTTAGATTTTCATGGGAAAGAAAAACTGATCAGGCATTTGTTTGAATTCTGATAAAGCACTACAAGTTCTAGTGAAAAGACTCATTGGTGTTCAGACACCAAACCGGTCACACTTACCCAAACTTGAGAAAAAACAATTCTTACCATTTTTTGCTTTGCATGATTTGTTATCTGGTTGCAGCAGATAACCTTCCACACAGCTACATATGTAGGACCCATCCGTGTTTGTGCATGTTTGACTACATGTTCCATATATTGCACATTCATTAAAATCTAATTAGGATAAAAATTAAAAATGTTAGAACTTTAAATTTGTCATTTTTCATGGCGTTAGTTTAAATATCCAAATACCAACTGTCCAGCGCCTTGGGACATCCTCTCGACGTAAAAGGTGCTATACAAATGTAATTTGGATTTGTATGTTGTCACATAAAGATAATTATAATAGAGATTCCATTGACAATTAAAAAAACAAGGAGTAAAACATACGAAAAGCATATTTTAAAATCTTTGCAGGTACACCTAAAATTCCATTTTGCTCAACGAATACAACATGCATGTTGTGGGTATTGCCTATAGTTTATTTCACCATGTCAATACATTGCAAAGCTGTTCTGTTCAATCAAAGATTTAAAACACATTGGATAGAATTGTCATAAGCAGTTTCCTTTTTTGCATTGGATTCCTACCACCCACTTTAAAATTACTGGAAGTCTCTCCAAAAATTGAAAGTAAGTTGTACATGGATTCTTGGATGCCGAACTGTACCCTGAAATAACAGTGCACAGTACAGCTTTCCCACTACAGAAATTTATCCATGAAAAAGAAAAACAGGAACACTGACCTTTACAAGTTTTGCCATCCTCTGCTAACTCATAACTGTTGTTGCAGTAGCAGACTGGTCCATCATTTGTGACAGCACATCTGTATTTACAACCAGTTTTCGTACAGTTCTCTGCAAACTCTGAGGACAGAAAATGGAGCAACTTAATTTCTGGACAGTTTCTAAACCTATTAAAAATTAATAAACCTGGTACTGGTATTTAATTTACTTCAGAAATTTGTGAACAACCCAGACACTTTTATAATGAAACTGAATCATCTCAAAGTACTTCACTAGAAGTGACTAGTGCCAGTTCGCCCACCAGTTCCCACAAGCAACCATGGTGAATGACCACCTTATCTGGAGAATTGTTGGCCAGGACATAGGAAAATGTCCTTCTCACTTTAAACAGTAGCACAGGATTTTTACTGTCAATAGAATACCTAACACACATTTATGTACTTCACATAAATAAATAAAGTGAATAAAAATAATCTGAAATGATCTGAAAAGTGAATATTATGTAGGCAAACGTAGCAGCTAATTTGCATCAACAAAACAGAGTTGTTCTTGAAGTGCTGGATGAGTACTATAGCACAAAAACGTTCAATCTGACTTATGTAGACCATGATAAGCTTGTTTTATCTTGTAATGAATAGTAGAACCAGAGGACACGGCTTCCGATTGAACGGTGGTAAATTCAGATCCAATCTGCAGGGACACTACTTCAGTGAGAGTACTAAACTCATGGAATAGGATCCCTAGGGAGACACACCGTGGAAGTAGAAAATTTTGTTGTTTCAAGAACAAATTAAGACAGATTTCTGTTAGAAAATAATATCTCAGGATACAGTATATAGTTTCGGACATAACATGTCAAGCAACTGCCAGGATGGTGGAAGGCGAACCAGATGGACCTTGGTCTTCTTTTGCCTAGCAAATTCTTATGTTCTTATATTCTTATGGTAGCAGCATCAATCACACAACCAAACTTCAAGGTTGGTTTGGGAGTGGGGCTGATTGGGGAAGGAAAGATCACAACTCAAGCTGAATTAGTTGAGGATAAACTGACATCCTTCAATCTCATCATGCAGAGCGTGCTGGACATGTACACACTTTTGTTGTCCACTATAGCTAGGAGTAACAATAACAACGTGGATTTATATAGTGCCCTCCATGCCGGACGGCGTCTCAGAGCGCTTCACAGTAACAGAAGTAAAAGAAGGATAATTGGGGGTCGAACCTGACGCCTAGGTTGCATACGGGTTCGGAGAGTTTTAGGGGGAGTTTTAGGGTAAGTGGAGGAGGTGAGAACCGTGTGATTTTAGACATTGACGAGAGCCAAAGAGTATGGCTTTGATCTTGTCAACATTCAGCTGAAGGAAATTTGCGCTTATCCAGCTCCTGAGGTCTAACAGGCAGGCTGACAGACCATCAGGGGATTGGGGGTCGCAAAGTGAGGTGAAAAAATAGAGTTGGGTGTCGTCCGCATACATAGTATCTGAAGTAGCACTTTGAAAAGATAATACTCTCCCTACGTTTGCTTTTCCCTTTAAATTAACATAGAAAATCTTTTGAATGCACTGGGGTTGATTGTTTAATTGTATACACAGAGCAAATTAATTGAATCACTGAACACAGCTTTGCCAATATACTATTTTCACAGTATGACTGGGTACAAATTGAGCAGTTTGAATTTTCAAATTCTCAGATTTAAGAGAGGATTCAAATGAATGCGCAACTTCTAGCCAGGATCATTTATGGTGTTGTGTTTATCACAGAATATAGAATAAGAAAGAAATATAGAAATTGTAGCATCATGTGTTTGGACAATATTACTATACATAATAATCCTTGCATTTGATATAGCGCCTTTAAAGTTTTGGAGACGTCTCAAAGCCTCGATATAGCGCCTTATTAAGTTTTTGAGACATTTCAAAGCACTTCACAGAATATACTGTAAAGTGAATTGACTGTATATTTTGTGGGCGAAACACAGCAGCCAATTGCGCACAGAATGAACAATTTACGTTCCTTCATCCAAAAACCTACAATAATTTTCAAAGACAAACCAATTCACACCAGCTGCATGTTTTTAAAATTCCATCAAATGATCTTTTCTTTAAACATTATTAATGCCTTTTTATCATGCTGGAAATTATCCAATTCACATCCAGCGAGATAGCAATTTGGAACAGCAAACTACTTTTATATTTCCTGCTCTGACTCACATTTGCCTGGCGGATGAAGAGATTTCTGTGCGCACACAACTAAGGCCACGCAGAGAGTATTGACAACTGCTACCAAGTGCTGGATAGTTTTTGAACGTTATGAAACAGACTGGAGTGCAGTTTGTTCTTAAATGATACTAAACCTAAACAATGGTTCAAGGAACCACCCAAAAACGTTTAAACTTAATTTCCACTCAGTTGCATACCAGCCTGATTTAGTTTACACCGCTAGTATCTGAGGGCTATATATTAAATCAATGCTCCCAAAAAGCTTTCAGCGTTAAAAGACTCTAAAAGGTACAGTATAATCATTATTGTGGAAATCTTCACACAATCTCTGATGTCTAGACAAGGTAGTTCTGAAGTTGGTGGAAGAAGTGTTGAGGAATAATATTTTAAGATACATGGAATTCTAAGCGAACTAAATATATATGAGGGTTTGTGTTGTTTTTTAAAATTGGTTAGAGGAAAAACAAATAATTCCTTTACAACAATCACCAAAGGCATACTTCTATAAAACTGAGAGCTATTGACAATATGTTTGAGTTTCTGACCTCACATTGCATCTGCCACCTATATAAACATCATGCTAAGAAGTCTATAACCTCCTGCAGTTTCCTGCATTCTTCCCCACAGCTTGCTATAAACCCTAATTGATATAAGCATCAAATGGAAATTCTTCTCTATGTGTCCATTTCCAAATGATTGATAAAGATGGAAAACCAAAGAGATCCCAAGTCAGATCTCTGGAATAGGCCACCAATCATTTGTCACTCCAAGTAAAATCCATGTTCATCCCTCCCACTCTACAATATATCCTGTGAACAGCTTCGGGATATCTTTGTGACATGAAAGGTTCTATACCAAATGTAAGGGTGATCATTATTATTATTTTCCCTAATTATCTGCCTTCTACCTTTGAGTCATCTCTCTTTCCATACGACTACCTTCAATACTATATCCTTAGTTGTAAGGCAATCCTGGTCAAGCTAACAGGTCTCCTGATCCTAATACACAAAAAAAACCTGAAAATCCAGAATGGATTTGACATATATTTGACATGGCAGTTAACATATAGACGACACAAAGCTGGTGGTGGAGGAGGGGGGGAAAGGGAGGGGTTCCACGACTGTGGAATCTTACGAAATAGCCAAGAAATTACAAAGAGAGTTAATCAGGTATGCACCTAGATTGACTTAGAAGAAATACACAGCAGACCGGCATGCTCGATTCCCAGTGCAAAGGGATGAACTATGAGAAATTACTAAAATTACTTCTAAAGTAGATAGTTTACAGAGGGATCAAAACTCAAATACTCTAAGGGAGCATGACAAGAATACTCAGGTTCAAGTTTCTGAAGGCCAAATGTAATGAGATTATTATTATTATTATTAAGAGACATTTTTTAAAAAACAGGATAATCAGCATCTAAAAATTGTTGTAAAGATTAGACCAATGCCCTGGCTAATTTTAAGAGAATGTTAAGATATTATGATGGGATGACAGCAGGAATGGTATTCTGGAAAGACGAGATGAAGGGCCTTCTTCATCTGACTCTCTCCTGTTAACTAACGCAAAATTGATTTAAAAAGATTGATGGTTCAGTGAGTTTTACTGAGTGAATGCCTGAGCCATATAGACTGGGAGATTTTTTTTATTCCTGGCCTGCGTTGAGTTACTTGATTTCTTGGTGCTACCTCGTGTTGCTGGGGCAACACCAGATGAGTTGCAATCCGCCTTGGCACCCAGACTAGAGAGAGGAAAAATCATCCAGAATTATAATTTATCACTATCCACCAACCCCTGATGGAGGTGTACAGGGACATTGGATAAGAACAGGATCAGGCTCAATTGAGATGTTCAATGGATGAATAGTCTAAACTCACTTCAATGTGCTTACCAGAGGGCAACCAGCTTTTCGTGAAATTATATAGCAGAAGGGAAAAAGGAGCCAAATCCCTTCAGAAGAGGGAAGAGAATTGCCCAAAAAGTTTTTTTCAGAAAGCAGGTGTTTAACAAAAATGTAAACACCATAGTAAGCTAGTAAACAATGAAACTACTAACCATACAAATTCCAAAATGGTCATGTTAATTCTGTAACATCTTATTCTAACTGGTTAACACTGGCTTCCAGAAGTTAAAAAAAGACTGTACATTGTCTGCCATTTTCAGGAAATGGAAGTCACTAATTCCAGGAATCATTTCAACTTCTGATTGATTGAAGGCCTTTTACAAGTATGAAGACAATTTTTTTCAAAAAAAAGTCTGGTTTTGAAGGATGCAATAAGTTGAACTGATGTCAATGTAGCATGAATGCCAAGTTAGACACTTCAACAAGTGAGGAAATCTCAAGTTTAAAATTCATGCATCAGCTACAATTAGATTGCTATTCTGCTGTAAAGAACAAGAAGCAATTTTTAAATGACTGTGTTGAGCACAATGAAATGTTTTTTTTCCTGCCAAAATCGGTGGTAATAGCCACTCATTAAACAATCTTAAGTGTATTCAACAGAACAGGAGCGTCTTTGTTCTGTAATGCCCTCAGCAGTCAGTACTTGGTTACAATCATCTGAACTATCCGAAATACAAATAATGGAATCTTACGAAAAATAATTTGATTCAAAAACGTCTGTAACCTAAATTCCAAACGCTCAGCATTTAATATTCTGCATTTAAACACAAAATGCATCCAATCAACCTACATACCAGTACTAACCCTAAGAAAAATAGTCACACTAAGCCCATTGATTTAATCACTCTTGATCAAAAGCAGATCCAAAAGTCCAGTGCCAATCCCAAATGTAGACTACAACATCAACACTAACAAAAATATATGGCCACTCTCTGCTCTAAAATAAATTTGAATCAAACCAATGTAAATAACTGATGCAAATTTATTCCGGAATCTATATCCCACAAATAAAATCAATGATAGCAACATCAACAGTCCCAAACCACTTTAATAGTTATTTAGCAACCTTAACAGAAAGCTAAAGTTTCAGATAGACTCAAAACAAATTTGCAATTGGGAACAAAGACACATGAACTGACCCCTTTAACTCGTTTTAGATTATTTCACTGTCCTTTCCTCTCAACCTAACTCAAGAGGCCTAACTGAACACAAAGTCAGCAACACACATAAACCAACACTCATCCAATGGTCAATGTGACTCCCGTGGGATCATTCTGACCTTCATTACTGCAATCACCCTTGACCACCACAGTTCTAACGAGGGTCAGAGAAAACATTAAAGAAGGGAGATGACTGGAAGAATCATGTGCATGTACAACACATTCTTTATTTAAATTCAACATTAATTCAAAAGAGTTGCAATGAAAACTCAGGTATTTTTGTGCATGAACCCACAAAAGAGATACACTGGAAACCAGAACTGTTTTTTATTTCCATGAAATAAAGAAAGGCAAGCATTGAGCAATTCTGATAGAGAGCCAAGACAATATGTTTATTTAAGAGGTATTTTTTCTAAATGTTTTCTTTCTTGGCCCTGGTCCAATTGCCTGAAATGCACCAGACTGATACCCTCGCACTGAAGTCAAGATACATACATAAAACAAATGCCACATTAACAATCTGTCCCCGCTTACGCAATCATGAAGCAATACCAGCCTCTGTCCAAACTAAGGAGACAGAAAAAAAACTTCAAAAATAGCAACGTTCCACAATTAGCCAAGTTTAAAATCGAATCATTATCCAGAAACGAATCAAATTCAGTTCTTTGTATTTTTTTTCCCCAATCAATGACACTTCCCAAATTGGGTGACTTCCACTCCAAACCACTAATTCTCAAAGTAAAAATACCTCTCCAAAACAGATGAAAGTTTACAAATATCCTAGGATTGAAACAGAGAGGCTAAATTCAGCACAAGACAAGGATGTGGAATAAATTCCACAGCAGCTGAAATGCATCAGAGATGGTCCAGTCCAGTTCAAGTTAGTCAGTTGGCTCTCACCCAATTAGAAATATGGTAACAGTGTGAAGAGAAATGAGTAAACAGCAGACAAATACAGGACCATTTCCCACTAGCACAGCTCTGAGGCAGGCAGAAGGAGGATAAAAAAATAATTAAAACTAGGAAACTTTCGCCCGTCCAAAGAATTTTTCACATTTGACATTGTTTTACTCAGTCACAGTAAATACTGTAGAGTGTTTTGACTATTGATAGGCTTTTATGTTGGTGAGGTTGTCTTGCTTCCCTGATTTCAATTTCCAGGTTTCAGGCAGCATTCGGAAATAATTACTTGAAACAAAAACCTGTGTCAGGAAGTGATTCTAAAAGTTTACCCACAGGATTGGCTTAATGGAAACAGTTACCTTTCAGCTATTAAAAACTATACGTCAACGGTTAAAGGGTCAATTGAAAATCCCACAATGTATTTAACCACAAAATACATTTACTAATATCTATATACTCCCTCTTCAATATCTATACGCTCCCTCTTGGTGACATCATCCGCAGACATGGATGACACCCAACTGTAGCTCTCTGCCTCCTCCCTCAACTTCAGGACCATTGCTGTCCTGACAGAATGTCTGTCAGACATCAAGTCCTGGATGAGAGCGAACTTTCTTCAATGTCAACAAGACCGAGGCTCTCCTGTTTGGCTCCCGTCAGTGCCTCCACACTTCAGGCGCTGACAGCATCACCATCCATGGATACACACTCCATTTTACTAAGTCAGTCCGGAACCTTGGCGTCTTGTTTGACCCTCAACTATCCTTTCTATCCCACACCTGTGCCATTATCCGCTCTGCCTTCCCCCCACCTCAACAACATCGCCCAGCTCCGCCAGTCTCACACTGCAGGCCGCCAAAACCCTCATACAAACTTTCATTGCATCGAGGCTCGACTATACAAACTCCTTGCTTGTCAGCCACCCCAACTCCTCCCTCCATAGGCTGCAGATCATCTAGAACTCTGCAGCCTGTGTTCCCTCCCACATCAGGTCCATGACCCTATACCCCCATCCTCGCCCGACTCCACTGGCTTCCCATCACACAGAGGATACAGTTCAAGATCCTTGTCCTCGCCTCCAAAGCCCTCCATGGTCTTGCTCCCCCTACCTCTGCAACCTCCTTATCCCCTACCATCCTGCTTGCTCCCTCCGCTCAGCGGGTTCCGGCCTGCTTCACGTCCCCCACCTCGTTCACCCCACTATTGGCGGGCAGGCCTTCAGCCACTCTGCCCCCACTCTATCCCACAGTCCATCCGCCTCGCCCCCCCCCCCCCTTGCCTCCTTCAAGACCCATCTCTAAACTCTCCTCTTTGACCGTGCTTTCGAATTTAATTGATAATCCTTACATTTGATATAGTGCCTTTAAGTGCTCTGAGACGCCTCCTGGCGTGGAGGGCACTATATAAGTGCAAGCTGTTGTTGTTGATCACCCTGCTTCCCCCTCCTGCCCTCCAGCCTCCCTGATCCCGACCCCCAGCTCGGGCCCGAAACTCTGACTGTTCAGCGCCTTGGGACATCCTCCCTTGCACTATACAAATATAATTTTGTTGTTACCACCAAACAGGTTAACAAATAGACATTTCAACTAAACCTAGCTGCCAAATTTCTGTACCACAAAACTGATTAGAATCTATTGGCAACCTCAGCCATCGAAGAAGTACGTTGTTGACTGATTGAGTCACAAGTTGTTGTCAAAAGACTAATCATTAATTCACAAAGGGATTTTCAAGATGTATTTTTTGTTATGAGAAAATCAGTGAGTGAGAGGGGGAAAAAGAAAGTGAATTTAACACAAAATCTTGGATAAATTCACTGAATGTCAGCCACAGGGCACCCAAATGATAAGATAGCATTATAACAAAGTACATTATCACAGGATTCCACCTTATATCCTCAATTCCAGTTACTAAAATAAGGATGTTCTGTGTTCAGCTGATCAGCAATTTTGAAACATTATCGACTTGTAATTTCAACATTGTTAATTTTGCGTCTCGGTGCAAAATGAAACAGTAATAGGCTCTTAAATAAGACGTACCTCTACAGTGGGGTCCTTCATCATATGAATCAGAACAGTCAGCTATTCCATTACAGAGCTTGCTCATGTGAATACATATGTCCGATCCCAAGCACTGGTATTCATTCACAGCACACTTAAAATCCTTGTGGTGAGGACCTAGAGACATTGCAAAACATTATATACACTGTTAACATTTTAATAATTAAAATATTAATTGAGAATATGATCACCCACAAAATACAGTCAATTCACTTTACAGTGTATCCTATGAAGCACTTTGAGACGTCTCGACGACAGGATAAGGCGCTATAATAAATGCAAGCATTATTTATATATTTATATAATGAATTTAATTAATAATCCTGACATTTGATATAGTGCATTTCATGTTAGGAGGACGTACGAAAGCACTTCACAGGATACACTGTGTATATACTTATCCAAAGACAGCAACCTCCAACAATCCAGGACATCCAATACGGCACATGGATATTTTCATGTCAAGGATGGAATGCATTCTCTCTCTGGAGGGTCGCACTCTGTTTACCTAATCCAGAGAGTCTAAGGCATACGTCGCAAGAGGCCAAGCCTAGGGAACCCCGAGTATTAGTTGAGGTACTGCTGGTGCTTAACCAGCAAAAACCACACTACTTGCAATTGAGAGCACTGTTTGTGCAGCCCCTTACATAGGAACAGGAAGAGGCCATTCAGCCCTTTGAGCCTGTTCCACCATTTAATTAGATCATGCCTGATCTGTACCTCAACTAATCCTTTCAATTCCAATTTCTCGCTTTCTCTCCACATCCCTTAATACCCTGAACTATCAAAAATCTATCAACCTCAATCTTGAATGGATCCAGCATCCACGGCCTTTTGAGGGATTCCAGATTTCTACCACTCTGCGTGAAAAAGGGTACTGGTAAGGGCCACAGCTTGCAAGATTAGCTAGGAGTTGAGAGAATTTTTTCACTGAATTAAATGGCAGTGAACGAAGTGAAGGAGCTTTGTAAACAAAGTGGAAATTTTCTTTTGTGACTAATCGATCCTCGCATGTGCCAGTGTATAAAAAAAAGGGATAGAACGCAGACTCAATTTGTACGCTGCATGAACAGGGTTGGCTGCCAGAAACAAACATCATTCTCAAATAGGAATTGAAGCAGCAAGGAATAGATCCACCACACAACAAAAACAACAACAAAATTACATTTATAGAGTGCCTTTCACATCCTAAGGCACTGGACAGTCAGGGGTCAGGACCCAAGCATTGGGAAGGGGTGGGTTAGGGGTGAGGGAAGGCAGAGATATGGGAGGGCGACCAAAGGCTCGATCGAAGAGGAGGGTCTCGAGACCAGCCATGAAGGAGGCAAGGGAGGAAGCGAGGCGAAGGGACTGTGGGGTGGAGTTCCAGAGTGTGGGGCAGAGTGGCTGAAAGCTCGGCCACTGATGGTAGGGCGGGTCGGGCGGGAGACACAAAGATAGAAACACGTGGAAAGAAAGAGACAAAAAGCATTAGAATTTTCTAATTTTCTCCCTCACTTATATTCAAGGAAGTACAGCTGGCTGTAAGTGTTAAATTTGAGTTTAAAATAAAATTGATTTGCTTGCAAGATTATTGTGAGTGAATACATCATATTGCATAATTGTATCTCATTAAATCAAATTAATTTTCCTTAGTCATTTAAGGTTTTCCCTACTATCGAATATTTCCCCCAGAACAGAAGCTATGAGCATGAAAATATAAAATATAAAAGGCAACAAAACACAGGTGTTAATTGTGAGCATTAGATAAAAAGCTCAAGCATTTTATGAATGTCACCAGATCCCAAGAATTGTTCTAATGCATATATATTTATGTAGTGTAGTTTAACATAATTTGATCATTAAAATATTAATCCTTGCATTTGATATAGCTCCTTATCAGTTCGTTGATATGTCTCAAAACGCTTCACAGAATATACTGAAGTGAAATGACTGTATATATACAATAATTTTAACAACATTTTATACGTATTATTCGTTGCAACGAATAAATAGGTATAAGATGTCGTTAAAATTATTGTTGAATGGAACTAGAAAGTACATGGCTCCACATGATTATTACTAAAGTTAGTGCCAATTAATATAATCCAAAGGGATGCTAAAGGGAACTACCGGAATTGAAATCTCCACTATTAGTTTACTAGTTTCACGCTATCAAGCACACATACATGTACTTGAACTTGGTCTTCTGTTAACATGCTCAATAACTACTGAATTCAAATGGTTCACAAGGAACCACTTTTCAGAGGAATACACATTAGTCACCAGGTTAGACTTATTTTTCCATAATTTATGGCTATTAGGGTTGTCCACAGGAAGTCATTCATCTTCTATTGTGCTAAAATAAGCTGCAAAGTTACAAGCCATTTGTAATACCTTCTTATATACTGTTGGCTGTACTTACTTCAATCTTATTATTGAGCAAGATTTCCTGTATACATTTTCAAACACAAAGTACTTGTTGAAATTATTTCAAAGTTTGTTGAAGGAAGAAATTAGTTCCAAATGATTAATCAACTGAAAACAAATTAGTAAGGGCAGTTTTAACAAATATCAAACTACTAAGACTTTTGCTGTAAATTTTGCTCTTAGTGCTAAATAGTTTGGTCATCAAGTCAGATTGCATTGAGATCATCCAACTCCTTCAAAAGACTTTTACAGTCAAAAGAATGACCTACCAAACAAGAAAATGAGTTCAATTCCCTGAGTTCTATCATTCCAAGCATCTCACAGAAGGTGGATTTTACACTGATGCTATTGCTACCAGTTTGATTTAATCTCCCTATCAAAAGCTGACCTTGCATACGAAGGGCTCTAATCGACTGGTATTTTCTTCTTTTAAATTCCATTATTTTCTTCCAACAATTTATTTTTTGACCTTATAATAATCAACAGTATCAAATAATTCCTATACTTCTGATTGTGTAACACGGCAATCAGCACCCCTAAACAGTTAGTTCTGGTTTACACATATGTAAATTCCACAGCACTGAATACTCATGTTAAATGAAGAAATAGACTACAATTTAATGAAAATGGATAGAAAAGACTAAACGCAAAATACTGCAGCTGGTGGAAATGTTAAACAAAAACAGAAATCACTGGGAACACTCAGCAGCTCAGGCAGCAACTATGGAGAAAGGAAAGTGAGTCAACGTTTCGGGTCCACAACCCTTTGTCAGAACTGGGGCATGTTGGGAGGGAGAGGCTTTTAAGGGCTAAAAGAGAGGGGAAGGCAGGGCAAGGAAGATAAAGGAGAAAATGGGGGAGAGGAACCCCGATTTACAAAATAGACAGATATAATGCAGCAATAAACCTGCTCGGGTGTCAAAGTTGATGCATACTGTTACTTAACTAACCAATAAACACAATTTTAGCAATTTACTTTCAGCATACAAAATCCCTGAAAAACTAACACGGCAACAGAAAAGAAACATGTTGCGCTTCCAAGATGTAAGCCTGTTCTTTTTCATTTACTATTGTCTGGAATTATTCCAAAATAGTAGGTCACATCTTAACGTTTTCTTCTCGCCAAGTGAAGGCAGCTATTAATTCTAACATTGGTTATGAAAAACTAGGTCATCTGTTGATCCTGAAGAAAGTAAATGAATTCTGGATAGATTATTATTTCAACTTAAAGGGAAAAAAGGCTCCTGTATTGTGTGCAAAAAAATACCTTAACAGGTATACGTTTCAAAAAAATACCTTTCAAAACAAATTTTCAACCCACCTCTGAAGGCAATCTGTTTCTATCTCATTCACACTTATAATAATATAATAATAATAATTCTTGCATTTGATATAGTGCTTTTCGCGTTTTCTAGACATCTCAAAGCGCTTCACAGAATATGCTGTAAAGTGAATTGACCGTATATTTGTGGGTGAAACACGGCAGCCAATTGCACACAGCAGTGTCCCACGTGGATTGAAAATGACGAATTTATGATTGTTTTGTTTTTTGGAGGGATTATTATTAGGCATGTGGAGTAAGGAAACTTGCCCAAGGTTTCGCCCTGTCTGGAATTGAACTCGGGTGTCTCGCTTGCAAGGCTTGCTCTAACCACTGAGCTACAGGACTTGAATAAATCAATGCCATCTACAATACTTTCCCTTCCAGAGGTTAAAAATGGTAATTAACCATGACAGAAAACCAAAGATATGTACGAGATGTTTTGGATGCGATGGGGTGAGGTAAGGATTGAGGTTTGATGTTACAGAGATGGAGGAAAACGGACTTGGTCAAGGATGAAATGAAAGCTTAAAGGAGAGCTGAAAGTTCGAACAAAACACCAAGATTGTGCACTGGCACCTTGAGCTGGAGTGAGCAGCCAGATAGGTAAATGCAACAAGAGCCAGAAGTGAGGAAGTGCTGGGGGGATCCAAGCTGGACATGGACGCTGCCTACAAATGATGTGAGCAAAAGGGAACAATACTACAAATACAACAAATGTAACAGTTGATCAGTTAAACAACTACACTCAAGACTGCCACAAGCACAATTTTACCCTCAGTGCTTCCCCATCTGTACTTTGTTTTTTAGAAATAGCAAATTTACATTCTAAAAGCCATTTTTATTGAACACGCTCCATTCAAATTCCCTATCTAGAGGGAAGGGGCATCCTCTGCCTTGACAAAGTAACTAGCAAGTCATCATGTCTCTAGTCTGAGGTGGTTTGACCTACAGCATATGCTGACAATGTAGGTTTTACTCATGCAGCATTACTGAAAACATATATCCTGTTGTGGTGAAGAAGAATAGGATAGATGTATTGTATGACCATGGAAGAGGATTAGTGGCCTGCTGACCCTTAAGTTAAATGCACAAGAATTATTTACACAACTCAACCCAGATCAAATCACTCCATACTGACAGCTCAATGCCACAAGGGATCTTTAGCTTTTTTAACCAGTAACACACATAAATGATAAAGGGGAAAATAATCTACTGTTAGCTATGAGTACTTATATGATAAAATGCATAGAAAAAGGAAAGAGCACTAAAAGACCAAGCTCCGAACAAGAATCTCTGACTAAAGGATACAATTTTTTCTAAGTTCTTGTTGAATAAGGATAGAAATAACCAGCTCTGCAACAGTTTACACCTAAAAATGATCATGACACTTAGTGACTAAATTGGAAAATGCTGGATTTCCTCCACATCATATCACGCACCTTGAGTGCAAACATGCAAATGACAATTGTAATCATCAACTGATGTACTGATTTCTGTTTTGACACTTCACCTCCCAATCATACTTTTATCGAATGCAAGTTTGATATAAAAATCATATTAAAAAATGATATAAAAATCACGACCGCAGTGATTTTGTTATCGATATGAAATCATCAACAAAGAACAAAAATGCCATTGCACTTACAAACATCAGGTGCTTCATCTGAGCCATCAGGACAGTCCTTTTCCCCATCACATCTCCATCCTTTGGATATGCAGGTTATCTGGTCCTTGCATGCAAACTGTTTGGGACTGCACGTCTTCTGTGCTGTTAAGAAAAAGCAAATCATTGCTATAATTAAGCATCAGTATTACACTAGAATTACACAAAGTGTTCAAAAAGGAGCTGAAACATTCACATCATTGTTTTTAACCTGGTGAAAATCTATTTAAATATAAAAATTTATATGTAGCACCCTCAAGTTAAAGGTTTAAGTAAAAAAAGTTAGTTTCTATGGTTTTCTCTCTGACAAAATTGTCATTTTCCACTTTTTATAGCCATGACAAGCTGTTTGTCTAGTCTTTTATATCACCCTAGAAATATAAATGGATCAATTCCAGCAATTAACTCATAAAACAAAGTTTGAAGATCCAAGAAATTATTTAATTTGTAAATGCTACAAATTACAAGTATATAGCTAAGTATCAATTTTGGGCCATCAGTTTAGAAGACCCGAAAGCCTTACTTAAAAAAAACCCTAAAAATTGCACTTGCACAAACACAGGCGGTGGTCTGCAAGTTGTGCAAGTATAACCCAGGGTAAGTCAACAATATCAAGCAGAGAAAGAGGGAAAAATATTGGGGCGAGTGAGGAGGTATTGCAATTAATGCAATAGAGATTGATTTGGTTATTTCTACAAATATCGCAAATCTAGCAGCAACTGCTGAATCAGTAAAGTGACGACCATCACAATCATCCTCTTTTGCAAAATACTGACACTTATTTGATCCCTATACCATGACCATGCTGCTGGAAACAGATTTACAGATGTCTAGAACAAATATGGCTCTATGGGTTGCCATTTTTTTAAAACAATATCCTGTCTGTAGCTGTTACTCAGAATTACTTCAAAGCTAATGTGATCAGAGTATTTTGATTCACTTAAGTTGCAACACCCTGAGCAGATAATAAAAATGCATTTTTTCTTTCATTTGGTAGATAGATTAAAACTATTTGGGGATGACGAAAATAATTGGTTCTTCATTACAGAATTTACCAATGATTGACATTTTAGAAGAGTCTTGTCCACTTTTTTAAAAAAATACACTTGCTGTCTATATAGGAAATGGGAGAATATTACAGCTGTCTAAGAAAACATAAGCAAATGTGGAATGATACATGGTAATTTAATTCAAAAAGCCATGTTTCACAGACCATGAAAAATCTTCCCCATCATGGATCCTAACCATTTATTTAATCACTTGTAGAAACGTTCTGCAAAGCTATCCCAAAGTTAAGTCAGGAAAAGCAACACAACTACAGCATTACAATAACTGCACAAGTGAAAAAAATGTTTGATGGCATTTTTAAACAGTCAAAAATACAGGTATATGGTAATTTGGGGAAAATGATAAAGAATGGGAAATTCTGAGGAACATCCAATAACTTCACAAAATAATAATGCATAATCAGGTTGCAGATCATCAGGGCGCCGCAGTAATTCTGTCCATTAGATTTTCCTTGTATACTAATTTAGGTGCCTCTTCAAATTCTAATTATTTACATGTTATATCAGTAATGCACTAACTTTTAATCAATTTATTTGTGCTGCAAATACAACCTATCAATTCTTCATACATAACATAATCACATAATTGAAATTAACTAAATGTATCTGAAGAAATCAAATCTAAAATTAAATTCTTAGAACTCTGTTTAATTAGTTAGAAGCAGCAACTTCCAAACAGTATAGAATATTGAAAATAAAATGCAACTCAAAACCAGAGTCCACTTGTGAATCTGTTGAAACTGTTTCAAAATCACAAAAGCCCCGGTTAGGTTGCAGACTAGACCTTGGTCTTATTCAGTACTGAGTGATTGAATACTTTTATCTCAAGAGATTTAAAAACGTTTGCAATTGGTCTTCCAGTGGTGGTGGCTTTGGCAGTCATAACGGATTATGCAAAGGTTAATGTTTAAAGCATATGTGCAGTGTTGTAACCGACCCAACATTCTTTGTCTTTTTCCAGCCAATATACACATATGTGTTGTTTAAGTCTGTGTTGGGCAAGGTTTTTTTTTTTGGCTTGAATTCAGAAAACATGAACTGCACAGTCACGATTGAAACAATTGACAGCGATGGCGACAAACTGATCATAATTCTAATTAAGCTCTCAAAGAAGTCACCCAGTATAATGGGCATTACAGTATATCAAATGCAAGTTGTTGTTGAGACAATGTCTGTTAGACTTCAGGATTTATTCTTGTTCCAAGTATTTGCTACACTCAGCTCAGTTTTTTGTTTCCACAAGTTTCATCCAAACAGACAAAATATTTTCTAACTTTTTCAGCACATTCACCAGAGACACTTGTGTTACCAAGCCTCCACAGAACACACATTTTAAATCAGTACACACATTTCAAATCGCAGCCAGCAAGGATTTTGTTAAATAGATTTTTTTAAAAAAAAACTTTTTTTTAAAGTTACAAAATCTTCAGGAACTATTAAAGCAGAAATATACTCAAAGGGGTACTTCACCCAGGAATTCAGATAATTTCTGGCCCCTCTATTTACTTGTTTGGTTACCTCATCAAAACAGACCATGAAAAGCCATTATTGCCAGACTTCCAATTAGAAAAGATCGAGGTAGCAGCCTGGTTCAGTTGGTATCATTCTCTGATGCCCAACAACAGAACTTTTAAGCAAATTGTCTTGGCTGACCCTAAAATATAATAATGGGAGAGCACTACATTGTTATAGGTGCTATCCTTTGGATGAGACATTAACTCAGGTTCCTGTTGCTTGTTCAGGTTGTACCATTAAGAAACAAAAAGGAGTTTCTCCCAATGTCCATTTGCTACATGGCTGTTTGTGAAATTGTGTGTGTGCAAATTGATTTCTGTGTTATCCAGAAATACAGTCACTCCACTCTAGAATAAATCCTGTGAAGCACTTTGAGACATTTTGCAAAAGCATTATTATTATTATATCATTATACATTTTTATAGCGCCTTGGGACGTCCTCCCAACGTGAAAGGCGCTATACAAATGTAACTTTGTTGTTGTTGCTGTTGTATTATTCGATCAAGATTATTATTCAATTGGACTGAGGACCAGCACTCTGCCATTCTAAATGCCAATCGAAGTATAAAAAGTCTTCAGCCCAATTAATAATGGGCATTTTCCCCATGTCAAAATGTTTCAATGTGATTTACATAAGGTGTTACTTTGAAGTACAGCAATTGACATAAGCAAACTCTGCAGTAAACCCATGCCAGCACTTACAATACAATATTGCATGTGTATAGCGCCTTTCAAGTCAGGAGGACGTCCCAAGGCACTGAACAAATGATATGGATACCAAGAAAGTTCTCTTCCTACTCTTCTTCAAAATAGGGCCATAGGATCTTTAACCTCCATCTTAACAAGTAGACACAACTTCATCTTAATATTTCAACTATTTCATCTCTGGAAGGGTGCCAAGGAAGGAAGGCCTGGTTTAAGTTAAGGAACCAGTTGGGTTTAATCAAGTCAATTCTGGTGCAACACGAGACCCTGTTTGGATACCCAGATAGGGCCCCACAATAATTTAAGGAAACAAGTGTGGCATGAAGTGACCTACCTGGTCATCTCATTCTTTCCCCTTGTTATAATCTCCAGAATTATTGCCTTAATTACCAACTCCAAAAGGATTACATAATATATATATTCAAAAAGGAAAGGCATGTTAAGTTAAACATTACTACATTGATATATTTAACACAGAAATACTGCATCTTAGTGGTTTGTATACAAAACTCTGTAGACATCTGAATGATTACAACAATTGAGTAGCAAATTGTATTATGCTGGAAATTCACATTGTTTTACAGCCATATTCTCAATAATATTAACTTAATAGCATGCAAAAAAATCCTTAAATTTGATAATAGTGGCTCAGAATGATGTCTTCAAGCACTTCACAGAAGTGTAGCGACTGTATTTTGCAGGGAACCCGGCAGCCAATTTATGCAGAGCAACATCCCACAAACAGCTATGAAGTGAATGACTTTTTTTTATTTGGGGAATTGGTGGCCAGGACACCAGGAGAAACTCCCTTTAAATTGAGCAGTGCCATGGGATCTTTAATATCCACCTGATCAAGCAAATTGGATCTTAGTTTATCGTCTCATCCAAAGGACAGTACCTCCATCAATGCAGCACACCACCAAGTATTGTAATGAACTGGACTATACAGGTTCAAGGTCCTGATGTAGAGTTTGGACCCACAACCTTCTGACTCAGATACAAGAGTCTTACCAACTGAGACAGGCTAACACATATTCTACAATGGCCAAAGGAAATATCAAAATTATCCCTTCTAAATATCTAGTCCTTTTTCAGTACATTAAAGTAACTGGTAGAACCAAATCCCACAGGAGGCAACAACAACTGATAGGAAGAGACAGTGTTGTAGATCAAAGCTGTAACAGATGACTGAATCTGAAACAACAAAATTTGATAAGATTGTGCTAGGAATTCTCATAGCTATTGTTAAAGATGCAATGCTGGTGTTATCTTTAGACATCAAGATGTCCATTTGGACTGGTATGACATTATTAAAAGGATTCAGAAATGTCATCGATGCAACACTACTTTAATTCACACGGAGAGTACTATCAAGGCTCCATCAGTTCAGCGGTAATAGATATCCCATCAGTGATGACTTAAAGAAATGCCTCCTTTAGCAATGTTCCCATTGTATCATTGTATAAAACAGATGCATAAAAAGTCAAAGCTCTGTGAACATGTGGTTAACGGAAATATTGATTCAAAGGAGAAAGGTGATGGATGCAACGAATGAATCACCATTTCATACTAAAGCTCGAATAGAAAAACAACCAGAGGCACAAGCGATGTCGGACATCGGGATCATTGTCTCAAATTAAATAGGGTATGCGTAATACCAATAACTCATCGACTATATAATACACACTTATATAGCCTTTTACATCAGGAGTATACCAGATGAAACATAGCAACAAGCATACATTAAACTTTAGAAATCAGAAATTGGGTTGAAAAAGAGCACATGAAATCATTCAAAATCTAGGAGGAATGAAGCAT